GATTGAAACAGAAAAATCTAACCATTCAAAACATCAATCAAAACCAGCCATGCTTGGAAAGTAACTATTGTATTAAATAGTTATGTACCTTTCTTTAATAATAGACATATCTCCAGCGCCTTGAGTGCCTAATAGTTGGTACATGTAGATACGTGCGCTATATAAGACTCCGGTATTATTATTATTAAAGGGAGTATGTAATAACATACACACACTCTGCTTCGACAAAAATGAAGGGGGGGGGGGAAGTCAATTTTGTCAAATGCAATGTCCTATTCCTTTGCACAATGAAGAATGCAATTAAAGATTTCAAAATTTGACGGAGCACATCTGATTTTGTTTGGACAAATATGAGTCTTAATTTCACCCACTTTTATTGCAACTATGAAATGATGCCGCCCCCCCCCGCCCTTTTTTTCATTGAGTATTCGGTTAGTCCAACTTGAACTTGATCGAATGCGCTGATCTATTTCACAGCTTATATACATCACAACATTTGCAAACATAAAAAAAAACATAAAATTGCAAAATTATTAAGAAATACCCATCTAGACTGTAAGTGAATAATGGTCTCACATGTCCTGTGAAATTATGGCACCTGGTGTGCTGTCATTTTCAGGAAAAGTGGAATTTTTCTATCAACTTTTAACAATGGTCTGCCGACTATCTTTGGAAAATATTGCCCCAAATTTACCAAATTTTGTTAGTCCACAATTTGTATGCAATCGGTTACACATCCGTGAACAGGTGCAAGCCAGCTGGTCTGGTTCCCTGACCTGATACTTCCCTGATATCTATAAATTGCTCAGTTTTGTCTGAAACAGAGTCAGGGAACCAGACTACAAGAACAATTTCTTTTTTTGTTTCTCTAAGATCTATGAACACAAAACCTTTAAACAGGTCAGTGTACAACTTTTGCTATAGAATACATTGTACTAACACCCGAATCCATCCGTTTCTGAAAATTAGCGGTGCAGCAAAAGCAAATGCTGCCGGGTTTTTACGCCAAACTGCACAGACTTACACTCATCACTGCACAGGCTTACATGCATCACTGCACAGAGCCTCTGCGCAGTAGCGGCAGACGTGGCTCTGCACTGCAGGTCTTATGCCTAGCAGCTGCCCATCACAGACAAAATTCCACGGCTGACCACAGTATTTCGAAGTGCGGCTATAGCCGTCAGCCAGCGTCAAGGGGTCAACTTGCCCCAGCCTAAACTGGCAATCGATCGGATTTGCGTGTGCCTTCACTAGTTGAAAATTGACAACGAGCGTACATTTATTGAAATAATATAAGGAAGTGGTAGCGTAAAGGCTGATATTTGATTCATTGAAATCCTAACTACCTCTAAGGGTGTGTGAAAATGTTTATAAGTGGAGGATTCTGGACATTTAGGGCTGAAGAAGAAATCTGGGCCAATTGTTCCCATTGAAACTCTCAAATCATAAGTGGCTTTAGACTAAAGAGTGACAAACAAAACCATGCAACATACAAGTTTTTCATGGCATCTCCTCGAGACCGCTCACATTTTTTTGAATATCTGAATAAAATTGGTTGATGATCAAATATTCAAATAGTCTGTATATTCAGCACAGCCTTAAAGGGAATATACATCATTGGCTTTTGCTGTAATTTTCAGAAATGAACTATTTGAGGGATTAGTATAATAGATCAAATATTGTTACACTGACATGTTTGAAGTTTTGTGTTCGAAAATGCTGGAAAAACCAAGAAAAAGAAAACTGTTCAAGTAGTCTGGTTCCCTGACTCCACTAAATATAAAAAAGATCAATTTACAACTGCCGGAAAATTGTAAGTTAAGGGTGCCAGTCTAGCTGGCCTGCACCCGTTCATGAACATGTAACCAATAGCAAACAAAATTTGGACTGAATTAATGGTAAATTTGGAGCAGTAGTTGAAAAATAGTTGGGTTTTTCCAACGGTGGTCGGCCGACCACCGCTGGAAATTTTTACAGAAATACCATTTTCTTGAAAATGACTTCACACCAGGTGCCATAATTTTACAGGATGCTTTAGACTGTCATTTACCAACATCCTATTAAGGTATTTCGTAAAAACGTGGTAGTTTTATTTTTCGAAGTTTGCAAATGTTGTATATTCCCTTTAATAGGGTTGGCTTTGCACATGATTGTATCTGGAAAAATCTATGGAATTGCCAGGTAAGGCAAAACTAAATCATTGACCAAAATGCCCGGTACAATTGATGTTTCCATGACGTCAAAAAGTTTAGCATGCACGGGAAATCGTACGACGTCATAGAATCCTATCAGGAAATTCCATGATTTTTGCATGACTTTCTACGAAAAGATGACATACATGTATTCAATGCATTTCAATTGTGATGATATATTATTCTCCATATCTTGTCCATACATGTATACAGCATAACATTTCTAAACAAAATATGCTGGATCTGATATTTTTTTCTAAATGAGTTTCCATACTGGGTGTGTACATTTTAAGAGACGTATGTTTTATCATCGCTATAAAGTATATTATACTGCCTGTACCTTCTGGTTGGTTAGCGTATGGTATGTGAACCAGTCATATTCCATACAAAATACTTTTCAATAAAAAAATTTGTGGTTGATACCGCCATAAGGCAAAAACCACTTCCTGCTATACCTTTCAGTACGAGGATGTTACACAAAAAAGTGACATTGTGATAAAGTGAACGATTTATTCTTTTCAATTGAAAATTAATATTAATTTTGCGCAACAGTTATGAATCTGTAAAAGCTTATGTCTGATTGTGAAAATAAACTTTGATGTTGGCAAAACATAACCTGCGTAGCGTTTAGTTAAATAGAAAATGTTTTCCATATCTTGTGAGATATTTACAGTCCTTCTGATTTGAGGCGTGCGATCACACCCCCACACCATTGCACACCTAAAAGCTTCCCGAGAAGTGTGAATAATTGCACGCCTGAATTTTCCTAGGTCACAGAATCACACACCTAGAAAATCACACACCTAGAAAAAAACACACGCCTAGAAAAATGCAGGTGTGCCTTTTTCCACACGCCTGTGATTTTCAAATCAGGACTGTATTTATTCAAAGGATTACATTGCAGAGTACGTAAAACAGAGTCCGAACATGGACTATAGTCAAAGCAGAGGTGATCAGTCAAAATACGTCCAAAACTTCTGGTGGATTGTGCCTGATAACTTCCAAACAGAACTATTTTGTGGATGGATGCCGGATCAATATTCTCACAAAAATGCTCCATGCTGACTTTGACCATTTTATTGACCGTGTATTGGAAAAAAAGTGCTCATTCACAGAGTGTAGAGTTTATCATTAATGAAAATAATGATCACTGTACACTCACGAGTCCCTCTTAAACTGAGAAATCATTTTGCACGCTATTGTACAAAAGCTGCCGCCCCCTGACAGATTGTCTGAACTACAGGGTGGATAAAAAAACCGAAACCGAGATATTATTGCTAATTGGAACAGAAGTAGGGCACATGTGAATCAAAGGGAGATATCCTCTGTTAGGGTTGAATCTCCTCTTTAAAATGACACCCTGATCATGTCCTTACATTCACGGTTGACTGAGCAGTGACCAATTTTATGCAAGGGTCTATTTAGAGATTTGCGCCACTTTTCATTGTGAAATCTCTTTTTCCCCACCTGCCTTGATTGGCAACCATAGCCTTTCACTCTGTGACTAATGACACCACAAAAACCACAATTGAAAAGTGGCGCAATTCTCTAAATAGACCCTTTCATAAAATTGGTCACTGCTCAGTCAACCGTGAATGTAATGACATGACCAGGGTGTCATTTTAAAGAGGAGATTCAACCCTAACAGAGGATATCTCCCTTTGATTCACATGTGCCCTACTTCTGTTCCAATTAGCAGTAATATCTCGGTTTCGTTTTTTTTTATCCACCCTGTATAGCTACAGGGCTTTCATTAGCCTTTCTGGTAAAGGAGTAAATATATTTTCTTGTTTTCTGTATTGGACTTCCTGAGACAATCAAACAAGGTGTATTTGGCTTTCACTAATAATGGCCACTTGAGGTGTTCCCCCCCCCCCCCCCCATTTTGCTATTGCAATCGGGATCTCGACAGTAGCATTTAATTATATTTACACGCGACGGCGGTCTTCATCCAACTGAAGCTATGGGAATGCAACTTCCCACGATGTCCGATACGTCCCATAAATACATGTTGAAGAGCCTACAGGTTCAGACAAGCTTATAGGCTTCCGAATATGCCCAGATATGGTCATTTTTATTTTCAGTGGGAAAAACTGCATAAGTCCAGTTGCCTGTGCACCATTTTGTTCATTGACACTGAACGATCGTACTTATTCCCGCCACCGTAAGTCAGAACGACAATGGAGGGACCAGGAACAAGTCTAAATCAACCTCATGCTAGCCGGCAGACAGAGGCCGTCCACGATCGGTCACTCGATATTGTATCACTCACATGGTTTCTCACATAATAACGACGGGGCAAGAATACCGAGTGCTATTCTTCGAAAATTGGGGATGATGCCAGAGCATGACAAACATGTCTTTGGCGTTGAAACACGACCAGCGGCAAAATTCCAAAACATTTTTGAAGTCCAACAGTGAATTGAGAAACAATTTGAATATTACAGACAAATGAACAGTTTCTATGCGTTTTTACAAACTAAACTCCACTGTCGTTTCGTATTTTGCCTTTCAAACGCATAAAATACGGCAACAGACCATTATCATGTTGTGGCCATTTGGATTTTTCCCAAATAAATGTAACCAAAGCCATGCTGGAAGGAAAAATAGTCTGGTTCCTTTTTTAAAAAAAAAACCCATTGTAATTCAGAACTGTTATTGGATACAGGGAACATGACTGAAATGGTGGCACCATGATAAAGGTCTATACACACCACTGGCACCAAGAAGGTGGAGACAAAATGGCAATTATGTAAGTGTGTAACTATTATGAGCCTAAGTTGGTTTTTTTTCCATTCTCATACTTACAAGTCCAACGGGTAGAAGAAGAAGACAAGATACTTTCCTGTTGAAACAAACAGGCAGAAATACGTTAATAGATTCTGAGAAGACAAAGTCAAAATAGCCCTTTTTTCCCAAAAGTAAATTTGATGCTTAAAAATGGCTTAATGACTTATAAAGGAAAAAGACCAATCTTTTGTATAGTCACAATGACCACAGCACTTTTCGAATGAGACCAATTTTACATTTTCAGCCTATATTTCAATTTGACTCCAGATGACCTTTGACCTTGGTATGTGATCGGTGGATCGTTGATCACGTCATTGAATTATTTGTCCCAACGCAGGTACAGGGAGCATGCGGTGCGCAGCGCACAGTGCAATAGAATTTCTATTGCACGGTGAATAGAACTTCCATTACACGGTTTCAGTGCTGTGACACGAATCTATTTCACAAAATGCGGATGTTATGCGAGACTGAAACACTATTTGTTCTCCCAACAGAAGATGAAATATCAGAACTTGTAGGTGATGCTGACGCTGCTAACACAAAGAAGCAAATAAAATATGCTGCCAAACGACTAGACAAATGTGCAAAACATACAGGAACATCTGTTGAAGCATTTTACCGATTCACAACTGAACAACTTCTTGTTGCAATTTTACTCGGGACTGAGAAGAGAAAACGCGGCACACTATAGCAGATGACGAGGATTTATTCAGGTGTTGTATAAAACAAACACTGCATGTTTCGTACTCGTGCAATGGTAAGAATAATTTTATTCGGTGAATTCGCCTCGTGAAATAGAACATTTCATCGGTCACCTCATGACATTATTCTTACCATTGCACTCATGAACATTCATTATTTGTGATGTGATCAAGCTACATGAGTCGTTTGTCGACCCTGGTCAAAACAATTTTGATTACAGATTTGAAAAGAGCACAATATCAGCATTACTGCTGTGAACACCGTATGCTGACACCATCTTTAGTTAAAAAATTATGGAAGTTGGAACACCAAGAAATGTGATGAAGTGATGTGATGGAGTGGCTCTATTTTGGCCTGTATCTCCAAATAAAAATTCCCGACAAACGACTCATTTAGCTTGACCGCATCACATTTGTATATCTCACCTTTATAATCAGACAATTTGACGTCTCTGAATTCCCCATTCAGTCCGACAGCAGTTCCAGAGAAGTCTGGGGCTGGTTTGGTGATCTGGCATTTTCCGGCCGACATGATGATTAATGATGTGTGGCGTGGTTAACTGCGAAAAGGACAATGAAAGGATAGCATTAAGAAATCAATTTTATCATTTGACAGTCTCTCTTAGCCTCATGTTTCCTAAGGGCAACAGGCCAGCCAACTCACGCACTGGGTGTGAGACTCATGCATTTCAGGTTATTCTCACCATCCCTCCTACACACGAGGATTAACGACTCAGCCAAACTCCTGGTTAGACGCGTGATAACGGCCCGTACAGGTGGCAAATACCATGAATGCTTGTCAACAAAGACCCAGACAGCTTAATAATCGCTTCACTGCACGCGGCGGCTTTCAAATTTGCAGGGCTCTGCGCTTGATCTGGTGTCAAACTCTGACAAGTCAGTTAATTATGTTTTTGAATATTCATGATCCTAACTTTTTGGCTTTTATTATTGCATTCTGATAAGTGATAACTTATCAGAACCATGTTAATGCTGAGCACAATATCTTTAGCTTTTAAATAAACTATGAAATATCGCATTTGTATAATCGGTTTGGGACCACATCTCTCTACAACTTTTTGATGAAAGTTTAATTAAAAACAAGATTTGGGTAAACGGTGTTATCCTTAAAAACGGTGTCACATTTGACGTTTATTTCCCGGGTAAATACTTCATCTATGATTAAAAAAATACCATCTGTTATTTCATGAAGTATTTATTTTGTATCAATTTTGGAACAAAAATGAATATTTCCGTTTTTGATGTCATGCGAAAAACCGACAAAATGGCACACCAGGAACATTCGCGATAAACATGCCAACGGGTATTAAGGCTGTTATCATGCATTCAACCAATTAAGGTACTGGTTAGTCCATTAAGTGATTTTTGTACTAGAGCTCAGAAGTTACAGTCATTCATCTTTATGTGTAGGATCCGTGTTGTCAAGCTCTCACGCCCACATGGGTTTTCTCACGCTAAAAAAACCCAAAAAATAGTTGACTTCAAAATCGAAAATGATGTTTGAATGGTCTGAAATTGTCTCAGATCGCACCACAGAGTGTCTAGAATTAAAAAAAATTCAGGGCCCTTTCAAATGGGGCCCTGAAAACCCCCCATGCCAGTTAAGGGTTTCACAACTCCATCGCATAATTCTCACTCTCGGCTCTTACTCAAAGTTGGCACCCCTGCAGCTTCAAAAATTCCAATAGGGTCCGATCGGATGACGTCAAAGTAGCGCGTGACCGTCCATCTTCCCTGTGATGGGCCACCATTGCAGTAGGCAAGCATTCGGTTGTCATAATCATGCAGACCCAGCACTGGGTGTTGGCTCCGCGTTTCCCTCACAGTTTTTGCCATCCATCACACTGCTTTGAAGGCTTGCCTACTACTTACTGTGCGAGGCTTTTATCTTACTTTTTATCTTTTGCCTTTTACAATGGCGACACTGACTTTCCAGTATCCAGACGTAGCCCAGGTCACGTGCGTCAGATAGAGAGCCCTTTACATTTTCTTGGTTTAAAAGAATGTTTGTCGGCTCACTTCGGCTGCCGTTCTACCCCAGCCGTGGTGCAAGTGACTTGAGTCTTGAGTGGTGAAATTCTTATTCAGCTATACTAGGATGGTGCAGAAGTGTAGATAGGTAGCCACCAAATAGTGCAAGACGACGACAACGATGAACGATGAACTGAGGGTGCGTTATAACATACTTCTTGCCTACAGGTAGCCTCATTCCTCTGATAGCTGGTAGGGCGGCGTCCTGGAAACTGGTCATGGAAGGTGACAGCACAGCGGCTGTTGGTAGCTGGTTCCATAATCGGACGGATCGTGGATAGAAGGAGTATTTGTACGGGTTTATAGATGCATCAGGTAATGGTGAACTTCAACTTGTGGTCATGTCTTCCTATAATGGCGCTGGTTGAATGATGGGTGGGAACTGTATGTTAACCAGTCCATGATGAATCTTATAAAACATGGTTAGTTTTGAGGCCAGGCGTCTAGTGTGGAGTTGCTCCCAACCACATCTGCTATACAAGCCAGTCACAGATGTCATTCTCCGTAAGTCACTAAAGACAAATCGTGCAGCCACCCGATGAACTTGTTCGAGGCGGTTGACTGTACTGATCATGGTATACGGGTTTCAAGCTTCCGAAGCGTATTCTAGCTGAGGGCGTACTACTACTACTACTAGGGCCTGGTAAGCTCTTGCCTTGACATTTTGAGTACAAGGAGACAGGGTACGGCAAAGCATTCCCAGAGTGCGACTAGCCTTCTGCCTGATCTTATTGCAGTGGTTGTCCAATCGGAGATCATGAGAGATAGTAACTCCGAGATACTCATGTTGGTCAGCTCGCTCAAGCGTCTGTCCAAAGATGTTATACTGTGACAAGCCTCATAGTTACTGCAGCAGTAGTGCATCAAACAGTCATTGGGTGTGCGCTTCAGCACCAGTTGGCAAGTTTGACTGGTGCATGCGCTGTGCATGGTAATCGACCTCGCATTGCCATTCCTTTGTACACACATTTTGTTTGTACACAAACCATTGTGCACTCTGGCCAACGATCACAACTTGATCAGCTGTCAGTAATGCCTCCTTTTCACTGCAATTGTAGGCTGAATCTTCATGGTTCATCATTTTCGGAGAGTTCCATATATATGGACGTCACTTGACACCCTGTGTACAAACCCTATGCGACTGGTCTGAAAATTTCTGTTTTCACACTACATGCTTCAATATTATTAACCCTGCTAAATTTAACTTTTTAGGACATGTCATGACATGTTACCGCTTTCTAATGGCTGATAAGTCATTGCAGGGAAGTAGTGGCGTACGTAGGGCTCATATGGAATTCTTTCCTTAACATTAACAAGCCCCCAGAAGGCAGATAGCAATTTCATGTCATCAAAGTCATTTTGAGCAGTGAGAAAATACAAGCATTTTCTTAGAAAACACTTAGAATATTTCAGTCCAATCTCATAGGGTTTGTACACGGGGTGTTGAGTGAACTTCGTATATGGAAATCTTTCCGCACAAAATACCGGCAACATTACGTGCCGACGAAGGGCTCATGTCGAGTCGAGTCCATGACGGTGACCGGTATTATGGACGGTCCTGCAGACACGTGGACGCGCATCATTTTCCTTCCTCATTCTCGCGAACAATCTCCTTATTTTGTGGGGAAACAGTCATGGCCATTAAAATATACATACAGCAGAAAATATAGCTAAAATCCTGAATAAATACACCTACCTTTTACTGCGTCGGTAACTGTTGTTTGAAATGACGACTGACTGTCAATGTCAACGAGACGCGGTACGGTGCCGGTGACTGTATTTTATGATTTTATGTAACTTTAGCTTTACAATGAAAATCTGATGCGGCATTTACGTGCATAATACATAACGCAACGCTTTGTAATCGTGCAGTGTCCAGTCTAGTTGATCAGCACGTGCGGTGACCATTCTTACCTATTTATAATAATGGAATATACCTTCTAGGATTTTTATACCGGAAAAAGAAGTAGTTCATGACATTTTATTGATTAATAATTAATATTTTATTTTAGCACGGTATTTACATGAGATAATTTGCAGTTTAAGTTCATTAAATTGGAAATTAATAACTAAACGAGAATCGTCTACTTTTACAAGAGGTAAAATTGGACTGTTGCGTTTTGGGTCGACAGAGGGCGCCATTAATACGCAGCAGCGCCAGAAAAGTCTAGAAGGTGGCGGTATGTGGGCCACACGGTGCTGATCGACCCTCCGGTGGCGCCAGAACTTTTTTTTTTAAAGGAATTTAAAGTTCCCATCCCTCCCCACGATAGGCTAATGCGCGCTTTGGGCCACAGATCAGAGATCTTCCCCCTGAACCCATACTCTGGGTAACATCCTATAAAAAAAATAATAAAGCACTGAATGAAGTTTCATTCTTTTAACTTCATAATTATTAATGCTCATCCCCAGTATCGGGACTTGTGTACAAAAAAAAAAAGACCCGGACCACTTTTTCTTATCCGAGTCCAGTTTCTGGCAGAATTATTTGTTGATACGCGTTTCAACAAATACTGTGGGGTATTTTTTTCTGCATGCACGATCTTATATTTGGTTTAAATATACACACTTGGCATCACCACGTCCGTGACAGGAATCCTGAAGTCCTTTTTTTTCGGTGGAAGAATGTCATATTTATTATACTGCCTTGTCCAGACAGCCTAGATACTCCCTTCCTTTTAGCAGCTTGGCGACCCAGCCATACATCTGGTGTATCTTCCGCGAGCCTGCTCATCTCAGTTGCTGTGAGGAGAACCCCTCCCTCGTACGTGAGCATCAGCAGCTTGATGCCAACAAAAACCCTTCATGATGCGATTAATTTACCATAGTCAGAGCATGGTCGACTCTGACAGCAAAGAATGTTATGTGTCTCTCTTTGACCATGAACTTAATAGAAGCTGCAGGCTCTTAGGTACATGGTCCAAAGACGGGAACAAGCTCGGCATACTTGCAGCTTATCTGCAGTTTAAATTTTCGTAGACGTCGCGTCCCGCGCAGATCCAGCATAATTATGCAGTCCCCGTACGCTAGGCCATGGTCACGGTGCTGCAGGCCTCGGAAGGCTTCTTCAGCCTCCCGGTGGCTATCCAGACAAGACAGCCTTCTTCTGTCCTCAATGGCTACATCAGTCAGTGTGCCAGCAACAAGCCTTTGCCCCAACACATCGATGGCAGAAGTATCCGCGCCCCTCGTTCTCACATTCAACCCTGCGGCGGCGGCAAGAAACTAGGTGCGGCAACAACAACAACGACGACGAATCGGACGACAACCAGCAGCAGCAACAACAACAGCAACAACAACAGCAACAACAACTTGACAACAACAACAACAACAACACGGTCAGCAAGGCCATCAGTGCACCGTGGCGAAAAGGCTGTGCGGAAGTCAGTAGTTCTGCGAGTGGCCGCGACGGACACTGGACCCTCACATCCGGGTCGGGGAGGCCTTCCGGTCCTCTGCAGTGGGTCTCCTCCAGCGAAATGGGTGCATCCCTGAGTGAAGTGTCACGCACAGCTTGCTTTGCAGGCACTCTGTCATCCATGCGTGCCATGTGACCCATCAGGAGCTGCAGTCTCCTCTGTCTGATCCGGGTTGTCAGTGATGTAGGAGTTGCCGGACCGGCTGCGTACCTCCTCGTTTGTGACAGGATGAAACCATCTGATCTTCAGTATGGAACGTATAGGCATTTCCGATGGAATGCATCCATGGTTGAGCAGCTAGCAGCAGACAGGGTTCACTAGAATAGAGAAGAACTGGGATGACCGTAGCTTCGAAGAGGCGGAGCTTAGTTGCTGTACTGATGACGGTGATTTGCCAAACTCGTTTGAAACGGCCGAAAGTACTTTAATTGAGCCACACCGATCCGTCTCCTTACCTATGGTTTAATATAATTCTTGTATAATTTGAATAAGTTTGAGATTGAGGCTAGCACGTACGATGTCCGATAGGGTAGGCGGCAGTCAGGTCGATGAAGATGCTCCAAACTTCCGTTGGAAGGCAAATTCAGGATCGTTCACTAGATGGGCGATTTGGTCGGCTGTTAATCTGCCTTTGCGGAAGCCAGCTCGTTAATTCTTGAAGGTGGCTCTTTAACTTCATTGATTCTGGCAAAGATGACTCTTTCCATCATACTGAGGAGGGAGATGGGCGGTAACTGCTGGGGTCATAGGCAAGCTTCCTGGGCTTGAGAATGGCTATAACTGTTCTTTGCCTCCAGAAGAAGAGAAGCCGAAGGATAAAATATATCAGCATTAGGCCTAATCCCGGTATCCAAATTAAACGTCATGTTTTGGGTCATATCTGTACTTTTTGGGCCAGCCAAAAGGCCAATGGATCGACATTTCGTTGGAACTAATTAGATAACTTATGGATGAACAAAAATAAAAGGATTCTGACAAGAAGATTTCCCACAGTAACGCAGCCTCTCGTGCCGGAAGAACGTAACTTCTACTGTACAGGGCGAGTAAAACAAAATCTTAGTCCCCTTGGATTAGTTCTTGTCTCCCACAAGTTGTGTCCGTGTCCTCATGTCTGCAACAGCTGTGCGGACCATCCGGGCTTCGCCTCAAATATGCATTGCTCTGAATGGCAGACAGAATGATGGAAGGTCGAGCAGCAGCACAGTGAAAACGTGAACTTTGTCTGCAATTTAGATTCAAGTTCAATAAATGTAGTTCCATTTATTTCAAATCCTGTTCTGTTGTTCGTTTCATTTCCTTCATTGTCCAGAGGCCAATTGTTGCTACTGTGTTGATAGCAAGAGGCCTATCTGAACATTGTGTTGGTAGTGTTTTCGGGTAGTCACAAAGAAAGGTGTGTAGGCCTAGGCTACTCATGCATGGCTGAATATCAGTGAACATTTTACTGAACGTGGCCAATACCCAGACCGATTGTTGGCTGAAAAATAACCCTGGTAACTTTTCTAGGTTTGTGGGAGACAAGAACTAACCCAAAGGGACATTTGTTTTTACTCACCCTGTACAAGATTTGGAAGACAGACGGTATGTGGATGAGTGGAGACGGAAAATCCTATGGAGTGGTTTAAGTTACAGAGGAGAGAGTAATGGAAAGACAGATACCCATTTAGTCGGACCAAGTCATTTACAATATTTCTGGCAATAATGAATTTATTTCAGCGAAGTTTTGCATTTTCCTATGTGATTTTGACATTACAAGTCATTGAAAATGCCTAACTACTAAAGTCTTCAAGATTGTTGCATTTCGTCTTTTGCAAATCGAATTTCTTTTACATTACTTTAAAGAAAATATTGTCTTAAGTGACAAAAGTACTGACGAGTAGGTTTAAAACCTGATGGTTGGTGCTACGTGCATTGCGTTGTTCTTGCTACTTGTGGCATTGCTAATGGACCGATCCAGTAAGCACCGCCCCATGGTGTTCAGACCAATCACAGCCGTGATTTAGGTCCGACGTGCGTGCACAAAAGTCCGACATGCGTACGCGTGCACGCGCGTATGATGCGCGCGGCAGGAAAATGCAGTGTGGCATTGGAGAGGAGCAAGTGTCAATAGAGCGCTTGCAGACGCGTTCGATAATCGACGCGCGAAGGCGCGCGACGCCATGTTGTGGGACAAGCGCATATCTATCCATGCACATTTTGTCCCACAACATGGCGTCGCGCACCTTCGCGCGTCAATTATCGAACGCGTCTGCAAGCGGTCTATTTGCCCAGTGCGCAGTGGGCGGGGCTTACTGGATCGGTCCATTCTCTACATGTGAACAATTAACATAAACATGCATAATATTAACATGCAAACCCCGTGTTTATGTCTTTTGCCGGAACCCATCTTAAATACACCCAAAATCCAACACTCTGTTGATATTGGAAAGCAGCCTTTGACAGATTTAGAGAAGGAAGGTGAAAAAAAGTCAATGAATTGAAATGTTGTTTCATATTTTATCACTACCAATTACTCTATCCTGGTGAATGTTTCACTGGTATTTCCCCTTTTTCCGCAAGCATAAAGCATTTACTGTAACACAAACTAATTATAAAACCTTTCACCATTTTCGAAATGCCATTTTCGATACACCACAAACGAATGGAATTAATTTAAAAGTGTAATGAAAGTTGTATTTGTTTGTTTTTGTACCAAGTTTGTTAAGGCTGTGAGCTGATTTACTTGGAATGCCTACATTGAAGAATTACCGATCAGACCAAATGATTCCAAGATAACAAATCTTAGTGCTTCACCTTGAAAGTTTGAAAGTTAATTCAACGGGAGCTGCTAATAAATTAGTTAGTATTGCTGTTAACAAATGTTAATAGCTGTTAATAAAATGTTAATAGCTGTTAATAAATGTAAATAGCTGTTAACAAATGTTAATAGCTGTTTAACAAATGTTAATAGCGGTTAGCAAATGTTAATAGCGGTTAACAAATGTTACTAGCTGTTAACAAATGTTAATAGCTGTTTGTAAATTGTCACTTAAACATCTCTCCTTACCCAAATGACAAAATAAAGCACTAAAATGTGGCATGAAACACGGGAATTATAACAATGTGCAAAACTAAGCCCTCAAAATATATTTTAACAAGATTAGGTCAAACTGTTACTACTTATAATATTTACATTACACTGATTTCAAGTTATGATGTTCACATTTGGTCAACAAATCATAAATATAATTATGGTTGCACGCAAGCCAATAGAATTGACGTCTGTACTGAATTATTAAAAAAATAAGTATGTACCATGTACAAAAATGACCAGTTGTAAATGAAAACTAGTAGAAATATAACTATTAGTATATTAAACATATTTTACCCCAAACCTAAATTCTTACTGCTCAATTTAACAGTGTCAACTGCATTGTGAAAATTAAATATACTTTATTAATTTGCATATCTGATCATCCATAGCCTTTAGAAAATGGAATCCTTAACATATTTTTTTTACCATGTACAAAAAATGACCACATTTAAGAAAAAAGAGTGAGGTTCTGGTGAAAAAAACTGAAACTACTGATGAAATGAATATTCTTTGTATAACAATCAAACCAACATTTCTTAAAGATGATGTCACAAAAAGCAACACAAACATTTTAGTGTGCATATCATTCTTGCAAAACACCTTAAGGGTAGGGTAGATCATTTGCAGCTATCCATAAAGTAACTTAAAAAGCTTACTTGGTTGGCACTAAATTGTGAAATTGTCCTTCTTGCATGCTGTCATTTTAAAGAAAACAATAAAAAGAAGGTCCTTTCCAAAGAATTTTTTGGAATTTTTTTGGAAATTTCTGTTGCTAGTTGGCTTGGAATTGAATGGGTGCGCGCAAGCGTTGACACGCTGCACATGAGCGCACGGTTGCTATGATTCGTCTGCTCAGTGCGTGACATTGCGTTGCTGCAATCGGCAAAATGAGAATGTGTTCCAGATTGTTTTCTCGGAATACACAGCATTCACAGAGCTAAAACTTCATCAGGTTAGTTGTTAAGCACCTGTCTTTAGATTTTAAGCACTTTTGTCCTTTCTAACAAACAGATGCTAAAATGACAAATGCTTTACTATATCTTTAAGAAAATAACAACACAGTGATTACCATTGCATGATACTTGTTTGACAGGCGACATTTGTACCCCCAAAAGAATAAAATTTCAGCTGACTACTAAACTTTTAGGACTATTTAATGGGGGATATTTAAAAGAAGAGAAATAAATTGCTCCAAAATTATCTGTTTCAGATCACCATTTATATACATGTAAAAATTAAATGATTTAATAAATCACTAAATATTTCAAAGTAACTATTTCAGTTTTAATAAAGCTAGTTTTTTTTAAGCAAAGTTAAAATATATGAAACAAGTCTGTTTTAATGTAAAAAGTTCAGTAGTGATGAAGAATGTATTTTATTTAGCATAGCGAGAACATATAAAAACACAGAATAAACATCTCTATACATAATTTTTCCTTTAACAAGAATGTTTCAGATGCGTTCCTGGTGCTTTCTTCGAGTTTCATTTCCAAAATAGATTCCGTTTCTTAGTTGCTGGTTTTTTTTCTAGCAATACAAAAGTTTTTTTCACTTTTGAATGAGGTATCGGCTGAAAAAATGGCTAGTTGTCAGAAATTGAATGATTACTTAACAGTTTTGAATAATTGCCTGCCAGACAATAATTCGGTTCTTGCGTGGTAGGCTGGTTCCCGCCCCACAATCAGTATCAATGATGTACGTACTGGGAGCCAGTCTGCTAGCAAAGCAGATCTGTTTGAGCCCAATTTAAAAAAAAATATTTTGTTTCCGGAGGTTTGAAGACGTCCAAAAAGGAAAAGGTTTTTTTTGGTTTGAATAAAACATAAGTCGAAGATTTATTACAACCACTTCGGGCCAGGAATTTTTTTTTGGCAAAAATGTAGATTTTGGCAAAAGGCAAAATTTTCCAGCCAACTTCTGATATACAGCCACAAATACTAATTCGCAACAGTCATTTCAACAGTATTTGTACGATATTTCTTACCGAAACCTCATATGTTTTAATACTCCGGGGTGTGCACTGGAGCGTAAATTGTATAACAATAGGCCGTGTACAACGGCCAATTCAAGATCAACACACGGTCTGCTTCCACTGACTTGTATGAGTTTGTTTATGGTGTAAATCGAGGACAAACACGTGCAACATCATTGGTGCAACGAGGACAGGAACCAAATCGAGGACGAGCTCGATTAGAAAAAGTGTACAAAACCAATGAGAGCTGTTGCCAAAAAGTTAAAGTACAAACAAGGGAAAAGGGAAGAACAAAAGCAAATCCTCGTTTTACACCATAAACAAACGTGCTTGACTTTGTGTGTGTACAAAAGACACAAGGGATTAGCGTTTTTAGATGTCACCCAGAGGCGAGTGGCGAGGCAATCTTCACGTCTTAACCCGTCAGCCGTGCCTTTGTATAAAAACAGCCAGTGCGTGTTTTCAGGTCCTCCGACGAAAACTTGTTAAAAGAAAAACCTTGAACTTGTTGAAGAGCACAGGGAATGCACCTTTAACAGTGTTGTTCTCTATGGCAGAATTATATCGATTTATTGGTACTGAAATCATTACATTTTGCATATTGCTCAATGCGCACAATTAAATTTGAAGGATATTCCTTGAGGAAGACAAAGTTATTTCATTTCCAAGTGAAGTGTTCAGGTTCCGTTATAATCAGGAGTTCTTTTACAACTTGCGGAACGGACTCGTCAATATGTAGCTAATGACATCTTGGAAAACGCCATGTTCACCACTGCACTAGTAACATGTAGTTGGTGTCAAGAACCTTCAGCTCAATACGCTGTAGAAGTGTGATGTCATGCAGGGTCGTCTCCTAGAGCGACTGTTCCAAACAAAGTCTAATTTCCAATTTTCACCGTGCAAAACATATGGGAGATTTAGGTGAACACTTTCTGTTTGAGATTTCTCAGACATTAAGAATGAATAAGACTGGAAAATGGGACAGTGCTTCATAGCTGATGTATTCATTGCTCAGAATGTCACGGATGCCAGTATTTTTAGTTTTACCAACGCATAAAAAATCGATAAAAAAATGGGCCCCATGCTATCGCTACGTAAGTCCAGGTTTGTGTGGAACGGTCGTCCCGAGCAACACGTGACTTTGGCGGCGTATGATCTACCCACTTCTACAGCGTATCGTTGTAACAGGTTCAATATTAGTGATAAACAAAAAGATATATCACAGGCAAAAAAATAAAATGTCCATCCCTCTGCTTCGAAGCTGGTAGCTGAGGTTGAGTTTCCCTTTGTTAAAAAATCCTGATGGCTGAAGCCCTTTAAAAGGGCGTTTCCTCTGTGTCTTCTGATATTGGAAGATAGGAAGACAAAGTGACTTCCTTGTCAGGCTCAGTCTCAGCCTGGAGAACCTGGTCAAGATTTGACATCTTCATCAAGGTATCGTTGATTTGTCCCACCTGGGTTCCTCTCGGCACTAAGCAATCGTCTAAGACCTCTTCATCGCTCTTGTTCTCCTCCTCTGCCGGGGGGCTCCTCCGTGATTTGCCACGGGTGGAGGAGTTCCTGGTGTTGCCGTTCTGCGACTGCTCTAACTCCTCCTGCGAGACCTGGTACATGGGGTTGGTGAAGCCTCGGCTGTCCTGCCTAGACAGTTCAGGGAACCCCCCTCCGGGGTAGGCGGCGGGTGAGTGGGGCTTGGGTGCCGCGGGGGTCTTTCCCGGTTTGTCATCGTGGTGAATCACACCGGCGTAGATGTTGGCAGCAGCGAAGGCGAATCCGCCGATGGTGCTGTTCTCGGGGAGAAACTGCATTGTGTCCATAGCTATTCGGAAGGGAAGATGCAAGACAGAAAGACAGTAAACTACATGTTCATTCGTTTAACCCATTACTCCCTGCACCGCCTGAAACCACACGAGTACTCTATTGTTTTAGGCATTCTTCAGGGAGTAAATGCAATGTAAAGCAATGTAGTACAGGTCCTATTATGGGTTAATATAAGTAGGGAAAATGAGGGGGAAAAAAGGAGGGGACTGCAAACAGTACTAGACTCTTGAAAGAGTTGACCAATGGAAGGAAAAGTTGCATGGCTATAAAATGGCTTGAAGACTTTAGCACTTGTATTACATTGTACTACATTGTATTTACTCCTTGATAAAGCCATAATACCAATATGTGCTGGGGCAGTTGGGGCAGTATAAGAAACAATAGGCAGTGGACTTTTGGGCAGTACAAGGATTAATTGGTTAATGAAATTTAAAAAAAATTAAATCCCGGATAACATAAATTTTCCTCTCCTTTTTTTTTCTTGAGAAATTGAAATTGCTGCAAACTGCTATTTACCAAGCTGAAATAAACAAATTTTCAAACATTCTCAAAGCTTTTAAGAAAGTCTATTGTGGGAAGGAAGCCCTCTGATTTTTTCCTTGTTTGATCGTTAGTGGGAGTGTGACCTAGTGGTTAGGGTTCGTGACTCATGATCAGAGGGTCAGGGGTTCCAATCCAGCTGCTGGTCATAAGTTTTGTCCTTGGGCAAGCCACTTCACCCCCACTTGCCTCTCTCCACCCAGGAGTATAAATGGGTACCGGCATTAGCCGGGAAGTAACCTGCGATGGACTAGCATCCCATCCAGGGGGAACAGAAATATTCTCAGTTGTTTCATGACACTGAAACCGGAGATAAACGCCGGACTGATGGGCCTCATTGGCTCGTGACAGACTTTACTTTTGTTTGTTTGTGTCTTTGTTTTTTAATGTCCAATCTCACAATCTTTTCGCAGCACAGATGGTATGCCCTTCATCACAGGACCTCATTTTTTTGCATCATGCTTTCCGATTGTCTATCAGTGGTTAATGAGGTACCTCACACTGTAAGACCGAAGATTGAATCATTTCTGGACAGAACTTACTTGGCGAGACGATTTGCGGTCCATCAGGCATGTTGATGACTGTTACCTCCATGCCGTCTGCCTGCTCCTCATGGTCATCCAATCCTGCTGTCTGCTCCTTGGCAAAGTTGATGAACACCTTGGAGCAAAAAGAGAAATCAACTTTTTTTGTAATCAGCATTTCACTGCGTACTTCATGTAAAAAAAAAACGAAAATAGTTGACAACCTACCTGGTCCAATGTTGTCTGGCTGACAGAGTAATCCTCGATGCAGAATCTCTGCTTGTTGGCATCAAACGCACCGAAGAGCTTGGCCAGGGACGCGCTGGCGGACGGCATCTGGTACTCCAGCATGTTGAAGTGGCGTTCTCGGAGTATGGTGTACGGGAACGTCTCGGCCACAAACAGCATCAGGGGTTCCATGATGGGCGGATCCCCGCCCACTCGGATGGATATGGTGTAGCCGTCACCAAACCTTGGCGAATCAACAAAAGTGGAACATGATAACAGAGTCTTGTAAAGCGCACGTATCTACCAACAATTAGGTACTCAAGGCACTGGAAATTATGTCAATTATTAAAGAAAGCAAAATAAAGTTTACGAGAAATAATGATTCACAAGGTGCTGTGGCGCATATTGCAGCCACTGCCAGAAACACCGGGGCAAACCCCTTCTCTTAGCGATAAGTGCTACTGGGTTTCTTTAATGTGCATTACACAACACACGGGACCTACGGCTTTACATCCTATCCAAAGGATGAAGCAATAATGGTAAAGTGCCTTGCTCAAGAGCACAAGAACCATGTTCCCACAGTCAGGATTCAAACCCATTTACCACGGCACACGAGTCGAACACCGTAACCATTGGACCACAGCGCCCCCAACAATGAAAAATGTGTGGTTGACATCGCAACAATTAGACTTTAATAAGTTGTATGGACTACCGTGCACAAGCACTCTGGCAATGGTTAGAAAGGCAGAGTTGGGGGAGACCACTGGGAGGGACATTTGAACACATTAATTCAGAATAAAATTACTTGTGCGTACTTCACGCCGTACGCGCGTGAAACAAAACGCTCTTATGGTGTGTCCCTTCCACTGGAGCTCTCAAAAATTGGTCACAAAGCGTAAAATAGTTTGTAAAATTAAACGTAATAGCCATGCTATCAAAATATATTTCAAATTAGGTTTTGCCCTTCACCGACGTTTTTTAAACACTGTATACTCAGTGTGTTACCTCCAGAGTGAAAGTTGGAAAAAAATCACTCGGGTGGGACTCGAACCCACGACCTCCTGCAAAAGGAAGGGCAAAACCTAATTTGATTTATATCACCCCGACGCAAAAATTCCATCTTATAAAAATATATTTCATTCATTCATCATGTCATTTCTTCATTCACTTTCATGATGACTTGATGAGTTAGGCCCAACTGTCCCTGTCAAGCATTAGTGTTGGAAAGAGGTGGACCGCTCTGACCAGTTTTCAACTCGATGGATGTTTTCAGGGTCATGTTGGGACAACCTCTATGATGCGGGGCATCAGGATTCCAGAGAAGAACTGGACTACCTGGCTCACTATGGCAAAAAAACGTGACCGGCTAGCCAAAGGTGACGCTGTCTGATGATGGTGGAGATAGGGGGAAGGGCATTGTATAGAACGGAGTTAGGGAGATGTTGTTGCCAAGAAACATTCGGTGCAGCCCGCAACATCTGTGTATAGGTGCCATCAATGGATGCAGAGATTTGTTTGGTCAGGGTCCAGGACTCGCAACCGTAAAGGAGGATGGATTCTACTGAAGTCTTAAAAATTCAAGTTTGGTGGCCTTGGAGATCGAGGATTGCCAAGACTTTTGTCAGTGAGAACAGAGCAGACCAAGCTTGAGCTTTTCTACACTCAACGTCATGAGCCGTGTTGGTGTAAGTAAAGGTTTATGAACATTTTTAACGATTATTGTTTACAGCTACACCACAAGTGATAGGGTGAATGTAGGGTCCAACTTGCGGGGGGGATAGGGCCTTGTTTTCTGGAGAGGGGTACTTTATGTATTTTTTTAACCCAAAAAAGTTCACTCTGCCTTTCCAAAATTGGGGGGGGGGGGAGTTTGAGGGGCACAAGGGGACACGGGCTTTGAGTTGGGGGGACAGTGACACCATGCCTCCATACTTCCTCACCCCCTAGTTATGCTACTACATGCCCAATACATGAACATAACCTATTGAGAATTGGTACTGTACGGCTGTAAGGAAAAACACAATTCAGCAACAAAATTTCAAATCGATTTTGTAGCAAAAGACAAAAGGTCATCACAGTGAAAGCTTTTCAAGACTACTAACTGACGTACTTTGATTTGAGATGTTGTGTGCTGCCGATGCACTTGTATCGTCCGTTAACCATGATGGCGACGCGGGTACACAAGGCCTCGCATTCCTCCATACTGAAATCAAGACAGCCATTCAAGAAAACACATCTGAATACACATTCATTATAATTGGACATGACAACATGGGCTTAAGGTCAGAGATTGAACTTTTGCAACACAATGAGGCAAAGCTTAAATTCAAAGGGGAGGTGGATGTTTGTTTAGTTTTCAGGCACACCTCAATCTGCAAGTCCCGTTCTGCCTTTCTTAATTTTTTTTAGTTCCATCAAATATCTATCAAACCTGTTTTCATCCTGTTTTAATAGTTGACTGTTCATTCACTGCAACACAACAGCTGGATTTTGAAATGCCATTTTTGCAAAAAATGAATTTTTACAGTTTCAAGTGAGTTGGCGGTCTATATCTCTGCTACTCAGTGCCCCTGCCATTAGAAAGCTCTCGTTCTGCAGGGTGCAGATATCTAAATATCTCAATTCTTAAAAAGTCAGACTTTCTGTTCATTTCATCATCAGCACTCAGGGTGTTTTGTTTTTGCAAAATTACAAAAAAATCCACAAAATTTGTGTCAAAAAAATAATAATTAATAAACAGCCAGTTTTTACCTGTGGGAAGTGAGTATGACTGAGCGGCCTTCCTTGATGATACTGGTGATGCGATTCCAGAGAAAGCGACGAGCTTTGGGGTCCATCCCTGCAGTAGGCTCATCCTAAAGGATAAAATTCAAATAAAAATACAACTAACTGAATATATTTACTGAGCAAAATTTAGATATCACACATTGTATTATTAAGCAATTCATCCAGAGAATTACAACCTTTTGGGGTTATATTATGACCCCTGATTGATGGGGTTATATTTAACAATTGGTCGTTTATATTTCTGATTCTTATTTTTACTGGGTAGCCCATTCAATGGAATCCACTGGTCTCCCATGGGGCCCAGTAAAGAGAAGACAATGTGAAGAATGTACAATTTTCAGATGGGGGAGGATAACCCCAGAAGAATATTCTGAGGAAACCCACGGAATCAAGTAGGGACTTAAAACCCAGTCCCCAAATTGGCCCAGGCGGGATTCGAACCCGGGTCACAGCGGTGGAAGGCGAGGAAAGTACCGCTACGCCAACCTGACTACCCTTATGATTTTTAACACCTGAGGGGCACATAGCACACGAGGCAAAGCCGAGGGGATTAAAATTGCCATATCCCACATCACAGCAGTCAATAATTGTTTTGTCATATTGTGCCAAAAACTCTAAAAGATAACAGCTTGTGACAGGCTAGAAATTGAAGGAATAAAACATCACTGCAGTGAAATGTTTTGATGACAACAAGCTTTCCTGCCAGACATGAGGCGCACGGCTGCAATTCTCAGTCGCGAGGCCTGGGCCAGCCCTTAACCCACTCGCAACGCATAGGTAGCATTATGCAATACAGTGTACATATGAGGTAATTTATACAACACTGTATATGAGGTAATTTATGCAACAGTGTATATGAGGTAATTTATGCAACAGTGTATATGAGGTAATTAATGCAACACTCTGTATATGAGGTAATTTAGGCAATGCGGTGTCTATGAGGTAATTTGTATGCAAGGCAGTGTATATGAAGCAAATGGTTATTTTCATAGACTGGACATGTGGCCATTCTGGACCAATAAAATAACAGTAACCAAGACATGATTTAACAATTATATCTGTATCTTCCTCAACTCCCTGGGGAACACAGAAAAAAAATAGGTTTGGCAAATAAGGGAACACTCCCAGGCTCACAACTGAACATGATATAGCAAATGCTTACCTGTACAGCACTATGCTTTCGTCAGCCCAGTCAAAACTTTCAAAAACTCTCCTTAATTGAACCATTTGGTTGAAACACTACGAGAAAATGCAACTTGGCAGCCAAGATCGCGGACTCACCAGGAATATAAGTTCTGGGTCTCCTATGAGGGCTATAGCTGTGGATAACTTCCTCTTGTTGCCTCCGCTGTAGGTGCCTGCGACGCGCTTAGCATACATGGACAGGCCCAACTTCTTGATGCCCCACTGTACAACCTGTGACGAGAAATGAAAAAAATTTGTTTGACCAAACAGCACAGATTAATTGCAACACTCAGCAGCCGACTTCACAAAATGGTGCGTAACTTACGCCATGTGCTGGACTTAAGCAACAAATCTGTTGCGCAGCTGCTGTAATAAACTTACGATCGATTTCACCAAACTTGGTGTAGCTGCACAACGTTTTAAATAATCTGAACATCTTGGACGAGGATAATAGCAGCGTTTACGGCTGTTTGTCGGTCATGAAACAGTCATTTTGAAAATAGTTTTGTGGACTCATTTTGAAAATAGTTTTGTGGACTTTCATTGGAATCATGCGGCAACTCTACAAATTGTGTCATGAGTAAAAATAGCATTTCATTTACTTCAAACACAAAGCTGTGAGTGTCTTGTATCAACCTTGATAAGTTGTACAATGACAAGCTCCACAACATGTTGTAATCGTTGCAACGATTACAAATTCTTACGCCACCTAAAAGGATTGCACAAGTGACGCCATAAGTTGTTGCGCGATTGCACAAGTTACGCCATAAGTTGTTGCGCAAGTCGTGGACTTACGCACTATGAAACTTGCGTGAAATCGTCATAACTGAAATGTTGCGCAGCCTGAAATGTTGCGCAAAATAAATGTGGTGCAAGTGGAGTTAACGCCATTGCGTAAAGTTTCATGAAATCAGCTGCAGAAAGTGCAGTTATAGCCAAAAATTCTCAAAATCTAAGCTTTAGGACAACACTGTCTCTTCCTAAAAGAAGTGTATTTCTTTTTAAAAGTTATAATGACATTGTTATTTTGAAGAAAAAAAAGACATTTTCCAAAATATTAATGACTTTTTTTCGCAAATAGCAACCCAATTTTATCGGAAACCCTGTTAAAAACTTCTACAAGTTACAACATGCATACTGGAAAAGAGTCCCCCCGCCCCCGATTTCTGCAAAATTTTCAAGTTAACCACTAAGTTAAAAAAGAGAAGGTTCAAAGACCTATGAATGGTTCAAAAGCTACGAACTGGTGCAAAATCCTAGACCCACAGGTTTGACAACTGAAATCAAGCCTGCACTTGATTGAGTTCTGCCTTGGAAAGAAACTTCAAACAAGTCAATGTGGCAACATTTATAGTTTGTGTGCACAAATTTGAACAGGGTCCCCTAAGTTTTAGGGTCCCATAATGTTCAGCCCCCCCCCTCTCCCAACTTTTTAAAATTACCAAGGCTAGACAGACACTTTCAAGTTTTTATCCCAATCAACTCCCCTTATGCTATTATTATTATTTATTTATTTTTGGTATTAAAACCAAGGATTCCTCAAAAAGTGCCCTAGTCACTGGAGCTCGCAAACCTCAAGCAACCTGTAGAGAGGAGACAATGAGAAGCAATTACAGTTTTAGAGGTGGGAGGAAAACCCCAGAAGAAGATTTCAAGGGAAACCCACGGAATCAGGCAGGGACTGAAAACCTAATCTACATGTTGGCCCAGGCGGGATTTGAACCCAGGTCACAGTGGTGGAAGGCGAGGAATGTACCGCTACACCAACCTGCTACCAGTTGGCAAGTTGACTTAACAACTACCTTCCAGAGGAAACAAAGAGGTCTGTGCTTCACCCCTGGGTGTGGTTGGTGAGTAGGGTGGGGAGGGGGGGGGGGAGGGGATTGCACAGGCTTCACCACACCTACCTTGTTAATATCAGCTTCGGGAATCCCTCTGAGTCTGGCGTAGAAGGCCAGATGCTCCTCGGCCGTCAGCAGCTCATTCAGGGCGTCAAACTGCGGGCAGTAGCCGATGTTGTGTCGCACTTTCCTCATGTCCTTCAGGATGCTGTAGCCCTTGACGTAGGCCGAGCCCGACGTGACTTGTGTGTCTCCCGTTAACATCTTGAAGGTGGTGGTCTTCCCTGCGCCGTTCACTCCAAGAAGTCCAAAACACTGCAGGTGTTGTGAAAAAGTGTCGAGGCAAGAAGTGCTGTCAAATTTCGCCAGGTACATTTTTGCTGGTCCAGAGTTCATGTGTTTTTTTAGTGGTTGGGTTGTACACTATTTAGAATTGTTCTGATCAATCTTCAGTGTTTCTTTCCTTCTTTCTTTTTTTTTTCTCCGGACAATAATTCTCCACAGGTTTTCTCTTAAACGGTTTAAGGTATGAACCTGTAACTTTTAACATATATACTGACCCTCATCCCGAGTGGTGCACATTATTCTGATATCATGATGACGTCATCAGGTGTCAAATTACAAGCAATTAAAGATTTCTACATTTAATCTTTGAAAATCAATATAAAATCAACCGTGAGAGACCTGAACTTGACTTTTGCGGGAATTGATAGAATAATCAGTTTATCTCATGTGTGCCTAATCACGTGACCCTTCCTTCCGGTCCAAACCGGAAGTGCCTTATAGTTTGAAAGCAGAAAAAGATGTGAACCTGCTTTCAACGATGTTAGTCTCTGGCTAGGTTGTACTTTAGAAAAAAATTACCATTGACGTCATAAAATGTTAGAACGCCCTCTAGCGGCAGGTTGAAAAATGTCAACAAACGCGAACCTCTAGTTTTTGCTGAAAATTTAACCAGTAATAAACTATATTTCAACAATGTAGGAAACAGATTCTCTGAATTTTGAAAAGTCAAAATGTTTACCTCTCCGTATGGAATGCCAACACATATCCTATTGACAGCAGTGAAGACTCCATTGCTTGTGTTGTAATCCTGGGGAAAAATCAACTCATCATTTAACAGCAGTATTAAAGTAAACCTTGGTTGTTCATGATAAAATCTACTTTTCAGATTTTTATAGAATTGTTATGACAGATCCCTTTAGTAAAAAGTAAGCATTTTTTGGGGTTAGACAAATTTCAGCACAATTCAGAAGTTTGTAGGAATACATTTCAGAGAAGAGAATTTAGTTAACAAATCAAATAAGCAATAAGTCTTGGAAGGGGCATAAATCCGAGGGGGGGGGGATTATATACCCCCCCCCCCCACACTTTTTGACCAGGGGGATGGGCTACTGAATCATCGCCCTCACTTTTCCTTGATGAGAAAAAAAATGCGATTTTAGAGGTATTTGTCAAACATCCCAACAACCGAAATGTATTAGATAGCACTGAAAAGTGGAGAAACAAAATGCAAAAGCTTTCAAAATGCGCCGTTTTGATGTAAACGCGAACATACATATTGATATATATCCTGAAGAGTGCCCCCTAGTGTAACGTGGCGCCTTTTTGATGTAAGCGCGAGTATACATATTAATATATATCTTGAAGAGCGCCCCCTAGTATAATGTGGTGTCCAGCCCCCCCTCCCCCCCTTCGAATTTCCACGGCCGGGCAATTTTTTTGATTTTGATCATCCCCCATCCCTCCCCCATCCCTCCCACTTGCCGGCACAGATTTACGCCACTGAGTCTTGATTAACTTTGTCGATTGCAACGTTTTTTTTAAATAACTTGTTATGACAGACCTTGGTAAGATTCTCCACTCGGACGATGTCATCGTCGGCGCCTCCAGACAGCACACGCTGTCTCTCACGCACTACGTCGTCATCTTCAAGGGCTAGTGGAATATTCTCGGATTCAATGTGTCTAAAATCACAGAGAGAGGAAAAAATAATGGCAAAGGTAAATTATCAAAAGAAATATGCAGTGAAAAATGCTGACTAGAACAGTACGAATTTCAGGCATGAACAGTAAATGGCACTTAAGGCCTTTTCACACTGTCCAAAATCTCCGGGTTGGGACCGGTTCCAACTCCGAGATTTCTTTCAACCCTTTTCCCACTTCTAAAATGTCAACCTGGTTCCGACCTGGGTAGCATGCTCTAGCCGGATCCAAATCAACCCTGGCAGGGACCAGGGTTGAAATTCTCAACCAGGATCAAAATTGCATTTTTCGGCGTGAACCGTGTCGAAAATGATGGTGTGAACCGCCCCCTGTTAAGTTCACTCGCGGCCAATCCATGTTGAGTTGAGGTGCGATATTCTACCGAAAATCTTACACGCCGTGCATATGTCCCGCCACCATACCCATCATCACCATCACATTTTGTTATATTAATTCATTAACAATAAACCAATTAGAAGTCTACTTGGGCAAAGCGCCTATCCCTGTAAACAAATAATATGATTTGGCAAGTTGAGGGAAATTGATTTTTATCTATAAACAATCTATTCACAACAAAATACTAAAGTCTGTGTCGCGGTGTAGAGATGGCAAAAATATTTAAAAATACGTACTGACCAATCATTTTCTGTTTTGGAGTTTTTACACATACATGTAGAGCCCATCCTCAGATGTTTCTAATTCTTTAATAATTCTCCGTTTTCCCAAATAAGAGCCACTGTGGAAATTGTTATTATGTTATTTTTTCTTTATAAAGGTAGTAACACCTGGATTCAAGGCTATGGAAACATAAAATAAAAGTCCATGCGCTGTGCCAGCTTTGTCGATTTAGTGCCAATAACGAAAATCAATATCATTTTGATGACCCGGCCTTGCATGTGATCGGTGTGTATACGAACAGCTACACGAGATGTATAACAATGTATTGTGGTTTGTGCAATGAAATGTGAAGCATTCAGTTCAGAAAAAAACTAACTAATTTCATGCAACGTTCACTGATGGGACTGGCATTTTGGTAAGATTTTGTTGCAATTCCCGGCCCCTATCTCGATGAGTGTTTCCTTTTGTACAAACCTATATAAATGTTGATATGTCCGTGCATAGGGGTAGTGGTACTGTACGTGCCAGCAGGGCCAAGTTTTACTTGTAGTGTTCAATAATTAGCTGTTTCAGTGTACACACCGAAACGGAAGGTGGTAAATTCAAATTCTTTTTGTAATAGGTTTGTTTGGTCACAGATACACACAATTTCAAAAAATTTGTGATGTCATCATGACATCAAGAACGTGATTTTTTTAAAAACACATATAAGGGTATGTCCAATCGTTTTGAAACTTGGTGGGTAGATAGGTATTGATAATGGTATTCAAAATCTGAAGTGACGTCATCATGATGTTATCATTTGATTTTTTATTAATTTTTAAACTTTTAATATTTTCTTCTAATTTCAAAAAGTGACATAAAATACAATCAGATTGACTTCAAAGTAGGTACAGACCAAGACCCTATAAAGCTTGTATTGTTTCTAAACAAATTACGTCGTGATGACGTCATCATTAGTCTACATTTTCCTAAATTATAACACCAAAATCACTTCTACACAGCCCAATATTTTTAGAAGAATACTCATGTAAATGTACATTCGACTTGGATGAAACTCCTACACAATGTACATGATAGTTGTTGCTAAAATAGTCGAAACAGCCATGTATTTGTCCATAAACACAGGTCTAGTTTTTGTATATATTTTTTTTTTTTGGATTTTTGATTATATTCCATCTACCATTTCTTAGTAGTGTGTACCCCTGATAAACGTTTCCCTGTTCCCCAGTAACGTGACCCCCCAGAGCAATAGTCCCTTTGATAAGAACATGTGCTGTGCCACCTAGACCACAGACCCCTCAGTTAGCAGACCGGTGGCAGAGAAGAGTGTGCTCCACTGTTTCTAGCTCTCTTTCCCCTTATTTTTGGGTGTGCCCTGCGCTGTGAGTGTTGTTCTGTTATAAAAGTCATTGATTTTTCTTCCAGAAATGTATTTTAAGGTCCAATGTATTATAACACACTGTGTTGGTTAAGGTTTTGGTCTTGGTCTTTGATTTTAGGTTTAAGAATTGGTTTTAGGTTTAAGTTGTTATTTGCTCATTTTGGTTTTCTTTTAAAGGGCCTGTCACACTGTCTGCGATCATATATGCACTCTCACTGCATCCTTGAAAAATGGCCGGGGCGCAACAACTACTAGATCACAGCGAGAACTACATAGGTCGCCTGATGGGCGCCAGAGGGTCTTTATGGTCTCCGATGAGCGCCAAAGTTTTGAAACATACTCTAAACAATCGCAACACCTCTGCGCTCTGGCAGGGCGCCGTAATGACGCGACTCGGGCGCTGTGCGAGCGTGCATTGTGCGACATTGAAGTGGCATTGAGGCATCCTAGGCGCAAGGCAGTCGACGTAGTCTCCATGAGAAAGTAACTCGACTGCGATGAACTTGTCGAATAAATTTGAAACTGGACTGCGGATTGACTGTTTTGTCGTGGTATTTATACAGCGCAAGTGACGTCTCGTGAGCGTATTTTGGTCGGATAGAGAGCGCGACACGAGCTACTAGGACGTATCAACAGCGAGCAGAGCGTAGTGTGGGCGCAGTGACAGCGCAGCGGCAGCAACTAGATCAAGTAATTGGGCTTGACAGGGGCTCATAGAGAGCGAGTTGAGCGCATCGTAAGTGCAGGATGAGCACAGTATGAGTATAGCTTGAGCTACTTTGTGGCCATTTAATACAGAAAGTTGTCATTTTCTTGCGTCCTCGCTGTGATTGTTAAATTTATTAAAAAGTTTTGGTCGCCGTAAGGTCTCCTATCAAAGGCTATGAGAGCGCATATAATGTGACAGGCCCTTAAGTCTTTAGTTAATTTCTATTCTGGTTTTTGGTCTCGTCCTGATTTTTAGTTCTTGTAAACTCCTTTTTATCCTTTTGGTTTGAAATCTAAAATTGTGTCCCTTGTCTCTATTAATTCAATTTTCTCGCGACTTTTCCTTTCAAAGATCCTGAGTTAAGTTTAGTTTGATTAGTTATAAATCCCCATGGAGTCTTTTTAGTGCGAGTTCCCCCAAAGTGTATGCATGTGTCGGTTACAGTACCATGTTTTTTTTCCTGTTTAATATTGCCTGTTAAAGATGTGTTTCCCATGATATTTTCAAGTTTGAACTTAACAAATAAATTTGTTTTTCCAATTGCTATTTTCCTAGAAGTCTAAAAGTTACTCACTTTTGAATGAGACATCAAACGAAAAAAAATCCACCAACATTTAGTTATTGAATTATTTCTTCACAAAACTTTGAATAAGTTGCTGCCAGACAATAATTCGGCTCTCGCAGGACGGGCTCATTCGTTCACAAAATGAAATTCCTTTTTCAAAGGGATGCAGACGCCTAAAATCGGAATAAAGTAGTTTTTTTTCAAAAAAATAAAATAAAAATACTAGTTGAAGATTGGTTAGGAAAATTTTTGAAGGACACTTTTAAGTATTATTTTACTTCCATGATTACTTTAAAAGGTACGTTGGAAGGACACGCCAGCACCCCATCAATTGGTGGATGACGTAGCCATCTTCCCGGTGACTTTGTGCCTATATGAAGGACATTAAATAATGAATTGGCTTTTGATAGAATCAGCGGGCAACTGACTCTTTGATTCTTCTCTCGACTCACGCGAATCCAGTCAGGAAATGTTACTGCACCACTGCTAAACTGATCTGGTTGAGTCTTATTGACAGTAAGCTGGGCATGTTGCAATGGCTCTTAGAATGAGTTTCTTGATTTTAACGTTAGTGGTAGGAGCAAGTTATGTCATTCTCCTGGTCATTCTCACGGGTCACTATAACTCTGCATTTGGACGGTATCTTACCATTGCCCATCAGCTGATAAAATCTAATGGTACAGACAGTGTGAAGAACAACGTCTCAAACTTGAAGACAGCAAATACTCTGAGTTCATACGACAGACATGACTCCAGGCTTATTGTTAACTCCCATGAGTACAAACTCCTCGTAGATGAACCTCGAGCCTGCTACGATGCCGCAGGGGCCCCCAGGGAGGTGTTCTTGTTGGTGCTCATCACAACAATTCACGCCCACACCGAGCTGAGAGAGGCGATTCGCGAGATGTGGGGAAGCCCACGAGAGGTCAGTGGAAAGCAGATTGTCACACTGTTCCTGTTGGCTCAAAACAAGGATGCTAATCTTACGCTTACGCAGCAGGTGGTGGAGGAGTCCAACAAACATCACGATCTCCTCCAGGAAGATTTCCAAGACGCCTACAAGAACCTGACCCTCAAGACCATCATGGGTATGAAGTGGGCCAGTACGCACTGCCCCCACGCCTCCTATGTCATGAAGACAGATGATGACATGTACGTCAGCTATGACAACCTGGTCAAGCACCTGACCAACCTATCAACCCCATCCAAAAATTATGCTGTGGGGTGTCTAATCAGAGATGCCCTCCCTTTCCGGGACCCCAAGAGCAAGTGGTACATGTCAAAGGAATTGTATCCTGGACGCATGTACTCGCCATACCTCTCTGGAGCAGGATACGTGGTCACTGGGGATCTGGCCGGGAAGATTTACCAAACGTCTTTGAAACTTCAATACATGCACATCGAGGACGTTTTTGTGGGTGAATGCTTGAAATCATTGCATATTATGCCAATGGATAGCAGTCAGTTTACATGTTGGAAAAATCCTGGGCATTCCTATTGCCGTTTGCAGCAGATGATCACCATTCACGAATTAGCTCCATCGGAAATGCGTAAGATGTGGAGCGACCATCAACACCAAATTAAATGCTATAATGAGACAGACTTAATTACATCTTGACTGATTTGTTTGTTTTAAATCTGTTTGGCTCTGCTCTTGCCATTATAGCAATAGTGTGAAAACTTCAAATTAGGTTTTGCCCTGCACCGACGTATAAACACTGTATACTCAGTGTGTTACCTCCCAAGTGAAAGTTGGAAAAAATCATTTGGGTGGGACTCAAACCCATGACCTCCTGCCTTCTAGTGCAGACGTCTTACCACTTGACCACCAAGCTAACGGGATTGGTTGGCTGGTTCGAATCTGATGTACATAGCAGTGGGTACTGAGCATACAGTGTTTATACGTCGGTGAAGGGCAAAACCTAATTTGATTTACATCACCCCGATGCAAAATTCCATCTTATGAATAGTGTGAGAGCTTGTTGTGCAATAGTATAAGGGTGGCCAGGCCTATCAGTGACCTTTTTAAATTTAGTTAAAAACACTAGAGATTCGCGTTTATTGAGTTACAAATGCAGAGTGATCGGGCAGACAACTATTTCATTAGACACTGACCAGTTCAATGTTTTTATGTCAGAACAGAAAAAGGATCACTAAATTTAGCCATTTGTTTTTTTTTTTTTTTTTAAATGCATCTTTTGAGGCATGATAAATTTCAGTATACATTTTATGTACACATACAAGTTGTTTCCGGTTTGGTGACGTTATCAGTCACAAGGGGGAAAGTGAATGTACTGATTTAGTTCAGAGAGGATACATGTTCATCGTGAAGTAAAAAGAACTTATGAAAATATGGAAATTATATTTAAGTATCGGTTTATGTATTAATATTACCTATCTTTCAATTTGATGATGTCACAGCATTTGGAAGCCAAAGGTCAACATTGTAACGGATATCATTATTTGGGCTACTAACATTGTCACGGATAAAATCGTTGCCTCAGTGCTATAAGGTTGTTAGCAGGTTTTTGTGAATTTGAGAAAATACAGTTTGAAGTTTTGGAGGTCAAGGAAAATTATAAAAACAAGCTGTCAACTACCCTGAATATGTTAGTTGGGAAGATTTATGTGAATATTTCAAAATTGTCATCTTTTGAACAAAAATTGCTTGTAATTTGATATCTGATGAAAGGTCTCACTTTGATTTCCATCACTACAAACTGACCTTGGCTTGAAGAAGAACTCGTTTTCAATCAGCAGTGTCAGAGCAAAGAAGCCGATTCCGATGATGCCCAAGGAGAAGATGTTCTGGCCGACGTTGTCCCATTCTAATGGATTGTATGGCTCAGGTGTAAGTCCTAGTACAAACACAGAAAACATTAGGTATCCTTGGGATTAACAATTTTCCAAAATGGAGAATTAATGAAACAGTTTGAATCAAACACACTTAGATTCTGACGTACAGAATTCAATGCAAACTTTATGAAGGGAATAAATATGTGCTTGGCTGGTTTTAGACAAGTTCGTTTAAAACTGGCTCAGGGGACTGGGCGCTGATAACGGCCCGAGCCAAATATTCCCATTCATAAATATTTTTGGTCAAAAAGTCAAAACACATAAATTTCCAACAATTTTGTTCACAATTTTACTGCATGTTTTGTGAAACACCCCTCTAGCTATATTTATGGTATGTCCAATACATATTTATTAATGGTACTGTAATACTAACAATCTCCTCATATGGCGATTGGCGCGCGAGTGGCGTGTATTGCGAGATGTGGCGCAGAACGCAGCGGTGCTGGTGTAGTGTGAATACCTAGGTTGAGATCAATTAGGAGATGTGTGAGGGTCAACCAATATAAAAGGGTAAAAGGGACCAGATTTCATAGGAGTCCACATTTCATGTGACACTTTAAAAAAGTGTTTAAACCCAGTCAATGTTTTATCAAGCCTTTAAACCACCCACATGATGGGCTCTTGACCAATAAGAATGGCTAAACCATCTTATAAGGGTGATGGCCAAGCCTGCGGCAAATAGAACCCATTTTTTGACTGTAATTTTATCAAGTCTGCCCTCAGATGGAAGTCCAAAAACTATAGGGAGTTGATCCTTGGCTACATTTGCACAATTCCACCATTTTTAAGCCAGACGGTCTCTTTTTTAAGTTGTGGGGGCACTTTTGATGCAAATGAAGAAATGTAGAAATTCTGTAAACCCTCATCAATCGCGAATTCATTGCCCCCGCTGTCGGTCTAATTGCGCCATTCAGATATATCGTCTATCTAGCCCCACCCCTCCCCCCCCCAAAAAAAAAAACACACTGAAAAATAATAGTAATTAAATATTGTTTAAAAAAAAGGTGCTCGTTTAATGAGAAACTCATGAAGTATAATATCCAAACTGATTGGATATTTCCAAAGTGTCCTTCCCATTTGGAAAAGTTCTTTTTGAAAGCCCATGGAGCGAAATGACCACCGTCCCATTATGAACACATTCAAGTAAAAGTTGGTCCGGTACTTCTGTCTAAACTTGTGCTTTATGTTGCAGCTTGCGGCTTTTGCCGAAGTCAATTGAGCACGATAGGCTGTCTGATAAAGGTTTGTGCACAAACCCCCGGGGCTTGGGGTTTTGTGTAGCCTGATGAGAGGACCACTTTTTACGGCAATGTGTAAGTAATGCTACAGTAAGCAGGCATTTTTCGCTGGCGGTACGCAGAGCCGTGAAAGTGGGTCCTGCTATGTTGAGCTATTATAAACAAGAATAAAATGGATGAATGTACAAGTCCGCTACGTAGGCCACATTTTTTAGCAAATGACTGTACCAATTAGGCCCTGCAATGCCATTTTTGGGGTACAAACACCAGACAAATCCTGTTCATTTGAAGATGTTCTGTAACTTTACTTCAATGTAAAAAAAATGAAGATTGCAAAAATGTATTTTTCTGCAGTCACATCTCTTTAACTGTATTTGAACACAAGTCTGCTTTTTATTATGTTTTAGTTTTCATTTTAAGCGTTACGTGTATTTGTTTGTGTCCATACATTTCCCTGTAACTATGAATAACTGTGTGATTGTTTTTTTTTACGTAAACATGAAGTTTTTACAGCATTGTAATAAGGGAATAACAGTGTGAGGATCCGGTCTTCACTGCGTGATAATGACCGGGTGTGGGGGTGACCGCAGTTAATGGACCTCGACGAGGTCCATTAACTGCGGTCACCCCCACACCCGGTCATTATCACGCAGTGAAGACCGGATCCTCACACTGTTAGGCGGACAGGCTAAATACCCCCTGTTCACTTACCGGGAGCCGCTTTCAATTGAGCCCCTCTTTTATCGGCTCCCGCTTGAAAAGTAAGCGGGTGACCTGTTTCTACAAACCGTCCCATGGTTGGCACTCCCGGCTCCCGCTACAAATAACCATGATTTTTATAACAATGAATCCTGCGGTTTCATACCCATCAGTGGCGGCTTCTACTCACCGACCGCAAAGACCTGGTACATTGCTAATCCTCTGATCTTTTGTCTGCCCTAAACATACAAGCCCCACTGCAAACCGTCACCATGCACGGCTGTACCGTGTGCGTTCATGCGTGGACCGTCTCCCGCTTTGGCTTGAAGGGTCCCACACTTCCTCAATAACAATACCGTCCCACGGTAAATGAACAGGGGGTATTTAGCCCGCCCGCCTTATTCCCATTAATAAATACCTTTTTAACGAAATAAACAGTTAAAATGCTCCAATTTTGTGACTTTTTCCGGCGATATTTCCAGACTTTTTTGTGTTCATGTTCATGGTCCATATTTTAGCTTAACAGCTATAACGACGTAAACTCAACAGAAACTGCTGCCGTAGCGAAACAAATTACAACAATGTTTTCATATCTTTACCTGATGGAGGAAGCTGAAATCTCGTTTACACATTCCTTGTGTCCGGAATTACAAAGATGCTTTGTTTTGGAAAGGTAAATATGTCGGTGGGTGAAGTGTTTCAAAGAAAATAAATTGTAGATCTACGCTTTCGTTGTAAACATCCTCAGTATATATTATATATACTGCACTGCTGTATGATGTCGTTTCAAAACTTCCTTACGCGCGCGCACACACGCATCCCTAGCAACTGTGTTGCGTATGCGCGCGTCAGTCTCACGCGATGGGGGTTGAGCTCATGTGCAGTGCTCAATTGTTAAAAGCTACCGCAGGACTGTTACTATATTTTGACCAATCATTGGCTTGCAATGGGGCTTGATCAATGCTGGTTCAAGGGCCATTTAATTGCTTGATCTTTGAAGCTGGTCCATTATCACCGTTAATGCCCGGCCACGTGATCGAGTCTCGACCAATCAGAAACCATCCACTCTCCAAGGTATTTATTAATGGTATTTCATCTATGTGCGGTACTGCGGTACTTTAAAAGATTACAGTAATTTACAGTTTCTTTATGATTAATCATTCAGATTTTTTTTTTTAATCTGGTTTGGTTTAAAATTGGGATTATTTTTTGTTTCTCGTTCTATTGTTAAGCACTTTGAGGAATATTTGATTCATATTGTGCTATATAAATGCTGTTTTATTATTATTATTATTAAGTGTAGTAACAAGTAAACCTGCGCCAATAAAAATGGATAAGTGTGCAAAAAAAGACATTGTTACAGTGCATTTCATTCCCTCCAGAATAAGACCTATTACACAAGCCGATATACAGGGTGAGTAAAAAAAAAACGGAACCCAAATCCCCAAAAAATCTATTTCATATTTAAACAAATATGTAGCACCAAAAATAATAATGACTGGAAAGCCAATTTCATAAGCTACTTTTAGATGAAAAAAATACTAAAATTGCTCAATCTGTTAAAAAAAATATCACCATTTAAACGCAATGACCCTAAAACCTGTTTCCTCAAAAAAAAACAAGAGCAATTTATTGTGTATGGAACAACAAAGAAAATGACACAGAATACTTGTTTTAACAATACGCAATATCTTCATTAACAACCCTGGTTAGGCAAACAATATGATTTATAAAATCCACCTTTTCTAAAACTTTGTTGAATATTTTTAACTTTTAAACTCAGGTTTTTTCGCTGGTGATGTTTGAAGACAAATGTGATAATCATTCTTGAAATTGCATTTTTTGGACGAAAGAGGTTTTAGGGTCATTGTGTTTTATGGTGATATTCCTTGAACAGATTGAGCAACTTCAGTAATTTCTTTCATCTAAAAGTAGCTTATGAAATTGGCTTTCCAGTCATTATCATGTTAGGTACTACATATTTTTTAAATATGAAATATATTTTTTAGAGTTTGGGTTCCGCTTTTTTTGACTCACCCTGTATCTAGCTATCCTTTGCTTACCGATTTCAGCATACAGTTCGTTGGTGAGTGAGTTGAGGGCCATGTCCACCAATCCTCTGCCGAGGCAAAACGGCGGAAAAATCAGGAACAGTTTCATCATGGCGTCATTGACAGCTGTCACACTCTGTAATGTAAGGAAAAGCATCATTTTTTCTAGTAAAATCAAACAAAAACTCAAACAAAAACACAAACAACAGAAAAATTGTCCTACACGCCTATCATTAGTGTGAATAAAAATAGCACAATTAAGCGGCAGCACAAAGTGGGTCACTGTTGTCACTCATATGGAGCTCCAAAATTTGGGGGGTAAACGATATTAAGTCCAAGTGTTGATGGGTTAATCCCAACTCCCTAGCGTCTTTTACGAGGAACTGGACCAAGTCCATCAAAATCTATCAATCACTGTGCGTCTAATACAAAACTGTACATGACATAATGGAATCCACCACTGATGCACTGGTTGACATTCGTGTCACATGGCTTTTATCACAACAGCAGTACAGGTAGCTAGGCAAAATCAATCGGATACCCCTAGCACTGCTTCAGGCCATTAGGCCCAAGTCCATCATACTCCATCATATTTAGTCACGCCAGGCCTTCTGGACCAAGTCTCCCCAAAACCAACCAAAATGGGGGGATGGATTTTGATAGAGTTGGGGTGGTTAGGGTTAATGCATGTATAAACAATTTGCTCAGCATCGGCATTATTAGACAGTTTCAGTACAATCCAATTCAACTGTTAATTCACGGTGGCGAAGCAAAAGCTTTATTATAGCTTTCTGCCAGCCTCCCCAATTCATCACATTCCACTAAAATTGTCATTGTTAAATAATATGAAAAGACAACAAAACATATTGAAATCAAACCACGATTTCCAAAAATTTGGCAACATAAAAACAAGTCACTCAAGTGGAAGAACAAAACATGTTGGGCAAATCACATCATTTTGGAAATGTGGGGTGGGGGAGGTGGTGGTCCGACCAAACAATGTTTTGAAAAAAAAGAGGGGCCCTCTTTTTGTACCCCCTCTTCCATGCCATCTTGTTTGTACACAAACAGCATTGACTTATCTGAAAAACCGACCGACCAAAGTGGCAGCATCTGATTTACATTGGAACCTTACAGATGGGGTTTATGGGGTTCTTGCATTGTTTTCCTTTATCCCTCTGCTTTAGAATTTCTCTTCTTTACAAAGGCCGACTTGAGGGGCATGGGCGTCAATCGGTGGGGACGTTTGTCCCCCCCCCCTTTACTCATCCCCGAATAAAATGATTCTATAGCTCAGAATAGCTGATTCAACGACTCCAAACTCAAAAATGATGTTTAAAAGATGATTTTGTGCTAAAAAAAAATTGGTTTAAGTGGTCAGAAATTGCCTCAGGTCGCACCACAGAGCGTCTAGAATCCAAATTTTTTTGGGCCCTCATGTGGCCCCCGAACCCCACTCGGTTTGTGCTTTACGCATCACGCTTGCATGCTCATCAAGTTATGTCCCCCCACTTTTGAGAAGCGATTGACGCCCTTGTTGAGGGGTACCATTCAGTACTGGTACCATTCAGTACTGGTACCATTGTTCTCTTTGTGTGAGTACCCCATAAGGTAGCTCTTGCAAAAGCACACTTAATCGGGAAAGGCCCTTTCCAGTTGAGAACCCGCTGGGAACACTTGCATTCCCGATGGGAACACTGTTCCTAAAAGCAACGTTCCATACGGAATGGGAACGGTCTGACTTTTGAGACGCTCCCTAACCTACACACCTCGTCACCGCCGCCCAAGAACTCCAAGATAAATGTGGTCATGATCGTCAGGATCCCTATCAGCATGATACCACAGGCTACTGTCAGATAGGCAGTGCTGGGCGTGGAGAAGACGAAGGAGGCAGGATAGGTCATCGGGGTCACTGCCCAGCTGGGAGAAGAAATACAAAAAATGCCAAAGTATTTGAGTCATGCAAATGATGTCACAATCACATATTGTTTTTTACAAACTTGAATGTGGCAGATCGAGACCAATGAAATTACAGTACCAATGACATAGAGCTGCAGTGTGTTAAATAAACAAACTCAGCAAATGTTGGCAGTGATACCTTTTTTTAAATTTTGGCTGACTTTTGTTTTTAACTCTCAAACCAGAAAAGCAAAATTTTGTATGGTCTGACAATAAGCCAGTTCCGTACTTGATGAAGTAGTCCATGTCAATGGGGTAATGAAGTAGTAGTGATGAAGTAATGTCAATAGCCATTCGGGATAAAATCGCTCACGTGATGTTAGCGATGTTACGCGGACGCCCCTTCTGCTTATTAAACACGCTTAGCAAGCATCATGCGCCCGGGCCCGTGTGCGTTCATGCGCCTTCGATGAGCGTTTGATTATCCCGAATGACCCGTGACCATATCATTGTGCGCATGCACAGTTGAAATACTGAACTGGATTATTAATGCTTGCATGGGTGCTTTTTGAGAGAATTTTTTAGTTAAAGCGTTGGAAAATGACACATTCTGTAAGAGAGAAATGATTCTGAGAAGAAGCACACAGGTTAAAACTTATACTCTTGATTCTTACTTGGACTGATGGGTACCGCAAACCAAGGTCCTCCCCCAAAAAACTACATAGAGACACAATCCAATCAAGCTCCCGCTTAGCATTGTCACACATTACTTCTTTCAGCATTCAACCCCTTAAGCTATGCTCAGGTCGACCTTGCGACGACACAGAACAGTCGGCGATTGACTTTTCAGGATCAAGCTGCGTCTGAGCTACGATCGTAGGAGACATTTCAGTCGCCAATTTTTTTGCCACCTGAGTGTAACTGCGACAGTATTAAAACGATCGGCATCAGTCGGTTCTCTATAAACTTATCAATGGTCGTAAGAGTAGAAAAATTTCAACTTCTGCGCCAAAATGGAATGTGTTCCAGACAGGGGGGAGTCAATCGCAGTCGCAGTCGCCATGCATCCGGATCACCTTATTTCATTGCGTAGCCGATATAGCGTGTGGCAAAAATGGTCGAATGAACAGACGTGGCCGTGGAAGATCGTTTGGATTGTTATCAACACACGCGCTGGCATTTTGAAGATGCCACTTGATCACTCCTATGCTGAGGAATCGTCGCCGTGTCATGGGTGACGTGAGCACAGTGCGATTATTTTGTGTCGAGATGCCGCTTGTTAATTGCCCATTTTCTCAGTTTTCTAACCTGAGCATGAGTTTTGTGCTTGATGCCGCCTTATGGCGGTCTTAGTTTTTGTCTATGGACTCCTTGCACAAGTACCCCCTCATGGTTAGAAAAGAGAGAGTTGGAGAGACCACTGGGAGAGACCACTTGACACTCACATGAAGATGCTACAGGTTTGCGGACATTCCAAAGAATACAAGTAATGCCTACTTTGTGCCTTACGCAAAGTATAATATACAAATAATGAATGTTTATGAATGCAATGATGAGAATATTTTCACGAGTTGAAAGATGGAATGTTCCATTGAACGAGGTGAAGCAGAGTTGAATGGAACATTCCATCTTTCACAAATTGAAAATATTCTCACCACTGAAGAATAAAAAACATTCATTATTGGTTTTATATAACATGCAAGTAGATTTTTGTCATTCAATTGAAGGATAAAACTATATGAACAAAAAAATGACAAAATTGTATTATATCCACTACTTTTATTTCAGCTTGTTCAAGGCCAACAAAGGTTTAAAAGCCAAACCATTAACAATATGAAAGTTAATATTGCAAAAAAAAAATTAGCAACGCAAGTTCAGTTCGTAACTGCATCCACTTCAAAGGCAAGTCTTGTACTGCTGTATAGAACATCTAAATAGCGCAAAGATCGTATAGCGCCGCTACGCGTCTTTGCATGGCACTACATGATCTAGGATGCGCATGCAATAGATCAAAAGGGATGGAACGAAAATGCATGGTGAATGGAACCAAAAATGCACGGTTAAGACGCAGGCCGTGCAATGGTTCGATTAATGAATGCCATGTGACATACAATCCTAAAAAAACGACCATGATTTGCTTGGATGTTATATAATCACATTCAATGCACCATCTAATGTTCAGAGCACTGAGCCCATACAAGAAGTATCTATTTTAATACTTACCCATACATGAGCAGGAGTAGGATAGTAGTGGTTATATTATCGCTACTTATAAAGGCTTGCTGCTGAAATGCGATGAATATCACAACGGTCAGCACAGCTGGTATCAGATAATTGGCCTGTCAATTACAAGAATGGAGAAACACAAGAATTGGTGTGAAATACAATCAAGTATTATTAAGAAAATGCTCTTTCAGTGTACAAGGAAAGAATAAGGAAATAAATGTGTGCTTGGCTGGTATTAAACACTCTGTTCAAGACCGGTTGGAGTCTGAAATGCTAATAATTACCCGAGCCGAAGGATAAAAAAAAAATCAAAACTTTTTGGTAAAAAAGTCAAAACAAGTAAAAAATAAAAAACTTTCAACGATTTTGTTCAACAATTTTACTTCATGTTTTTCGAAACATCCCTCAAACCGTATATTGTGGAATGTCGGGAAGTCGTAAACAATTCCTTATATGGAGATTGGCGCGCGTGTGCGTGATGTGGTGCAGAACGCACCTGTGCTGGTGTAGTGTGAATTTAGGACTATGAAATACTGACTCACTGGTATTGTTGTGCATGCTGACGTGAGGATTGTGAACGTTCAACCCTTAAAACGGTAAAAGGCACTGGATTTCATAGGAGTCCAAATTTCATGTGACACTGGAAAAGTGCTAAAGACCATGCAAGTTGAAAACTAGTAGGACAAAAAGTGAATTTGTTGAAGAGCACGGACAGTGCAACTTTAAATTCTATGCCGTTTTACCAACTTACCAAGTCCCAGATGAGTGTTGACACCCAGTAGGTGGTAGGACTGATACCGCTGACTATTTGCAGATGCTTGGACTTGGATTCGCGCTCGGTGATCAGAAAGACTACGAAGCTGGCTGGCACAAAGGCCAATGCGAAGACCACAAATATGGCTGTGCCCATGATGATCGGTGTTTGCTTCCTGTGGTACAGGCAAGATAATAAATAGGTTAACATTTAGAAAGTGATTCGGGTTGAGATTGCCATGAAGGTGACTATAGTAGTTATACCATGACTATGATGGCGATGAAGGTGACTATGTGCCAATGAAGGTGACTATGGCAATGAAGGTGACTATGGTGATGAAGGTGACTATATATTTTGAATGTGACTATGGTGATGAAGGTGACTAAGACGATGAAGGCGCAACTATGGTGATGAAGGTGACCATAGTGAATAAGGTGACTGTGGCAATGAAGGTGAATATGGCTATGAAGGTTACTATGGTGATGAAGGTGACTATATATTTTGAAGGTGACTATGGTGATAAAGGTGACTATATATTTTGAAGGTGACTATGGTGATGAAGGTGACTAAGACGATGAAGGCGCAACTATAGTGATGAAGGTGACTATGGTGAATTAGGTGACTGTGGCAATGAAGGTGACTATGGCTATGAAGGTGACTTTGGTGAATAAGGCGACTGTGGCACTGAAGGTGACTGTGGCACTGAAGGTGACTGTGGCACTGAAGGTGACTATGGTGATGAAGGTGACTAAGACGATGAAGGCGACTATGGCGATGAAGGGGACTGTGGTAATGAAGGCGCGACTATGGTGATGAAGGTGACTATGGTGAATAAGGCGACTGTGGCAATGAAGGTGAATATATGGTGATACGGCGATGAAGGTGACTACAGTGACGAAGGTGACTACGGTGATGAAGGTGACTATAGCAATGAAGGTGACTATATGGCAATGAAGGTAACTATGGTGGCAAATAAGGTAATGAAGGTGACTATGCACAGAGTCTATACACCATTACACTAGTGCTAAGATTCACGCGTAAACTCACATAACTCGCTCCGTGATCTGGTCACCAGTCATATTGATGGGATGGTTGTAAGCTGTGATGCCGTACTGGTCTCGCTGCGATTCCTCAATGTTACCTCTGAATTGCATGTTACTAGCCACGTTGATGTAGGCTGGCAGAGCATGGAAACCTGTGTTGTCCCACCAGACCTTTGGAAGAATGGATCAGTTTGTTCAATAATTACAAGAACTGCTTTTTGAGAGAAGTAATCATTACATTCAGCCAATATATACAGGCCTGTGCTGGAAGCCCCTAGTCTCCCAACTTGCATAAAAACTTACCTCTCCTTTTGTAACAGGTCAATAAACTCAAACTTTGTACACCAACTCTCTAAATTTCACCTCCCCATTTTGGAAAAAACTTATGTTGACACAAGAGAACAATCACACTGGGCCATGATAGGGGACGAGCCACGTCTTATGGACTATCAACATAGAGTGTCATTACCGTAGTGAGAGACCCGAGGTGCGCCGTAGCTATCGGTCAGCACATGGGTGAAAATCATCACACTCAAGGCACACTCACAGATCTCTTTTGCTCCATCGGCAGGTCTAATTTTTTTTCTATTTTTCTCCATTCAATCAACAACCATTCATTTACATCTAACTTTGGCTCTACTGAAATGCATGTTGTTCTTATTCACTTATCCAGGTCCAAAAAATCTACCCTATTTTGTTGCCTAACGTTGGCATAAAAACAAATGGCGGACATGAATGTCACTTCGGCCCGCTGATTCTTGTGACCTTGGCCTGTACAGCTATGTTTCTTATGTGTGTGGTGGTGGGGTGCAGTATTAATGACTTGACTGTAGTAAAGTTAAATACTACGTCTGTGTCTGCAAATTGATCAGCCATTGATAAAATAGCAATCTTTTTTTGCCAATTTTCCCACGTCGCAACCGAAAGACTTTTTCATTATTGTCACAGTGTATATGGTGTATGTTTAAATGCACTTTCATGTATTGAAGAAATGTGAAATGCAATTTTGCGGCCTGAAATGGAATTTCGGATTTTGCACTTTTCTGAAACGGAAAATCATTGGCCCTGCATTTTAACGCCATATAGTTGCCATGCATCGGTACTGTGATAATTGTGTTCCACATGAAAACAAAATAGCTGTCTTACCTTAACGTTCTTGAAGCGTGCTAGTGACAGCAGCACAGCATAGAACTCCCTTAGTGTGCCATCTGATGGCAGCAAATCCCCAGCCTAGAAGAGGAAACAAAAATGTTACCAATAATAGCCACAAGATCAGCAAATCAAAATCTAAGGACAAGGATGAGAACATTTCATGTAACCTGATTCGAATTCTCTAAAGAACTAAGTGTTTTCAGTCTAAGTAATAGTCCAATGTTTGAATCAACCAAGGCACTGCCTGGCCAGGGGCGGGTTTTCGCGACCGTGACCAGAAACATGTTTTAGCTTTGTAGCAAGTAATTATCCACGGACTATGATGCAGACTTGGAACTTAATGGTGGGGTAAGATCATTTGTCATTTGTGCATTCGCTTGAAGCAAGAAAAGTATATTCCGAGAAAACAATATCTCAATTTCAGTTCAAAATTCCGGAATATGTTTTGAAATATTGAACCCGAAATCAGCATCCAATACACGTTCTCATTCAGCTGATTGCAGCTTCACAATGTCACGCACTGAACCGACAAATAACGGCAACCACGCGTGTGTTCGCCGAGTTACAAACCAACTACAAATGGAAATTCCCAAAAATGCACCATATGCCGCATCTTTGCAAATGGCCTTCTTTTGTTGTTTACTCCAAAATGACAGCATGCCAGGAAGAATAATTTCATAGGGAGTTTAGTGCCATTTTATCTTTAAACTAAGTAAGCTTTTACACAACAATTTTGTCAGTCACTTTTTTGATCTCTGCAAATGACCTACTCTACCTTTCAATTACTGAGAAAATGTGGTTGACATTGCACTGGAAAGATGCTCTATTTTGCAATGAAGTGGATGGATCATTTTCAAAATGGTTACGGACTTCTAGATTTTTTTTCTGTAGCTTACACAAGTAATTTCAATGATTCTTGTATTAACAGAAAGCTTATGAATTGGGCTTTCATATCCTTCCTTTTGAAAGTACAGTGAAATCTCGATAAGTCAAACTCTGATAACTCAAAACAACTGTTAAGTCAAACAAAGAATTCATTCCCTTCAGTTTAATGATATACAACCCTGCGTAATGCAAACTCTGCTTTAGTCAAATTTTGAGCCTGTTCCCTTAAGGTTTGACTGATCGCCGAGATTTCACTGTACTACATACAGAACTTCACTAAAACAATGGTTCCAACATTTGAGCTTTGTTTTTTTTTAACTCACCCTGTAAGTCTCAATCACCTGTGAGTGTTTGTGCATTTTTCTCGATTGTTGAAGTGTGGGTATTTAGCATTGGTGCCTATGCATAACTGCCAACTTTTCAAAATCCCAATTAGTAATCAACCCGCGTGGTCATTTTCAACTGCTCGTTTTATCAAAAGCTTTACCAACATCGAGTACAGGTACATGGTTTACATGTACACATACATGTGCATACCCTTCTTGTTGTGAATAATAATGTACTGTAGGCCAAAAGATAATTTAAAAAAAAAAATTTAAAAAAATGAATTTTTTTTTTTAATATATATATATTTTTATTAATTTTGTTTTAATGTCAGAATTTGTTTGTTGAAGTCAAATAAATAATAACAATAATAACGTGCACATATTTTTTGGGAGATGCATGCTATCGATGAGTTTCGAGTTCGTATCAATGTTTTTACACACAATGATTTAGGGCCACCGTATGCAATAGAAATATCCCGCCAACATACCTTGCAAACGCATGCTGATTTATCTTTTCTGGACGATGTGACAAACTCAAACTCTATTACCAATTATTCCAACCATACTCTTATTAAATTCCATGATTAAAATCTCGCACTGATGGGTCTCATCCCGGCAATAAGCGACCAAATGTGCTCATGATCGTCACTGAAAAGTACTCACATACAGTACACACAACCACACATCCACGATATGCACACAAATGACACACCATTGAAAAATAGTTTTAGTCTGGTCCTCAAGTACTCCACTGCGCACACTGCATTGATGTCTATCAGGTGCTTGACTGCATTCTTATTAGACTTGTCACCAGTCCATTCATTATCGCAATATTTCGCCAGAAGTTTTCGGCCAAAAACGATACTTTTACAAGTATTTTTTTTTTCGTTAGGTAGAAAATGGGAAATTCGTAATGTTTTAGTGGCAAATCGTATTTTCGTAATTTAACAAACAATTCGTAATAATTACGAAAAATTAGTAACAGTTGGCAGCTATGCCTATGTGAATTTATTTACTGGTCTGCACCCGTAACAACTCACATCTGGCGGAATGTCCTCCCTGGCTTCCATGGCCGTCACTCCTCCAGCGCCACCAAAGGGGTTATCCCAGTTGTTGCTCCAGTCAGTCAAGATTTCTTCGCTGATGTTCAAGGTCAGCGGAGCCATTTCGTCCGTCTCTAGGAAACTCACACCACCAAACCTTTTGGGTTGTTGAAGAAAAAAACGTACCAAATAAAAACCTCCTGTAAACTGTGTACGAAACTTTATGGAACTCCACTTGCGCCACAATTTATTGTATAAGTCGCGCAACGTTTCAGGCTGCGCAACGTACATTTCAGCCATGGCACATTTGACTAAAGTTTGATAGTGCGTACGTCCGCAATTTGCACAACAAATAGTGGTTTAACTTGCACAATTATTGTAGGTGGTGTAAGTTGTGGCGTAGTAACTGAAAATAAACTGTTTTACTAGAAAATCATGATCGTTGTGGAGCCTGTTACTGCACAACCTATCAAGGTTGTTACAAGACACTCGCTGACAGCTTTGTTTTTGAGGTCTATGTATTACAATTTTACTCATGACTGAATTTGTTTGTTTGTTGGGGAGTTTGTTTTGTTGTTTCTTTTTGGAGGGAGGTAAAAGACAGCACTGTCAACATTTTTATTTGCAGCACATGAAAAAATTGTTGTTTATTTAACTTAGCATATCTATTTGTTGATGCAATTGTTACGTCTTCCCTGCACATTCACAAACTTGAACTGTTTATCTTTACAGCCGTGTAGTTGCAAAGGCCGATTTCTAAAGGTTAAGTAATACTTTATTTTGAATGAAACAACATGCACACAGACATGTACACGTTCGCGGGCGAAATCTTTGAAAATCTATTACTCCCGTTTGGAAGACCGTATCTGTATGCAAATTTCAGGTTTGTTTCCCTTACAATGATCCAATTTCGTGCTAAAAATCGTTTTGATATGTTCAGTACTTTTTGTTGAAATTGGAAAAATAGGCCTGGTTACGTGCATTTTTAAAAGTTGCAACACAGCTGTTTGCAATATCTGTCAATCTCTTCAAGCCTCACAAATATTAATAAGGTTCCTATCCATTATGGTGTGCAGTAAAACTTGGCAGAATAGCCTCCTTCACGAGTTATTAATTAATAAATATCACCCTTTTTGCCGGCTTCCATTGGTCGATACTGAGACCCACGCGAAGTTACGCCGAGTCACGCTAATGAATATGCTAAATGCGCTTCGTCATTGTTGCCCAAAAATCGGTCAAGCATGCAAGCCAACCTGAAAATCATGCACGCGAGTTTGGGAGGCAAAAAACCCTCGTCAAAATTTTGCTTGGAGATAGTTCAAGGTGTAACACAAGCGTTTGCAACAACAGATTGAGCTAAAATTCGGAATACACTTAGATGATATAAGTGTTCAACTAATCGTGAAATAACAACTTCAGGAGATTTCTAGAAATTGAGACAAATACATAGATTTGGGACATTTTCGAACGATTTTGAACTAGCTTTACCAGTAACCAGTATTGACGTTTCGGCATCGATGACGGCGATTTTAATACTGATATGAAGTTTAGAATTTCTTGCTTCCGTTTTAATTTAACGTTCCAATCATTCTGAGCATCTTTTCTGAGAAACACAACGTTCAACAGGCCATGTGTTTTGGGGGCGCATGAATTTCACTGCTCTAGTTTTATGTTATAGCATCTAAGTACATAATCGGATTAATTTTGTTTAACAACGGGGATGCTCAGGCCTTCGCAACCACACGGCTGATTAGATTGAACCGTTACCTTTTCCAGACGTATTCTAGTGTGGTTGTCTTCAGGTACCAACTGATGTTCATATTGGTATGATTCTGTAAGAAGTCTGTGGTCGGGACAACCCTCTCTGGAGGGGCTGGACCCTCGGCCCCCTTGTCACAGGTCTCAAAGCCACTGCCGCTGCAGTCACATTCCAGCTCCCCCTTCAAAAATTGGTCATAGAGCGCTGGGTCCATGTGGGACGTGACGTACCAATCGGTTGATTTGCCCGGTTTACAAAGGAAATCCCTTCAATGGAGAGAAAACAAGAAAACAACGACTCGTAAGAATTCTTATGAGACATTATTTTTCATTGTGAAAAGAATTTCCTAATTTTGACACGATACAAGTCTTGACATCAGTGAGGCAATTTCAAGTAAGCTAGCACAGAAATGCCTTCTGCAACATGCACATCAGACATTTTCCCAAGGAAAACAGTGGTGGACAAAGGGGAAGAGGTGTAGAGCCTTGCCCCCTCCCCAAACAAAGAATGAAAGCAAAACACATTTCATTATGACGCTTCTCTGGCTGTAGGGAACAGGAGGTTGGGGTGTGCTCTAACCTTACATACTCTTTGTGGACCTGTAAACAAAAGAGGTCCACAGGATGCAGGAAGCATGAACGTTTTGTGGACTTGCCCACGTCCACACTAGATTCCCCCTCTCTGGAAAATAGGTTTAGAGGCATTTATGGGTTTATCTGTCACAAAATGAAGAGGAACGCTCAAGGAAATCGCGATAAAAAAATTGGGTTGAAAGAGTGTTCACAGTGGGAGGTCAATGAGTGTTTTCTCTGGTTTTTCTTAACTACACGAATACAAAGGAATGTCCACAGTAGGTATGTAAGGTAAGGCTGAGAGGAGGGGTGGCCTGGCCCAGTATGGGGAAGGTTCTTATTGTTAGGCAAATTAGGACCGAGTTATGGGGACTTTCTGCTGTCCCCACACCATTTTTGGTACCCACAAATACCTCGTACCGACGAGTGTATGTCCCCACAACTACGGAACAAGAATCCTAGGGTATGTGTGTGTGACACACCCCAACCCCCACCCCTAATCCTTCTTGTGTAAAATCCTCGTCCTATTGGCAAAATCATGTGTCTGTCGGCAAATACGCTGCTACTCATAGCGCCACCTATTCCGACTTGTCTAGATCCACCACTGGAAAAGGTGATGAATATGCTCCTTTTTATTGAGGATTTTTGCCTGCAAAGTAACATTGAAATGATAAATTGGATATTACATTGTACCATAAATCTTCTGTAATTTTGCAACTATTGCAAAATCATTATGTCGCTCTTGACGTGTATAACTGTTCTGTTTCCTTTGTTTTATTTGATTTTATTTTGGTTAAATTTTTTTCTTGACTCTGACTCGGACTCAACATTAGTGACTCGTGACTTGGACTCAGACTCGACCCACATGACTTGGGACTCGGATACAAGTCTGGGCTCCCACGAGTAGCCATGCATACAGGGCAATTATGTACACGCACGGAGTCAACAAGATGACCAAATTATTGATCTAAATTTACACAACTTACCTGTTCACAAACGGGTTGTCCGCCATACACCTGGTGCCTATGCCGGGCTGGTCCTCAGCTATGGTTGCCTCCATTCCTGCCGCTAGAGCACTGTCGGGGTCGTCGTTACTGTAGAAGATGTAGTTTGGGGTACCGGTCAGCCAGGGGACCAGGGGAAGTTTCTCTCCCTCCGTCGGCACTGGTAGCACGACGGTGAAGACCATGGCAAGACAGACAAAGACTACGGGGAGGATAACCTGCAGGAACAAAGACAGATTGATGCATAAGGAATGGAAAAGGCCACAGTCTTGGATTACTGTTTAACACGTCAGCAACATTGCGTTGGGTGGCATGGGTGGCTAAGTGCGTAAAGCACTCGCCTCTCACCACTGTGGACCGGGTTCGATTCCCGGCTCGGACCATATGTGAGCAGAGTTGTCAGTTGATTCTCTCCTGTGCCACAAGGTTTTTTTCTATGGGCTTTCCGGTTTTCCTTCCTCCACAAAAATCAACACTTTCGATGTGCTCCGTGGTCAGACATGGGTCGTATGGCAGCTGCCTGAGACGTCTTTGCATGCCTTCGGCTCGACCACGTTGTAGCCGCCTACTTTGCAATCCAGCTTCTCAGCTGCGAGTAAGGATGATTAGCCCCCTATAGTATTATAACATTGTGTGTATTTATAGATCCATAAAGATCCATAGAGAGTCAGGCGGTTTCAGGTGGTACCGTGGGCGAATCGGGGTGGTATAAAGACTAAATGGTTAATTTGTCGGATACCACCTGACCAATAGACCAATCCACTAGGCCGTGCATGATGTTTTGATAACCACAGCCGTTATAAATGTCCGAAATTCATGCGCAAATATCCGATATGTGAACATGCGCATATGATGTGTGCACTCTGGAACATGCAGTATGGCAATGGAAAGGCCAAGTGTAGTTGCCCATGTGCGCAGTGGGCGGGTCCAAATGGATGTCTTTTATCAAACCCCGCCCACTGCACACTTGAGAAACTACATTCATAACTCCAATGTCAAACATTTTTAGTGTTCCACGAGCATAGTGGGATAACAAATTTATCTTCAAACAAACTTGACGCACAGTAAAGATGGAACACACACATGCTGTCCAAGAAAGACATTTGAACAGGCACTGCTCCGACTTACCTGGGCAAAGAAGCCTTTCTTGCTGCGTCTGAAGTGATGGAATCTCTTGACCATGAGCGCCCAGAACTGTCTGCAGATGAGGCTGATGCCGTGAACCTCGCGACCGGTCAGGTTCCTGGCACACGGCTCATTGCTTTCGGCATCTGGCATGCGCACGTTAGCCACCGATACTGCAAGAGATCGAAATTCAACATCAGATGTCATTATTATCCACAAATGCACTTGCAGATCAATACTTGTGATTGACTTTGAATGATCGAAAAGACTGTGGAATTTTGGGAATAGCATGTTGACACAGTTGTTGTGAGTGTGCAATGTGGTACTTTCCTTCCCTTTCACCTCTACGACGTGGGTTCGAATCCTGCCTGGGCTGACATGTTGATTGACTTTTCAGTCCCGATTTAATTGTTTTTTCTCCCAATTGTGAACTTGCACTATCAATTTTTTATCTCTGGAGAGTCAGGTTGGTGTAGCGGTACATTCCTTGCCTTCCACCACTGTGACCCGGGTTCGAATCCCGCCTGGGCCAATATGTGGATTGGGTTTTCATTCCCTGCCTGATTCTACGCGTTTTCCCTAAGAATATTATTCTGAGGTTTTCCTCCCACTTCTAAAACTTTAATTTCTTCTCACTGTTTTCTCTGTTTCGGTTTCTTCAGGCTTGAGGAATCCCTGGTTTCATGACCATTAAAAATTAGTAATAATAATAATACAAATAAATATCCACTAGTCTCTCTAATATAAGGCCTAGAAGCTGCAGTAGCTTTTGAGGAATCCTTGGTTTCATCACATAAATAAAGTAAAGTCTGCGATCAAAATTTATATCAACCGTCAGTTGAATAAAGACAATTGACATTAAGTGGAAGTAAAAAAAACCAACAACGTCTTCAATACTCTACTGCATGGTGCTAAGCCAACTGAGCATTCCAACCCTTTGTTCACTCAGAGCATCATTTTTTTTTGTACTCGTGCATTAGGCATGGATTCCACATTTGGGTTATGACAAGAGCACAACAGTTTGGATGACAGTCACAATTCAAGAGACGGTAGCTAGTACATAAAGTGATAATGTTGTGTTGTCGTAGCTGAAGGTTCGCATTCTGCCGTAGTAAATCTTTTTGTTTAAATCAAAAATTGGTTTCAAAATGAAATGAATAGTTGAACGTGAATGGAAATGGAATATGCTACCTTGTCTGGGAGCTGCATGGAATGACAGACTGAACAATGACTGGGCATGAATGTGCAATGATGGCCGGGACGATGAAGTCAATACCTGCAATGGCAATGCATGATTACGATCAGAAATGCACTATGGAAACAAAATGAACACCGAGGCCTCTTGAGTACTGTCAAGCACGGTTTTGTGCAAACTTCTCCTTGCTGATTCAATAATGATGACTCCCTCCCTGTACGTTTTGGGTGACGTTGCAAATTACGAGGGATGAAAGGATTGCACTTGATCAAAGGGGAGGAAACGACTGCAATTATTACATATTGGTTCTTGGATAGTCTAATCTCATTGGTCTAGAGTGGTCACATGTCAAGTTTATACAAATGATTGTGTCATAATTTACATAACTCAAATACCGCCTAGCATAACTTTTGAAACACAATGGCACAGCGTCTGGCATAGCATACACTGCACATGTGTACGGCATGCTTTGCATGTCTGCAGCAGAGCATTTCATATCAGACATCAAACTCCACGGAAATCCAAGGTTACATTGTGGTGACATGTTTCACCTATTGCAGATACAAGACTGGTTCATACACAGCACAAAAGCAAACGCGACTGTGATTTCTTTTTTTAGATCAAATCAAGTTTTCACGCAGCGAATTTGCAACAGTTGAACACATTTCAACTCTGGTGAATTTTGTAGCGAGGATTTCATGATGTCAAAGTCGCTTCGCATTTGCGTTCGTGTGAAGCAGTAACTATAGCCTAATTATGTCACAACTTTTCTCTATCTGACTTTTATAGTTGGAGGCGTGACACAGTATAACAATATCTGAATGCTGTGAAGTGGGACATGAGGGTTTAAAACGCCCCAAATTAAAGGAACTAGCCACCCTCAGTTTCGCCTTGGACGCCAAAAATTCCACCAACATCCCAACACACAGCAATCCACAACTGTAAATAAAAGCATGGATGTCAATAATGGAAATGACGATGAAAAATACTCAACAAATAAGTGAGCATTGTTGTGATACCAAATAAACACTTTTGGAGATGGTACATTGGAGGACAGATGCAGTTGCAGTGAACATTTCTGAACGCGGAGCAGTACAGTGCATACTTTCTGTGGTGGATATCCAAAAATGGAAGTGCAAAGGATAAGATAAATTTGCAAAAAGTGTGGGTATGGGGGAAGAAAAGCCTCCCTTGCTGCCCCCAACTTCCACTACCAATGATGGACAATTGTCTGGCCTGTCTTTTATACAAGAAGTTGGATGGGGTGTGGCCTAGTGGTTAGGGTTCGTGACTCATGATCAAAGGGTCAGGGGTTCAAATCCAGCTGCTGACCATATGCTACGTCCTTGGGCAAGCCACTTCACCCCTACTTGCCTCTCTCCACCCAGGAGTCTAAATGGGTACCGGCATAAGCCGGGGAGTAACCAGCGATGAACTGGTATCCCATCCAGGGGGAATAGAAATAACTCTCAGTCGTTTCATGCCAAGGAAACCGGAGATAACATCAGCCTGATGGGCCACATTGGCCCATGAAAGACTTAACTTTTTCCTGTACTCCCCATTCCACCACCTATGGACAGAATGTCTTGTTCGTACTTAATGTAAGAAGTTTCTAGCCTCACCGTCTTTCTTTTGTGTCTCCATAGCCTGGCGGCTGGCCTGGCGATTCAGCTTACGGCTCATATGCCTGCTGATCTGCCGATGCATCTTGGGCCGGCTGGTTTGCCGGCTGGACTGCCGATTCAGCTTCTGGCTGCCGGACTTGTAGCTCCTCTGCCGACGGTTACCTCCTTGGCTTGCCTCCTCGCTAGGGCTGTCGGTATCCTCAGGATTCTCGGCTTCCTCCAGGTTGATGCTGTGGAGGCTCTGTGCGTCGGCTGCAGGTTCCTGAGCTGCTTGATGCTCCATGTCCACTTCTAATATCAAAACAGAGTATACAACAATGTAGTTTTAAAAGTTGACCTACCCCAACTAGGTGGTCCATGATTCTTAGCAAGTTGCATTGTGAACCTCAATGCCCGTTCCCTTATGAGACTTGGGGGGGGGGGTGGGGTGGGGTGGGGGGGGGGGGGTTGGTCAACCACTTAATTGGAATTTTTAATCTCAACAAGCGCAATATGTACTGTGTTGTGCTAAGGGTGCTAGCAACATGCTTATTCTACCAATGGACGTTGGTTTTAACAGAAGTCATCATACTGGCAGTTTTGTACATCATGAGGCTAAGCAAGTTTCAAAAAATAAAAAGTTAACTTACTGGCGATTTTTTTTCTTCGGGGGATGGGGAAGGGGGGGGGGGGGAGTGGGATGGAGGGGGGAGGGGCATTCAAGCCCCTGGGCCCTCCCCAAGTACTTGCCTTACCTATACCCATGTACCAAAGTGCCATTTTTAGTTTGTTTCCCGAGATTAACCAACAACATCGATAACAGATCGAATAACTACCTTCAAATGGATTTTAAAATGTTTACATTACTTTCAAGTCATTGACACTTCTGTAAGTTTTCCACCAATACTGCTCAAACTGTCCATTTTAGGCATTTGAGAACAGTTAAACTTTAAGAACATGTGTCAGTGCAAACATTTGTGATGCGATCAAGCTAAATGAGTTGTTTGTCAAGCCTGGTCATTTTTTTTCTTTAAGATCTAAAAAGAGCACAATCTCAGCATAACTGCTGTGAAAATCCTATGCTGGTACCATCTTTAGTTCAAAATTATGAAAGTCAGAACACCAAGAGATGTGATGAAGTGATGTGATGAAGTGGCCCTAATTTGGCCCCTGAATCTCCAAATGAAAGTTCCCGACAAACGACTCATTTAGCTTGATCGCATCACATTTGGTTGGTCAACTTCATGACCTTTGAATTTTAGAACAACATGTGCACATGTATATACTCAATGCAAACGTTTGGTCGGTCAACTTTATACCCTTTGAATTTGTCACTTTTTTAGGCACTCACTTTTTATACAAAAATTAGACTTGTTCAATATTGGCTTTCTTGCCACTTCTATGGCTGTAGTAAGGGGACTTTTCTTGAAACCTCCAGGATGGTTTTGCGATAAAACTGTGCTTAACTGGCAGGCTGGTTTCAGGTGGAACATCCGTAACTAACTTGATAATTATTCAAATCCCCCAGATTACTCATTCTAAACGTGTGGCTTCAAGAAATCTTACCATCGTCGCTCACAAGTGCCTGTCCGTTAGCAGACGACATGCTCTTGTGCCGCACTTTCATACTGCGCCTGCGTCGTTCCTTGATGCTGGAGCTCTGGGCTGGGAGTTGGTAGCTCCGCCTCTTCAGGCTGCCCCGCCCCATGAATGGGCGAGGCAGGGCTCCGTTGTCCGTTCCCTGGCTGGTTTCGCCTTGGTTAAAGACTCCTACGTCATCGGTGACTGACAGGAATACCTGTGGGCAATGGGACAGTGTGTCAACCCAAGAAGCTAACAGAGAAGTTTGAGGTACCACCTGCTAGAGCAGCATTTGAATCAGTTACAAGTCAAATCACAAGTCTATCACAAGTCAAATCACAGGTATTTTGAACATCTTGGATGAGGATAAGTACTGCTTTTATGATGGCTGTTTGTGTGCAATTTCAAATCAGAAAAACAACTTTGTCTGACTTTCTTGCATTTCATTTACTTAAAAAACAACGCCATGAAATTCTTGATAGGTTTGGTAGAGACAGGCATCCGAATGATTTATTTATTTATTTATTTTTATTTATTAATTCTGGTACTGAAACCAAGGCTTCCCCAAAATAGGCTATAGGCACTGTAATTAGCTCGAAAGCCTGAAGAAATCTGTAGAGAGAAGTGAATGAGAAGAAATTACAGTTTTAGAGGTGGGAGGAAAAGCCCAGAAGAATATTCTGGGGAAACCCATGGAATCAGGGAGGGACTGAAAACCCAATCAACATATTGGCCCGGCCGGGATTCGAACCCGGGTCACAGCGGTGGAAGGCGAGGAAAGTATCGCTACGCCAACCTGACTCCCCCTGATCAGGATAGTCAGTAAAATAATCCATTTTCTAACTAAATTTACAAAACTCCACCAGAGTTATAATATCTTAATCTGCATTCAAAGCAAAAAACAGGATCTCTGTCACGTCGACAAAAATTCAACCAACCTCTTCCAAGGAGGTGTCCGAGATGCCAAAGTTGGTGATGTAGAGCTGATCTTTAAACGTCTCCAGTTCCTTGAAGAGGAACTCCAGGGAGCCTTCCTGGGTGGCTGCCGAGGGGAGCATGTAGGACAGCTCGGTGCCCAGGTTCTCACAGAGGGTCGCTGAGGGGAGGTAGCTCTGGATGAAGCTGGTCACAGTTCCCTCCTGACAAGAGCCGCAGTCTGGTAGGAAAAGAAATAATAGGTCACAAGTTCTCAGTGGGGTTCCTTTACATTAAGTCAGCAAATGACTTTCAGATAAAAATTTGTGTCACAACAAATAGTGTGAATGAATGGGAGGTTTGTGATAACACCATCTGAATGATATCCCTTAGTGAGTTGTGTTGTTCTGAGAAGAACCAGTTGGTTTAACTCGATGTTTTGAATAGTCTGCTCTGCTCGTCATCAGGAGACTGTCTCCTGATGACGAGCAGAGCATACTGTTTGAAACGTCGAGTTAAACCAACTGGTTCTTCTCAGAACCACACAACTCACTAAGAGATATCGTTTCGGTTTGCGGTAACAACATGTGGTAATAACTACTATCACTCAGTAGATATTTAGTTCTGATTAGAACTTGTCCTGCTTATTACCAACTTTCGCTAAGTAGTTTTAGTTCTGATAAGAACAGTCCTGCTATAAGTTTTAAAAGAACTTGTCTTTGGTTTCAACGTTTCAACTAGCCTACTCTAGTCATCGTCGGGAGACAAAAAATACTTAGCGAAAGTTGATAATAAGCAGGACACGTTCTTATCAGAACTCTTACCACATGGTGTTACCGCAAACTGAAACAATACTGATACTCCACCATGCAAAGCCTAAAATATTACATCACTAAGGGATATTATTCACATGGTGTCACTGCAAACCTCCCATTCATTGATCATGTCCACCATGCAAACCCGTAAGTCTTATTTAAATAGCGTGAAGGCATGATCTGCCAGCAAAATGTGTTATCAAGCCAGCAAGCCACTTTTGTTAAAATGGTCTGGCAACACAGGTGGGCAGACCACCAGAACAGTACAAGGCAGCTGAGTTGGTAGAGTGCCAGTGCAGTAGTGGACAGGTCAAAGGAGCACTTTCTACATGCACTTTCACATAATAATCTTACATTTTTTAATGTCTTAAGGACTGATTTGGCTTGGTGTATTGTCTTTTATACCTGCAATGTCAATTGGGGGCTTGGATTTCTTGGGGAGCAACTCATCATCGTCTGGCTCAAGGGCGACTTTCATCTGCTGATGAAAATATTAAAAAATAATCCTTGAAATATTGCATATCCATTTCAAAAGGAAACCTGCGGATCAATGACCTCTGCAGATTAGGTATTTCAACTAAAAGAAGGTGTCCGAGATGTGTTAGCCGGATATTTTACAAATTTGTAGTTTATTTGTAGATCAGAATGTTTATCACAATACACATTTTATTCTAAATTCATAAATAACTAAGACAGTTTACCCATTCCTATTGGTCGAGAGCCCTCAACATGGCTGGTCTTAAACGGTTGATAAAACACCGGCTGGCTGGTCTTTAACACTTTTCCAGAGTCACATGAAATTTGGACTCCTATAAAAGCTGGTCCCTTTTACCCTTTTATTGGTTGAACGTTCACAATCCTCTCTTAGGCATGCCCAATACTACCAATGAGTCAGTATTTCATATTCCTAAATTCACACTACACCGGCACAGCTGCGCTCTGCCCCACATTGCGCAGTGCGCGCCACACGCGCCAATCTTCATTGCTTCCCATACTTGGGCCCAAAACCTAGTGCTGCAGATTTAATCTAACCCTAGGCTTTCTTGATGAAACCGCTTTGAATTTTGGTCATTAAATATCTTTGTAACCCGAAATTTCCATGATGACAGTATAACTGATCAGGGCCCAATTTCATGGCTTTGTTAATCATAGAATTCTGTGCTTATGATCACCACTCTGTGCTAATAGTGCTTGCAAAAATATTCTGTGGTAATCCTGTAAGCACAGAATCCTTTGTTGCGAGTTGTATGCTTAAAGCCAGAAGTCCATGCTAACCCTGCAATATGCTATTTGCACCGCTGTGAACGTAGAGGGCGACTGACTCAATGTCAGTCGCGATTCTGGCGGCTCGCAGCTGGACGTGTTTTGCTCGAGGCTCAAGACCTTTAAACCCGGTACCATCGGGTTGGGGAATATCCGAAGATTAATATGAGAAGTGGAAAATGCTCATAGCAGGTTTGATATACGGTAGAGGATGAGAGAGGTTAGCTCTCCACGTTGTAAGGTTTTGTTTTGCATTGGAAATATAACGAAGGTTTGGGATTGCATTAGGTGGGGTCTCGCTTCCGTTGAGGCCCGTATACCCGTTTTAGGAATGCTCTTTGTGTTTGTCGCAAAGATTTCTGGGCAAAGTCAGGTTCCGCTTTGCTGGCATTGTGCTAGGGTAGTGTTATGCAAATCCGAGTATTTATGCGTGACGAATCCATGGAATTCGTTGGGATACTCGAGGTGGGGCTTTGTGTTAAGCCGAGAAGAACTTTATGCATCAGTGCTCAGCACTTCATGGCTTTGCGTATCAGGGTGTGCTCTAGCTTGTAGTTTAAATTCGATTGCGTTCCCCGGGCTTTCCTATAACCTAAATTTTGAACGGTTTTAACGTCCTATCTTTGCGATAATGGAGAATATGTTCGATCAAGTCGAGGAGAACGCAGGAGCTTATGCGGAAATCGCCAATGAGGGTGCCGGCCCTCTTTTCCGCGGGCTGTGTGCCACATTTAAGATCTCGAAGAAGTACTTCGAGGCTCTCATCGCAGACGGTTGGGATGACCCAGAACAATTCCAGGATTTGTCCCCCGAGTGGCGAGACCACATCCTTGCCCTGGCCCCTAACGGAGGGCAGAAGCGTAACGTGGAGAAGCTCTTTGACCGGGTGGAAGCCGGGCCTCTCAGCGGCCCCGCCCCCAAGAAACGTCGGGTGCAGCCCAGCGCATCCTCTGACGACGGGAAGGACAAAGCGGGTCCGAGTGGTATTTCCACCGTGGAGGCAGGGCCGAGTCAGGTTGCAGCGGCTGCCAACCAGGGATCCGGTTCGACGTCCTCTCAGGTATGTCTCATGGAAATGTTAGTGGGGAATATTCATCATTTTGTAACAATATTTCATACCCTACATGCTGTATTTTCTCTTTGCCATTTGGGAAGTGCCCTGACTAAAATATACCAAGCACGCAGGAGGGCGAGATTGTCCGGTTTCATCAGGCAGGGGAGTGCCCTGCGTTTATTGCATTTTCAGGCAGAGTGCGCCCGGCTAGAGATCGAAATTTGTCGTAAGTGGGAGGCGGCAAAAAAAAAAAAAAAAAAAAAAAAAAAAATTAAAAAGGGGGAGCCGTTTCCTTGGCAAATTTCATTTTGATAAAGGAGTTTGCCCTCGACAAAGATTTCAGCGGGAGCACTCTGTGCCAACTTTATCGGCATAGGCAGGGGAAGTGCCCCGGCGCGAGATTGTATGTTGATTTCAGGGGAAGCGCCCCGTGCCGAACTTTATCGGCATAATAGTTAGGCAGGGGAAGTGCCCCGGCGTGATGAGTTTGTATGTTGATTTCAGGGGAAGCGCCCCGTGCCGAACTTTGTCGGCATAACAGCTAGGCAGGGGAAGTGCCCCGGCGTGACATTGTATGTTGATTTCAGGGGAAGCGCCCCGTGCCAAATTGTATGTGGGTACAGGTAGGGAAAGTGCCCCGGCGCGAGGTTGTACTTTGATTTTAGGGGGAAACCCCTTTGCAGATTTATACTTACATAGTACAGGCATTATGGGAAAATTGCCCCGGGTGAGATTGCATTTGATTTCAGGGAAAACCCCCGTGCGAAGCTGATTTTGAATATGAAGGGGTAGGGCCCCGTGCAAGATTACATTTGATTTCAGGGGAAACTCCCCGTGCTAAGTTGTGTTTGTATATACATGTATGCAGGGGAAATGCCCCGTGCGAGATTGCAGTTTGATTTCAGGGGAATAACCCCCGTGCAAAGCTGTTTTGCATATGAAGGAGAAGGGCCCCTGCGAGATTGCATTCTGATTTCAGGGGGAAAAAACCCCGTGCTAAGCTGTTTTTGTATGTTAGGGGTAGGCCCCGTGTGAGATTGCATTTGATTTCAGGGGAAACTCCTCGTGCTAAGCTGTTTGTATATAGGCCTATGCAGGGGGAAGTGCCCCGTGCGAGATGGCAGTTTGATTTCAGGGGAAAACCCCCGTGAAAAGCTGTTTTTGTATATGAAGGGGAAGTGCCCCGTGCGAGATGGCAGTTTGATTTCAGGGGAAAACCCCCGTGAAAAGCTGTTTTTGTATATGAAGGGGAAGTGCCCCGTGCGAGATGGCAGTTTGATTTCAGGGGAAAACCCCAATGCTAAGCGGTTTTTTGTATGTGAAGGGGTATGCCCCGTGCCTTACGAGATTGTATTTAGTGCCCCGGGCCGGGCGAATTTGCATGTTGATTTCAGGGGAAAAACCCCGCGCCAGGCTGTATTTGCATATAAGGGGGTAGTGCGAGAGTGAATTTGGATTTTATAGGAAAACCCCGTGCCATTATGTTTCACATAATATGAAGGAGACTTCCCCCATGCGGGATTGCATTTCATAACAATGGAGGGGAGTGCCCCGTGCGAAATTGCATATTTGATTTCCGGGGAAAAACCCCGTGCGTGCCAAGCTGCATTTGCGTATGAAGGGGAAGTGCCCCGTGGGAGAGTGACCCGCAGCATTTTATTGTGAGAGATACCCAATATCAAAATGATTGTATTCGCTTCAAAAGGGGTACATGTAGTACTATGAACCCCAGCGTCTTGTATTTGCATTTATTGTATTTTGATGTGTTTAATGTATCCCAGGCCAAATTGTCGTGGTAAGGGTGGGTACCCCTTAGAGAAATGAACTGCATGCGCCACTTATGCAGCAAAATGCTGGTACGCGCGATTCTATTTGCCTGAATGGGTGGGTCCCATACATGATCATGCATTACTTTTGGACGAGCGGGCAGCCTTTGAATTTACGGAGGGGATTGTCCTTTTGGGAATGTGGTTGAAGCCTTGGAGGGGAAAGGCCCCGGTATGATATTAAGTAGAAGTGCGTTTTACAAAATGTATGTACCATGAGATTGTACTTTAACAAAGTAAAAAATGTCCTGAGCTAAGACGTTTATGTGGGGGAGGTGCATCATAACAGATTATACCTCCGTGAAAGGAAGTGCTTTAGGCAAAATGATTTTTCAGGAGAAGATGGTTTTTTTTTTTTCTGTCTAAAAAAAAAAAAAAAAAAAAAAAAAAAAAAAATGGGGTTCTTGCCGGTTCTGGTTCTGGTATTTTGTTGTGCGGGTTGCGTGCACGACGCCCTTATTTGTGCCTTAATTACCTAAAATTTTGGAAGGGCGGGGATGGTGCCCCGCCACTCCAATTTTCTTTTGGCTTGTGTCCATTTGTTCCTCAGGTCCCATTGCAGGGTTTTGCCCATTCTTTATTTGTCCTCGTTTAAAGGAAGGGGTGCCACCCACCCCCCCCCCTAAAAAAAAAAAAAAAAAAAATCGAGGGTGCATGGAAGTAGGTCTTCCTAAATGCAGTTTCCCACCATGCAAACCGCATGGGGGTGGAAATCTGTCAGATTTGTTATTGTATGGACACAAGAGGTGTAATTTGGCTGGAGCCATTGGCTCCTATAGTTGAGCCATTTTACAATAATGTGGATGCGTTCTCCATGTTTGAGTTGGAGGTAAACGATCTCGTTAGCGGCCCCATGGCATCCTGGCACATGATGTTGGGATGTCATAACGGGCACTAGGGCGTGTTGAGTACAAAGTCTGTGTCAACTCGATACAAAAGAGTTGAGAGGATGTCCATGCTTACAATGCGTCCCCTTTATATAGTGATCAACTAAATGCAGCTTGGTTTTATGTTTTAACAATCAATGCAGGCCAAGTCTGCGCTTGAGGTGCACAAGCCTAGGCGGCTCGAGTTGCTTAAAGCATGTTTGGAGACGGGCTACGATCGAAACGTAGCGTATGTGATGTCTCTGCTCAGAAGCTATGTCGACGAGTTTGCACCTTTGTCAACAGAAGATATGAAGGAACAGCAGTTGTACGTCAATCTGTTGTCAGATTGTACAAAGCACGTTCAGGCCAAGACACCGGGCATAGCAATGTATATATACAAGTCCATTACAGGAGAAGACTCCGATAAGCGGCTGCGCTTTTCCAGAAAGCACCTGGGCCTCAGCGCGCCCCCATCTGAGTTAAAAGCTCAATCATCAGCCAGTCAAGGTTTCTTGAATAGGCCCGCTAGACAACCGCTGCGCTTCAGGGGAGATCTTCGTCAGCCTCGTCAGGGCCAATTTTCACGAGGGCCTAGGGAGAGAGACGTGTGCTTCAGATGCCGCAGGAAGGGCCACTATGCACGGGACTGCAAAGAAATAGTTTAGAGGCATGTTTGACATGCTGGCGACTCATTTCACGGTCAAAGAGACTTTGGTGGTGGGATGTAGTCGAGTAATCTTAATATACTTCTTCATTTTGAGCATTTAAGTTTGTAGCAGTGATATGATGTTATTTACGGAATTATGTTTTAATAAGTACTTGTTAGGTAGCTGTCGGCTCAGGGACGGCATTTGCATGTTATAATGGGCGTATGCGTGGGCGTATGCAAGGGCCTCAATGGGGGATAAGTTGATGCAAGAGCTGAATGCAGGAAACGGGGTTTCAGAGGGTTTCAGATGGTACTTTTCCCAGTAGGGAAAGTGTTGCGATATTTGATGTATCGAGTTTACCATGTTTGACATTGTATCTATACTTGCAAGAAATAAATTATGAAACGACTGTATGGTCGGCTTGAAAATGTTACAATGATTGTATAACCCCAGTGCCCGAGTTTAGGCCTAGTGCTCTTTATGATTCAATTTAGGAATACAAGAGGTATCTGCAGATTCTCGGGAAGCATAAGTGGGAGCGTTCGTCGGCGCATCTCTTTGATCCTGAAGGCGCTCAGACAAACAGGCGCGAGAGGGGTGTTTGCTCTTGGGTGGACATAGCGGGAAAGGCTGCCTCATTTCCAGATGGATCCGCCCCGAGTCCGGCAGATGTTTTATCCGGAGAAAGTGTGCCAAACTTTGATGCGCTCCGCTTCCGTGACCCAAATATGTTTGTAGCGGGAGGTCTGCATGATCAACCAGAGTTATGGGAAGATGTATTGAAAGAATGCCCGGCCAACGGCCCGCAACTTCGGAGATGGCTCCGTGAGAAATTGGACCTCTATGAGTTCTTTCAACCTTTCCAGGGTAGCTATAGAGGAAGGGAATTCAACTCCAGTGTCCCTCCAGCCATGTATTTTCCAAACGCGCCTATTTGCGAACGTTTCGTACCATTTATCAATGAAACGATAGCGAAGCGCATTATAGAAGGTTCCGTGGAATTGTTGGGCAAGGTGGATGAAGTCGACCCGCCTAGGTGCATCAACGCTCTCTCTATCGAACCAAACAAGCCAAGACTAGTCCTATCAATGAAAGGTCCCAACCTCTGGTGTAAGGACACGCCATTCAATTTGGTGCCTCTGGGGGAGATTGTGAAGTCAGTCAATAAGGGAGGTAGATTCTCCGGTACCGACGATGCACAAGGTTATAAGCAGGTTCTGCTATCTGAAAGGTCAAAGACCTTTTGTGGTTTCGAGTGGGCTGGATTTTATTTTGTTGACACAACTCTTCCTTTCGGATTCAAGAATAGCGCTTATGTATACTCCACCATTGGGTTCTGTTTGTCAACATGGTTGAAAAATCGGGGAATTCATACAGAAATTTGGATCGATGACCGCTTCATTGGAGAAGCCGGAGGAGAGGGACAGCCCAGATGTTAAGTGCTGTATATATATTTTCTTTGCAGGGCTCCAGCGGGTTTATCGCAGATGACGCCTACATCAGGGCTGCGAGAGCTTTATACGTGGTATGCTATATGCAGTCGAAATTGGGGTATTTCATCAATCTCAAGAAAAGTCAGCTTGAGCCGGTGTCCACAATGGTCCACCTGGGTCTTGGGATATGCTCAAAGTCCTTATCCTTTTGGATTCCGGAGAGAAAGAAGTGTGCTTTTGCTCAAGTAAGAGAGGAGATTTTATCCACGGGCTCGGTGTTCCTAAAGACCCTCCAGCGGTTTATCGGAAAGTGCCAGAGTTTCGCCTTGGTGTTTCCGGCGGCCTCATTGTTTGTGAGGGAGTGTTGTGCATTTTTACCCAACTTAGACGACGTCAGTTCGAGGCCGATTTCCCAAGACGTGCGAGACGAGGTTCTCTTTTGGCGTTTCGTGGATTCCTTCTCCGAACCCATCCCTTGGAGAGATCAGCGCCATTTGACAATTCAGCTCAGCTCTGATGCATCCGGGTACAAATGGGGCGGTGTGTTGGAGCTTCCGGATGGAGATGTTACCTTTGGTGACTATTGGCCGCCGAGCGTCAAAGCCATGACGGATGTTTGCTACAAAGAGGCTCTGGCCCTATATCTTGTCCTGCTATCAGTGGTAGATATGCTTTGGGATAAAAGAGTGGATGTGAAGGTGGACTCGCAGAGTTTGTATGCTGCATGGGCACGGCAAAAGGCAAAGTCACAGGCACTGGCCAGAATTCTGAAACTCATCTTTGCTCTCACGTTGGAGGCAAATTTCGACTTGAAGTTGCAGTGGGTTCCGTCAGGAATAAATCGGGCCGACCTACCATCGCGGGAGCTATCCAAGGCTGACGCTCGACTCACAAAGTGTCTCTGGTTGTTGCTCCAAGCAGAGCTCGGAGGAAGATTCGGTTTTTCATGGGATCTCATGGCGCTTCCTTCAAACGTTCCCCAGGGCCGGGACGGCCGTCCTTTGAAGTTCTTCTCGAGGTTTCCAGTTCCTAGCACATCTGGTGTTAACGTATTTTCCCAGCAATGCCCTCGTGGCGAGGAGTTGTACGTGTTCCCACCTTTTGTTCTTGTGCCCTCTCTCATCAAGTTGTTTCTTGAATGGGGTGACGTGGTCGTAACGCTGGTGGTTCCCAAACACCCGCACCCAAGGTCATGGTGGCCATACCTGAAATCCTTTGCTCAGCAGTCTCTGCGCATATCGGAAGCAGGGCAGGTCGGGGTTCTCGAGTACCCAACGGGTGAAGGCTATGTTAAAAATACCGTGGGTCTCCCGTTTGAGCTTTGGGGTCTCAGATGTTACTTCCCCGCTGATGCCCGGGTTTCCAGAGGAGTCCATATTCCGCAACAGCATTCAGTGCTCGTAGTCTCTGACTCCATGTTCAGAGGAATGGGCAGCTTTGGGTGGCCGGCTTCCTTGAGCATTAGGCTGGTGGTTTCCGGAGGAGCTCGGATGGAGACATTATGCAGATCGCTAGCTTCGATGAGCAAGGTTCAGATGCCTGAGGTCGCAGTCCTTCATGGGGGCATTAACGATTTTAGCAGGAGTGCAGATTGCTCAGCTGGGGTCAAGCGGCTGTTGAGGGTCTTTGCCTTGGCGGCAAAACAGTTATGTGTACAGAATCCAACGGTCCGGTTTGTCCTGTCGGGAATATGCCAGACAAAGAGCAGCAGGGTCAACTGTTCCGTTGCCACTGCAAATTCGGCACTGAAGGAGGCTTGCCAGGAAGCGGGTTGGCACTTCCTCTCAAATGACCACATAACTCAGCATGACCTCGCAGACGAAGTCCATTTGACACTGTGGGGCAGTTTGAGACTGCATAGGCGTCTGCAGAGGTTTCTAAGGTGTCTTCTCGGTTTGCGAACGGGGGTCGACATAGAGCTGGGCAATTAGACATCAGGCTTTCAATCTTATTTTGTCTTCTTTCATAATCCAGTTGGCCCGATGGGAGTCCAGAATGAAGGAGCTTGATGGCAAGGTCGATTCGTTACCTTACAACAGACAGAAGAGCAGCTTAGTTAACAATTTTGCTGATTTCCTCAAGCAGAACCAGGGCTCAGGTTATTTCACAGATAGTGCAGATCTGGACATGGTCACCCCCGACGACATAGTCAAGTTTTTGGTGGACCGCGATACGAGGGGCCGCACTCAAGTTCATTCACTCGGGTGCAAACATTTGGGAAAGCACGGTGCGTTCGACTGTTGCTGCGATCGACATCTGGCAGCGGGCACGGTAGACGCCTACGTCGGCCAACTCCGAGCATTTTTTAACTCCTGCGGTAAAACGCAATCATGGCGGCAAGGCCAGCTGTCATCAAATCCATGCATCTCCCACCGGGTGAAGAAATACATGAAGGCAGTAAAGCTTGAGCAGGCAGAGGCACATGTGACTCCCCAACAGGCGGTCCCAATATTCTCCGATAAGATTCGCTGGTTGGCTCAAGAGATCAGGAGAAGAATGTCCCTCATGCAGGAGGCTGGCAGGAAAGGTCTCACGCAGCAATATATTTTCTATAGGGATCTGGCATTCTTCTTGTGCCTGTGGTGGGCAGGGGAACGGTCCTCGGATCTAGGACGTACAAAAACGTGCGAAATAACCAGGATTGAAGGTGGTGACTTGTTATTTAATCATACAGTCGGCAAGACGGTCAGAGAGGGCACCTCCTCTCTTATAATCATACCCAAGCTAAGTAACGGGGAGTTGGATCCAGCTGGGGCAGTCGACGGGATGGTGGGCTTTGCAGAGCAGAATGGCTTTTGCCTAATGGACGGCTACCTATTTCGTCCCACAGCACCAAATCACCAGAGCCTGGTCAACAAGCCCTTCATCGGTAATGGTCCAAGTAAGCGTCTTCAGCTATATTTTTCCGCATCATCAGATACCTCGGATGCCTCCCTGAGGCCCCACGGGGGTAGAGCAGGTGTTGCAACGACCCTCCGTCTGCTGGGTGCTACCGAGCAGCAGGTTATGGACCACTGTCGTTGGGCAACTCGGCGCACGTATAAGCACTATACGGAAGTTGAAAGGGTTACCAGACGCAATACGACTGTGAAAATGCTAAAGGACGCGTTGGACACCGGCGAGCATAACCATCCCCATGCGGCCGACCTTGCTGGGGAGTTTTACCGAACGCTCAACTCCGGTTTCGGGTTAGAGGTTGCGTTCGGAGCGGAGGGCAGCAAACCATAGCAGCTTCAGGGGTGGGAGTATCAGGCGCAAGGAAATAGGGAAGGACAGGTGAGGAGCGACGTCAGTACGCACGGGATCATTGGACTATGCAAACGCGGGAATTTGCTTTAAACAGAAACCAAAAAGAAAAAAGAAAAAAAGGGGGGGGGGAGCCTCTCCTTTGAGATTTGGGGTGAGAGATGGGAAGTTTAGGGGGGTTGAGTTCGGAAAAGGGGCCAAGTTCTGTGACGGAGCGAAGAATCGTTTCCACCCATATCTAAGCCTCAACGAGACAGGAGACCGAGATGTGCATGGCGGTGCAAATAGTTTACTATTTGCACCGCTGTGAACGTAGAGGGCGACTGACTCAATGTCAGTCGCGATTCTGGCGAGATGGGAGAGGATGGTTGACTGTTCGGTGCGGTAAGTGCAGTCGGCACTACGGTTGTAAGTATGACTTTGTCTGTTTTGATTCCCCGCCCACCCACCCCTTTTCGGTCTATGAGGAATCCTCATCTCGGTTTCTACTCTCGAATCGTTTCCACCCATATCTAAGCCTCAACGAGACAGGAGACCGAGATGTGCATGGCGGTGCAAATAGTTTACTAACCGTAACTGCGAAAGTTTCTGCTACAGTAAGCGGAGATTTTGTGCTAACAATAAGCAGAGCCTTAAAATGTGGACCAAGGACTTCCTTCCTAAAACCTACCTCAGTGGGCTCCACAAGATCCAAGTCCATCTCTTTTTTTGGTTTCTCCTCATCCTGGTGTTGATTCATCATGGCTCCTGTGACAAGATCCGGACCGTTGCTCAACTCAGTCTGGTAGGCCAGGTCTGTGAGCTGTGGGGAGACTGGGATGTTATCGCCCGGTATGCGCTTGTTGAGGACAAGGTAGTAGCCGCTGCCGAAACGACTCTTGAGGAACAGGGAGGAACCCGAGCATCTGAGCTGGCCGGCGGAGATGATGGCGATACGATCGCCAAGGACATCTGCCTCATCCATGTGATGGGTGGACATGATGATTGTGCGGCCTGTGACATGTAAATATAATAATAATAATAACAATTTGGGAGGCTAATCATCCTTACTCGCAGCTGAGATGCTGAATTGCGAAGGAGGACCCGGCTACAACGTGGTCAAGCCGCTAACGTTGAGTGTCATGGCCTAGCGGTTAAGAGCATTGGACTCATGCTCTGGTGTTTCAGAGGCAACAGTGGCGTGGGTTCAAGCCCGGGTCTGGACACTTGTGCCCTTAAGCAAGGCACTTAACCTTTATTGCTTCGTCCTTCGGATGGGACGGAAAGCCGTAGGTCCCGTGTGTTGTGTAATGCAATGCACGTAAAAGAACCCAGTAACACTTATCGCTAAGAGAAGGGGTTTGCCCCGGTGTTTCTGGCCTCCTGGTAATACTCCCCTGCGGAGTCCTTAAGAGAAGAGCCAACCAAGTATGTAAAGGCGCCTATGGCTGCCGGCCACATCGACATATATAACCACGGAGCACAGCCTCAGATTGAAAGGGATTGATATAAGAAGAGATGTTGTCACAAGTCAATCGGACTATGGTCAGCTATAATCTGACCGACTTCACTTAAACACAGGACGGCCTACTATGATTTTCATAAATGTCTGAAACTGGCCATGATAAGTTTCAGACATTTTAAGTCAACTGACAAGCAAGTTTCTTGATAAGCTTTTTGTTTTCAGATATTTTAAGGTTCACAGAAGTCTGAAGTGTAAGTGGTTTTAAAAGTTTATGTTTCAGACATAAAAATGTCTGAAACAGTGACCAAATGTTTGAGATGTAATCGGAAATCGGTTTTGGAAATTTTGTCCAGAAGCAAAGCATTCACATTTCTTGTTTATAGTGGCTGGACTAGTTGCTACCCTAGTTGACTATTTGGAACAGAAGGGTCAGGGGGAAATTTCCATCACTGGTTACCAATAGCCGTGCGCAGGCCCCCGCCAAGGCCAACCCCCCCCCCCCCCTTCTGACGAGCAACTGCCCCCCCCCCCCATCGGCAAAAACCGTAAACATGCGTACAATTATATATAAGTGTTTTTTTTCTTAAGGTGTGCCCCCCTTGTTTGTACTGTGGCTCCCCCCCCCCTCCTTAATGCTTGGAGCTGGCGTCAGGGCTGGCCGTGTGCATTATAATGCTTAGCCCGGTTAAAGAAGTGTTGTGATCAAGTCATGACCAGTATTTGAAGAGAAATTCTCAAGTTTATTTTCGTGCATAGGCGTGAGTTACATCAGGAATAAACTACTAATCAACTACTGGTGCTCTCTGGAACTTGCTCCATGTCTCAGTCAAGACAAATGGCTCCCGAACCCCCTTAAAAACAGACATGAGGGGTACGTGGGCATGGGTGGGCTTACACCAAGTAATACATAGTAATAACGTTCATTGAGAGTCTTGCATGCGTAGCCAGAAATTCTACAAAATCTCATCCACAGATTCTGTCTCATGTTATCACATGGTATGTTTACTATTTTATCATGTATGGCCAAAACGACTAAACAAAGTCTGGTTCGCTCCAAAAAAGTACTATAGCATAGCAACCAACACATCAACTGGGAGTCTGTGTGCACATGCCTCAGTGATCCATGAAGTCTTCTATTTTGCCTCGGCTTGGAATCGGGACAAAATGATGCTTCATAGATCATCTCCGAAGGCTTGTTTACTACACTAGCTTGAGGCAGTCAATATTTGTATAATAGGATTTATATTTCGTCTGTTAGTTACTTGAATGCACGTCCTCATGATTCCATCTCCTTTTGTTCTTTTCTTTTCCAGTTTTTCTTATCGTTTGAGTCAGATGGGGCTTTAAAACACCTTTCTACAACTGGGGTTTGAACGCCATCAAGTCACATTTCCAGAAAAGCAACTAGAGAACTTACCTTCCTTGTACTGGCCAAGTAGTTCCCAGATCTCTCTCCTAGCATAGGGGTCAACGCCGGCCGTGGGCTCGTCCAAAATGACCATCTTGGATCCGGCTACAAAGGCCATTGCAATGGACAGCTTACGCTTCATGCCACCTGAAAGATGATGAGAAATGATGTCAAAAGACAATATTTATAAACTTCAATAAAGTAATTCACTGGAAAGGAGTTCGGACATGCGACCTCTCACCTCTGGAATACCGTTCCAGTGCTCTACCAACAGAGCTATCCAGACCTATGTTGGCCGTACACAGTTTATCAATGTTTTTGTTTAAGGGTGGTAGTTAGATGCCATAAATCCATATAACAACCATGTAGCCAGGGAACGTGCCTGAAATCACGATGCTAGCAAAATTAGAAATGCTGCAAACCTGGGAAACAGCAAACAGGGATCACTCAGAGAATTTCATTACAAATCGTCAAATAAATCATAAAGGGAGACTACATGCGTAACAAAAAAATTGTACATTTGAATTTGAAGGATTGCTACAAAAACGTAAATTCCAAAATAATGCTGAAGGGACAAATATATCCTGAACCCTTTGTTTATAAATTACATTTGTTGTGATTTCAAGCTTATGGTTATTGTAAACTTTTAGTATAATTCTTGAGTAATTTTTTGTTCAATGGATAGAGAGAAAAAACAATGAAACATATCTTTTTTTTCACATAAGGACTCAGTGCACAAGTACCCCCTCTACAGTTACAAAGGGAGAGTTGGGGGAGACCACTGGGAGGGACATGCACTGATGACGCCTCACACAAAGACGCTATGGGTTTGTGCACATTCAGAATAAAACTAGTCATGCAGACTTCATGCCATATGTGTCAAACCAGTACGCGCGCGTGGTGTGTCCCTCCCATATGGGCTCTTGAAAATGGTCACAAAGCGCCATTTCATATTCATGCGCGGAGTCCATATAAACACTGCAAGAAAGAGAAAATCCACACTCACTGGAGGGGGTCACAATTTTAAATCTGATCGTCTTATGATAACGTCATTTATACAGACTTTTGGGGAACGTTGTTGGCTACCAAACGGTTTATAAAAAGTTGCAAATTTAAGGAGTACGATTCAAGTGGAAATTGCTGCCTGACAATGTGACACTGACCGAAACGAGCTGTAGAGAATATGGATCGTGCCATGCTTGTGTGCATGGGAGCACATGAAACTGAATTACCCACGCTTTGTTCGGGCACTGTGCAGTCGACAGGGGCCAATTAATTACAGGCACGTAAGTTGGCGCTTAGCAATATCTCCTCGCGTGTCTCTTAAATTCCAACTTTTCAAACTGCATCGTTTTTCAAAAAACGTTGTCAATCTTGGGCAATTTACAGTATTTGGTAGCAAACAGGTATCAAAATGTAGCTAACAAAATTCCCAAAAGGTGTATATAAATGACTTCATCATGAGACCATCAGATTCAAAATTATGACCCCTCCAATGAGTGTGGACTTTCTTTGTTTGCGGTGTTTTATGTGTGGGTGGGGGTGTGGAGGGGTGGGGGAGGGGGAGGGGAGGGGGAGGGGGAAGGGGAAGGGGAGGGGGAGGGGGAGGGGGAAGGGGAGGGGGAGGGGGAGGGGGGTGCACATCAATAAAACATCTGATGTGCACTAGTAACAGCAAACCGTAATATAGTCTGTTACCTGATAAGTCGTTCACCAGTTCATCTTTCTTGTTCACCAGACGTAGGTGTTTCAGCATTAGCGTCATCTCTGACTTGATTTCATGATCGGCTGCACCCTTCACCCGAGCGAAAAACCACAGATGCTCAGCCACAGTCATACTGTATAACAAGAAAAATGAATCCAATAAATCGGAGAGAATAGACTGCTGAAAGTGAATAAGAAAAATCAATGAAGCATTTAACCGAGCTCAAAAGTTGCAAAAAAAAAACTAAACAAAGTAAAAAACACCAACAAGCACAAACCCTCCACAAAAACAAAGCAAAACAAACAAAAATAAATGGGAAAAAGGCCTTTCCGAAATTCTGAAGAAATTTCTGAAAGTGTGTATTATCATAAATGACGAACATTGAAAAAGTTGTTCCAAAATGCTAGTTCAGCATTTCAACTGCGAACGAGTGTACAAAGTTTTGAATACTTAATAAGTTTGGGACACAGCGGATAATTGTACACAATGTTATGGAGGCAATGGTAATCCAATCTGCTATCTCCAAGAAATCAAAAGTGGAGCATGAAAAATAATTGTGTACTAACTAACTTAAAGAGAATTTCTCTCCTTATTTGTTGCCACCTTTATTCAATTACAGTTTGTCCCACAAAAAAAAACTACCAGTCAAATTGGGCATGTTTTCAGAATGGGGGTAGCATTCAAAATCATGTCTAATGTGTTGCTGAGAAGAATAATTGGTCTTCCAAATGCTTTTTGGTTTCATTAGGATGTTATGTTCAAATGATGCAGCAATCACAATACGGGACTTGAAAAACCACTTGGGCCAATTTTTTCATTTATCAAGTTTACCGATCGAAGCCGGTAGAATAATTCACACGTTACTCTTGAACAAAGGAAATAAATCCTTTGTGCGTTTCTCTAACTGCGTTTTCTCACTTTCAAGGAAAGTGGCCCAAGAAGATTTTCAACCTTGAGTTTGATGAAGCGTAGCATTTGTTCCAATGCATCAATTTGAATGAAATAAAGTTTGTATGGTAGATTGGTTATCTGACTTTAAGAGGTAATTTGAAAATATTCCAAAACTCACTTGCACTATACCTTTATTAAATGGTTTTCGACTGTTGTGGGACAACCTGTATTATTTGATCTGCAAGCACATGGAAAATTGTTCACTCTGCAAAGGAAATTACCAAATTTTGAAGTGCGCTATCCAATTGGCGTATTTTACAAGAAGAAAAAATGCTGCTTACTAGTCAAAGAGCACATTGTGTTGTGGGCACATGCCAAGGCTCTTGCGGATTCTACTGATGTCCTTCAAGATGTCCTTGCCATAGATGTAAGCTGTACCGGCCGTGGGTGGAAACAGCCCCGTCAATATGGACCTGTGTCAAAAGGTAACAAAACAACACAAAAAACAGTAACAACTCAAATAGACACTCATTACGATTTAACACCGATTGACAAACGGTTTGTACATTTTAACAAAACTTAACAAAACAGACACTAAGTATTGATGAAATCCAAAACGTGCACCTCCTGTGTCCAATCTGTGCAAGTTGTAAAGTTACACAACATTAATTTTATAAAGCCCACATGTTATAAAGCCCACAAGGGGCATCTAAAATAGTTTCAATGTAATATTTAAGGTATTATTTCAGGCTCTTTAGATAATTTCTTACATTTTATTATTATTATTATTATTATTAGTTTATTTTATTAAACTTTCACGGCCATAAGGCCGAATTGCAGTTTAATTTACACACATTAGAAATCGTTATATATTAAAATTACAAAGAATTACATCGTGTGAAAGATACATTAAAAAGGAAAATCACAACAAAATACACACAACTAATAAAATTTAAAATCATTCAAATCCGACTGCGTAAAATATGCAGTCGCAGTCCCCCCACAGAGATGGCCGTCATTGAGTGAGCTCTATACGTTCATGCATACCCAACCTACTACATGTAATAAGTTTACCAGAAACTGTGACCAACAACGAGTTCCTTCATCAACTCAGGAAAAAGAGGTCACATATCTTTGTTATTCAGATCAGTTAAGTAGGGAATAGAGCTACATTTGTACCTGTTAGTCCTACAGCATATTGTGCTGAGATGATCATTGTTCCTTAACCCATTGTTCCTAATCGGGGGCAGCCAGTCTCTGAATTTGTGGGAAGTGAGTCAAGGGCGGATCCAGGGGGGGCCAAAGGGGGCCATGGCCCCCCCCCCCAAAACGAAACCAATTTTTTTTTTTTTTTTATGTGACATCGCAATAAAGGCAGGCAATGAGTACACCACCATCTTTTCCTCAAAAAAACATTGGTTAAAGTGGTCAGAAATTGCCTCAGATCGCACCACAGAGCATCTAGAATCCAAAACATTTTCGGGGCCCTTAAGCGGGCCCCGATCCCCACGCCGTCATTTTTTTGACCCACTTTTTTGGGGGGACCAAAAATTTTTTGGGCCCCCCAAAAATTGTGTTCTGGATCCGCCCTTGAAGTGAGTAGTGATTTGCCAAACACGGAACACAATTGTTCTCTGCGGCGGGAAAGTGGGGGAACATTGAGTTGGGAACATATTGCACTGTAAGACCTATTGAGACAATATTCATAAGACAAAATGATACGAAAAGCCCTGCGCTGTAATTTTTCTTTTGAAATAAATTATTTTGTGCATGCAAAATTTGTTGGGTTTTTGGCACTAGAAAGCACAGGCGGGAAACCAGAATACTTCTATTCCCCTGGATGGGATGCTAGTCCATCACAGGTTACTCCCCAGCTAATGCCGGTACCCATTTATACTCCTGGGTGGAGAGAGGCAAGTGGGGGTGAAGTGGCTTGCCTAAGGACACAGCAAACGACCGGCTGGATTCGAACCCCTGACCCTTGATCATGAGTCATGAGCCCTAACCACTACGCTACACTTAGTGGCCAACCACATTATACCAGTAGTCAGCTATGATTTCTATGCTCACATTGTGGTGGTCTTGCCAGCGCCATTGTGCCCCAAGAAGGAGGTGATTTGGCCCTCGTAGAAGTTGACGCTCAGGTTGTTGACGGCCAGTTTCTTGCCGGTCTTGTAGATCTTGTACAATTTGTTGATGGAAGCGCCAAGCTTCAGGTGGGTGGGTTCTGGCTCAAAGTCAGAGTTGTCTGAAATTCAATTCATGAAAACATTTATTTCCGCTGCGGCACATATTGCAGCCACTGCCAGAAACACCGGGGCAAACCCCTTCTCTCAGTGATAAGTGTTACTGGGTTCTTTAACATGCATAACACAACACACGGGACCTCTGGCTTTACGTCCCATCCAAAGACGAAGCAATAATGGTGAAGTGTCTTCCTTAAGGACACAAGTGTCAAAACGGGGACTCGAACCCACACTCTGCTGATCAGAAACACCAGAGCTTGAGTCCAGTGCTCTTAACCGCTCGGGAAGGGGGGGGGTGGTAAGGGGGATATTTGCCCCCCCCCCCCAATATTTTGTAAAGACTGCCCTTTTCCATTCAATTGCCCTTTTTTCATCAGCGTTTAACCCCCCCCCCCCAATATGTCGAGTGCCCTTTTTTTGTATGTATTTTGTTTGAATTTAATTGGGAATTATGAGGCTGGTATACCTGTTGGCAGATCTTTACCAGATGCCAGTATGTCCTCATCCAGGGCATCGGTAGCATGGGAACCACACCAGTAGGATCGTTGGAATGGGAAATAAAAGGGGCGGGGCATGCCATAGGCACCTGCACAGAATGTACAACACAATAAGACAGGTTGTTGTAAAAGCCAATCAGTATAAAACTGGTTCAAAAGGAATTTGACATCACTATAAAACATGAAACAGCTATCACTTTTGTTCAGCTCTTCTAAACTTTTACGGAGCGTGCTTGCTAAAGCCCAGACACACATTCACGGTTTGGAGCTACGGATCTCCACGGTTTGAAATTTGTGATAAACCACGGGAGTACCGTGGTTATTTGTCCACTTCCTTGGGTGTTCGTGGAGGGGCTATGGAACTTTTAAACTGTTTCAAACTTCAGTGGTGAATCATCATGAAAATCAATCTGTAGTGCAACCGTGGGACATCCGCAGGACAACCGTACTAATTCGTAGTGTTATTCGTGGCTATTCGCACATATTCTTGGAGATTCGTAGATCATTCGTGGTGTAAATCTCTACGAATTCGCTAAGAATGTCCTACGGATATGCTAGGATTCTGCTAAGGTTGTACTACGAATGTGGTTGCTTTATTGCTTGGTCATCCGCGGCCTGATCGCAGACAACCGTGGCATTAACGTCATTATTCTCAGTAATACCGTCGATATTCTTCAACAATCTGCCTAAATTCTTGACAAACCGTGGTGTATTTGTAGAGAAACCTTAGGACAGTCGTGGATATCCGTCCTGAAACCGTAGTGCATTCTTAGAAAGTCGATATCTCAACGAATCTGGACGGTTCATCGTGATCAATTGATTCTTGGTAAACCGTGGATATTCGTAGCTCCAACCGTGACTGTGTGACTGGGGCTTGAGACATCACATTCAGATTCGCATTCACAATCAGCCTCCGTACTGATGACGTCACACTTTGTTTACATTTGTGCTTTCTGATGGGAGCCTGGTGGGGAGGACAGTTCCTTAGCCCCATTGAAAAAAAAAACAATTTGAAAGCATTTTGATTACGAAAGGTTTTTCTTTTAATAATCGAACAGCATACCTGGGAAGACCCCCTCAATGTACCATGTCAGCAGCATATAGATGAAGGAATCGACCCACATCATGGCCAAGACTTGCAGGAAGGTCATGGATTCACTGGAGGACTTAGGCATCTCGTTAATATTCCACCACTGTATGCCGGTTGATTGGGTCTCAAAGAGGCTCAAGAACTGGGAGCTGTAGCCGAATGCCATGGTGTTCGACAGGCACTGCGAGAAAATTCAGCCATGTTAAGTTGCTATTAGTGATACCACCGGTTTGTTAACATCACAAGCCTTGGGCTCAGCTAACAGACCTGAGGCCGATTTCACGAAAACTCTTTTTATCTTGCGACTCCTTTAGGACTTAAGACGAGTCCCCGCTCTACGATCGATCTTAGCTAAGACGAACCCTAAGACCCGGGGCTCAGCCGGGTCAGCCACCACAGACCCTGCTCATGTAGCAGAGTCACTGGTGGAAATACATCACACACATGCGTTGTTCATTCTAAGAAACGGACAAATATGGCGGCCGGACAGCGGCAAAGTGGACCCAAAAATCATTTTTATTTGAAGTCTAAATGTACTTTATTCAGACTTCATTGCGACTTTTAATAGCGGCTATAATTTGAGCCCAACTTTGTTACTGTTTGCGATTGACAGAAAAGCAGTCAATCTCACAATAAGGCTCTGTCCAAAAAGGGCGTTTTGTCGCTGATAAAAGTTTCATGAAATCAACTACTAGTCGGATTACGAAAGGTCATCGGAATGTTTGGCACCATCCTACTTACCAGGAAGAACTTTGCCACAAGAGGTAATTGGGAATCCCAGGCGTAGGCCATGCTGTAAGGGACGTACGTCAGGAAGAATATCACGGCGCCGCACGCCGCCGACAGGTTGGCTTTGGAGAAGAAGGTACTGATCAGGAAGCACAGGGTGACAGTGGAGACACTGAATGATACCATCATCAAGAGAAGGATGGAGGTGTCAGTGTTTATCGTGATATTGCCGACCTGGAAAACAAAACAGAAAGACAATTGCACCAATAGGCCTTTTGCAGGGGTGTGAGTGACCACTGATAAAAATAGCTGAAAACAGCTGAAAAAAGGTGTAAAAATGCTGAACTTTGGAAATCTCCTATACTTTTGTACACAGCAAGTGAGGGAAAAAGCTGAAAAAAAGGGTGAAATCCAACACACAAAAAAGCTGAAATCAGCTTTAAAGCTGAGATTTCACACCCCTGCTTTTGACACTATCATCTCACCTACCTGCAGTGGTACCCCCAGGTTGTCAATTTTTTTTTTTTGGGGGGGTAATTTTAAATTTTTAGTCCCATGATTTTACCTTGGTGATATGTATGTGGCCTTTTTTTGAGTAGTATAATAGGGGTGTAAGTGGCACGCCTCCAACGCCAAACTAGTCCGCTCCCCCCCCCCAAAAATCTTTCTTTTTTTTCTGCGGCCAAACGTTTTTGGCAACATTTGAAAAAAAAATTTGAGCCCCCCTCCCAAGCCAAATCCTGGGTGCGCCACTGCCTACCTGAGTTGAATTCACCGCCTAAGCAGAATCAAGTTTAATCTAATATGAGTAGGCAAGCATACTCAACCTTGTTTCCACGGATACGATCTTGCTGCGCCATGTTGGTTCCCATCATGCCTTGTGCGATCTTCACCCCTAGAATTGTGTAATTAAAATGTGCCACTATTTGGCACATTTAAAATTAGGACTGCAGTCGATGTATCTCACATGCGACGTAGATGGCTTAAAAGCTTGGAAGTTTTTTGTAGAATCAATCCTTTCATGCATGAGATTTCAACGTCGCGTTATTACGCAAGCATTTATATTAAATGTACGTACCTCTGTCGTCCCTTTACAACACAAGATACACATTTTTTTTGGCAAAAAAAGAGGCTTCCACAATCCATATTGTACAGGCAACGCGCAGTTTTGAAAAAAAAAAAGTTTGTACGTGAAGTGACGTGCAGGAGATAACGCGTGAGCGAATACAGGGTGTGCACTCTTCAAAATACGCATGCAGCATGCTCTGAGTAGCCAGTCAGCATCGTTAACGTATTCCTCATGGCCAGGGGTAAGTGAAGAAATGTGCACGTCCCCACGGAGTCGAGGCCGAGGCATACTGTTCACACTAACACCGGAGTGTACACTGGCCAGCTGTAGATTTTAACCCAGGTAGCCTTGTGGGGCACTAGTCAAAATTCACAAACATGTTTATGCACAACAAATCAATCACATCCATCCAGACAGACAGTCGGACCGACTGACCAACAAGATAACCTACCTTCAGAACCAGGACCAGCAAGCAGCTACTGACGAACATGACCACGAAGCTGTTGATGAACCAGGCCACCCAGTGCACCCCGTTGCCCATACCCATGACCTTCATCATCTCCTTGAGACGTAACTCCTTCTCTAGGACGACGCCTTTGATGGTCATGGCTACCGAGAAGACCCAGGCCAAGACCATGAAGAGCGGCAGCGCGACCCCCAGGGTATTGATGAAGCTGGAACAGTACAGGAAACAGTCACAGAGGGTGTTAGACATGAATGGGGAGGGGGGGGGGGGCAGATCCATGATTACCGAAAAGGGGGGGGGGGATTGACCTTTGAGGGCCAAATTCCATTGGCAAAATGATAAATATGATCAAAGCAGGGAGGCCTTACAGAGTTTGTGTATATTTATTTGTATGTTATGAAAGTTTTGGCATGGTACAATCAGCAAACAGTTTACAAATCCAGCAGCTAATCTTTCCAGGGTACTAATTCCCGAAGTGAATTCGTGATCCTAGAATTTTGTTTTATCGGAATATACAGCATTCACTGAGCTGAAATTCATCAGGTTAGTTGTTCAGCATCCATCTGTAGATTATGAACACTTTTGTTGCTTCAAACAAAAAAATGCACAAATGACAAATGATACATTATATACCTTTAAAGTTTCATTATCGTGGAACTGTCTCATTTTGAAGTTTCGAAATTCCCGCAGTGCATTAGCGTAACTTATTATGGTGGGTGAAGTTCAAAACTGAATGTAAAGAAAGGTGCTTAATTGAACCTGTTTGGTGAGATTGATAGCTGAACACAAACACGAAACAGCCAGCGGCAAATTAAAGAGCATTTTATCATACCTTTTATCAATGCTTCACCGTTGAAACAAAATCACAGGACTATAGAGGGCGCTAGTTAATGAGACATTTCTGTTTCGTACATGTCCACGTGCGGGGTAGCTCTTTTTACTTTCAAGGCTCAATTGAACATTGACTGATGAAAAAGGTGTGTTTGGTTCATAAATACGTACGAGGTGAAATAATTGGTGTAATAATCTTGACAAATTTGTAATGCTCAAGTATCCCACTCACAAGTCATTTGAGTAGCACGGGTACGGGAACTCTTGGATGTACACGCCAGCGCCGGAATCTTTCTTGCCGAGGGACGCCTTGATGATACCTTGCTCAAGCATGTCTTGAAGAAACACAAAGCCGCCCATGATGTACTGTCCATACTGGAAGACATTACTCATGGGTGTCGGGTACCAAAAGCTGAAACATCCACATCCAAAAAACTTACCAATAAGCAAATCTTCAAATCAATCACAACGGAAAACTAACTAGGTTATCTTTTTTTCCAAAGTTGAACAAAGAAATTGACTGGAGTGGAGCTTGAACCTGTGACCTCCGGATAACCGTTTCGGTGCTCTTCACCAACTGAGCTATCCAGCCCTACGTTGGCGGTTCCCCAATTTGGGCAATTCACATTGCAGTGTGCATGGTCGACAAAACACGGCCCATTTGAATGAGTGTCAGTAGACAACTTGAGTTAGTATGTTATAGACTGGGGCATAGCGTTCTGCCGCCTTACAAAAAACACCATATTGATAAAAAGAAAACGGGCAAACATATACTTGAATCAGACGCTCACGAAACTACTGACCAGAAAAACTAACAATTTCAAATGTCCCCCGCATTGCAAATTTGTCGACCATCCTCCACAATGCAACTGGGAAAAATGAACTTTCTGTGGCAAACTCTTGGTGGTGCACTGCATTGTAAATCGTCCAAATTTGTCAATGTCCTTGTTAAAGGAAAAATACAACATTTGCAAACATCAAAAAATAAAACTACCAAATCATTTTGAAATACCTTGCTGGACTGTTAGTGAATGACAGTGTAAAGCATCCTGTAAAATCATGGCACCTGGTATACTGTCATTTTCAAGAAAAGTGGTATTTTTGTATCAATTTCCAATGCTGATCGGCCGATGAGCGTTGGAAAAAAACTGGCTTTTTTTCAAATACTGGCCCCAATTGACCATCGCACTTGTTTGCAATCGATTACAAACCTATGAACGGGTACGAGCCAGCTAGACTGATTCCCTGGCCTTACAATTCCCCAATGTATGTAAACTGCTCGGTTTCTTCTTATATGGAGTCAGGGAACCAGACTACAGGAAAATAATTGTTTTTCTTGGTTTTTATAGCATTTTCGAACCCAAAACCTCAAAAAAGTCAGTGTAACTATATTTGCTATATATTTCCAACCCCCCCAATTCCATCCATTTCTGAAAATTACAGCAAAAGCAAATGATGTATATTCCCTTTAAAGACAAGCACACTTTGGAAAGCAACTTTTTTGAGGAAGTTCATGAAATAGATCCCTTTCATATTTAACCAAGGACTACTGGATGACAGCAAAGATGAATTTACTAATTCTTAAAAAAGTTGGTAGATCTGATTTAAATGTGGATGTCTGTCTTTTTAAAATTAATTCTATCATTTTTTTTTTTACTTTTATGTCATCCAAAAATTAATGAAATGAATTTTTTGGCCTTACCTCTGTTTGTCTTTTTCTGTGCTTCGTACCATACTGCTGTCCATGCGCAGTTGATAAATCACATGGGGTGGAATTGTGTCATTGTAAGTGGACTTGTTAAAGCCTTCAAACACAGCACCTAGATGGAAAGAACAATCATGGCTATACTTATAAAGCACAAAAGGTGTATGATTAGGTTTATGGTGTAAATCGAGGACACACATGCAACACAATCGATGATTTGAGGACAGGAACTAAATCGAGGACGACCTCGATTAGAAAACGTGTACAAAACCAATGAGAGCTGTTGCGAGAGTATAAACAAAGGAAAAGGGAAGAGGAACAATAGAAAATCCTTGATTTACACCATAAACAAATGAGCACGTGTTTATGGTACATCGAGGACACACACAATTGCAACATCATCAATGAAATGAGGACAGAAACCGAATTGAGGACTCCTCGGTTGGAAAACGTGTACAAAACCAATGAGAGCTGTTGCAAAAAAGTTAAGAGTACAAACAAAGGAAAAGGGAAGAGGAACAAAAGAAAATCCTCGATTTACACGATAAACAAACGTTGTGTACAATTCACTGTGTTGACTTCTGAACAAAAGATGTCCACATAAACCAGGTAGCAGCGACGTTGTGTGGACTTGCCCACGTCCACACAGTGTTTCCCCCTCTCTGAAAAACAGGTTTAGAGGCATTTTAGGGTTAGGACTATCGGTGGCAAAATGAAGAGAAACACTAAAGGGAATCATAGAAAAAATTAGGTTGAATGAGTTTTCACAGTGTGAGTAAAATGAGTTTTTTTCACAGGTTTTTCATACATCCCAAGAACAGCAGTACTCGAATGTTAGTCTGTGTGCTAAGTCGATGGGAGAGTGTTATCGTATCGGAACATAGCACTCACTCAAATATTACTACACGCGCTGCACACGCACTGTATTCAATACAGTGCATTTAGGCCTACATGTATTGTGTGTGTGTGGAGCACTGTACATGTGCGCGTGCGCGTCTATTTGTATCGCACGCACCAGGATTTCGCGTTATAAAACCGTGGTGTCTATTGGTGCAAATACGCTACTCTCGACTAGGGCAACGGGTTACAATTCACCAATCACCATAACTTTTACATGAATGTAATGAGAAAGTATTAGACTCCAACAAGCCGCTTGATCCAAATGACAACAACAAATGCTTTGGGAGTTATAGCAGGTTTTCTTGCGCAAAGTAGCGCAAAACGTGCATTTTTTCACACCTTGCCACTGACTTTTACCGAAAACTTGTTGACTTTAAATGCAAAGGGCTAATTGAAAGAATGTGAGTTCCTGTATGAAATAACGTGCGATCCAGAAATGTTCATCATTGTGGTCTTGATATACTTTCAATTCAATGCTTGAAAATGGTCCTGTTGCTGCGTACTTACTACACGTTTAAAGCTATGTCCATCATTTGTAATTTGTGCATTTTGTTCGTTTGAAGCAACAAAAGAGTTCAAAATCTAACAAAGGATACTAAGCAACTAACCTGATAAAGTTTCAGCTAAGCTTCAGCTGTACATTCTGAGAAAAACAGCATTCTAAGATCTCAATTTCAAATCAAAAGTTACTGAATCATGTTTTGAATTGCAGCTATACGCGACGTCGCGCACTGATCCGACGAATTATAACAACCGAGGGCGCGTGTGCGTCGTTCCAATACTCGCGCGCGCTGCGCCGAATAACAAAACGAACTACTAATTTAAATTTTCCTACGGTGCTTCTTAAGAATCACCGTTGGAAATGCCTTCTTTCGTTGATTACTTCAAAATGACAGCTTCCCAGAAAAAATAATTTCACAGGGAGTTTAGTTCCCTTACTATCTTTCAACTAAGTTTGTTTTTCAACAATAATTACGCCAGTTACTTTTCGGATGGCTGCAAATGATGGACTATAGCTTTAACTGTAACAAAGCGAATGAGTGCTATGTTCAGTTATGTTACAGGAACAACAGTAAACACAATGCCTTGTCCTGAGACCCATATGGGTGAGTGCATTCACAAGTTGTTCCCGAGTCGATCGACAAGTTGATCGCCAGCGAAGCAGGTGTTCGCTTGCGAAGCAGGCGAGGCAAAGCCTCGTCAAATCATAATATTAGCATCCCTCCGAAATTTCTTGACAAAAGTGTTCACATATGTCCCAGGGGTTGAAAGGTTGGGAAAATAACGTAACATTTCAAGAAGTATATACCTCCCCAGAATGTACGGTTTCCTTGTAATTTGCTAGCAGCTTCTTGGAATTCTTCTTGGGTGTCGAATCCACGAACCTTATCAAGATTCACACACTGTTAGGGGGAACAAATGAAAACAAATATGAGAAAATAGGAGATAATTCTTACTGCTAATTTAATGCTTGATGGGTGAGGCGCACCCAAGGGGGGGGGGGCTTGGGGCTTGAGCCCTCCCCCAAGAGGTGTCAATTTTTTTTTTACTCCCACAATTTGTACTTGGTGATATGAATATGGCCTATTTCGAGTAGTATGAGAGGGTTGTAAGTGGTGCCACTAATGTCAAATGCCAAAAAAAAACCCAATTTTTTTCTGCGGCCAAATATTTTGGGTAAGATTTTTGAAAAATAATTAACTTCTTACAAATTGTGAGCCCCCCAAGTCAAATCCTGGGTGTGTCACTGTGATGTGTAGCTAACAAGGTAAATACAAATATGCTGAAGACATTTTGATGTCAGAATATTTTGTAATACTTTAAAATATGACATACATTAGGTATTAATAATTTGGTATTAGATAATTCTAACCAGATGTAATATTCGATCCAACAGGCCCAGCCCAATGCACACATGGGAGCAATGGCCCTGCAAGTTAAAGAGGTTGTGGAATGCTCGAAGACATTTCCGTCATTTTTCGGGTATATGTAGCCTAAGGTGTGATGAAATAAAAACGACTATTGTTTCAGTCATAAAATGAGTACAAAAGGTACTTTTGAGAGCTGTTTTTCAAGTCCTGTCATGCCTGTTTCGACCCGAACGTGCAATTTGTGTAAAAGTCGTCGTTGCGGGCAGCAAACAAAACACAGTAAATCGTGACGTAATAAACAGGACTCCCGATGCAGAGAAGCATAAACGAGTCCTGTTTATTACGTCACAATTTACTGTGTTTTGTTTGCTGCCCGCAACGACGACTTTTACACAAATTGCACGTTCGGGTCGAAACAGGACCTGAAAAATAGCTCTCAAAAGTACCCTTTGTACTCATATTATGACAGAAACAATAGTCGTTTTTATTTCATCACACCTTAGGCTACATATACCCAAAAAATGACGGAAATGTCTTTGAGCATTCCACAACCTCTTTAATCGCAGATGTGATTGGTCAGAAATTTATGGGGCACGTCTTGACAGATCAGTCTATTAATTTCTTTAGATGTGGTGCTACTTTTGCTGTTTATTTCTGCGTTTCTCAGTTTTCTTTTCCGGATGTTGGATGCTTAGAATCATCTGCCAGATGACTCTAAGCCTCCAATGCAGACATCACATTGTAAATGCAGGTAGCCTCTTCATCATAATTACAATAATAACGTGGTGCTTTTATAGCGTTTTATACAAAAGGTCTCAAAAGCACTTCACAATTAGTATCCCTGTTCATCAGGCCATGAGAAAACTTTTTTGCAGCAGCTCAAGATCAGCGCATTCTGGTCTCTACCTTCACATGTACCCATTTTATATACTCCTGGATGGAGAAAGGCAATCGTAGTAAAGTGTCTTGCCCAAGAACACAAGCTACATGTTCTCTGTCCGGGTACCACAGCATGTGAGTCGAACACCATAACCATATTGGACTACAGAGTTCCTTTGAGGTTGACCCTGATTTGTAAACAAAAGATTCTAGTCCACCATTCGGTTGAGATTGTTGAATTTATCTTTTAAGATCTTCACAAACCAAAATACTCACTCTGAAAATTTCTAGGGTTGTGTTGGTGAATTCATCGATGGCATCAATGGCAGCTAGCCAAGAGTCAGTGACGTTGTTTTCCCTCTTGTTGTCCTCCGCGTTGAGGAGGATTTCCTTCAGCCAGAGGTAGTCGGGAGTCGAGTTGGTTTGCAGCAGTTTCTCTAACTCCGGGATCAACTCTGGGTTTTCCTGAAACTCCTGTACAGTTTAAAACATTTGATTTTATTTCACTAAATATTTAATTTACTTGAAGCTTTCAGTGGCAGGTGTGGCGACGCCTTCTCGGTCAGGGGAGGTGGAACCGGGGGGCACTCCCCCCCCCCTAGATTTACCTAGGTGCCCATCTTGCGGACATAAATGTGCCCCCTCGAAGTGAAAACAAAACTGGCCCTAAAATTTCAGATATGTTTTCAGTAACCATTTCCATGATATAGAGAGTTGTAAATGAAAAAGAAATATGAAAACCAAGCCCCCAAACCCTTACAGTGCGCCCTGAAAATGGGCACATATTGCGTAGTTTGCATAGTGGCCGGTTTTGAAGAGTGCCCCTATTTTTGGAAGATGGTACCAGTCATTGGTCAACACAAAAGTCATTGGTCAACACACCAAAAATTGAAAGGAATATGAAAGACGACATGTTGATCATCATTTTTCTGTGCAGCCTGAACACCTGCGAGGATTTTTTCATGTTGTCTACGGGAATATATTTACTTGGTTGCACCCCTAGAGTACTTCACAGCAAAATTATGGCCATTAACAAGAATACAAGAAGAAAACAGCACTGTAAGTTTCAAAGCCTGTCTGGATTAATCAATTGGACCTTTTTTTTGACAAACTTAAGTTAGAAATTGCAAGCGGCAAATGTACTTACGTTTACTATGTCTAGAGCTGGATTTGTTTCAATGAAGTTTCGGAGCAGCGGCGAGTACTGTTGCCATTTCATGCAAAGGTCCCTGAACATTCGCAACGAGGCAAACGGTTGTTCGGCCTGCAATATAGCAAAGAGAATCAATTGAATGGAATCTGTGTGTGAAGTACTCCTCCGCATATTGAAACATACATTTGTGCCCCTGCTTCTATGCTACAAACACTAAGGTGTGTTACTCGTTTCATATAAAGATTGACAAGTAGTTAAAAGCAAAAGTTGTTGGACAATTTGTCATCGGCACCGCGAACTGACACTCAGCTGCGTGTGAGTGCGCTGCGCACGCGCTATTTACAGAACCGGGTTTTTTGGGGTTTCACTCACATCCTCCACAGTGCAGCCCTGTTAGAGCGCACCCCGTACATTTTCGGTTTCACGAACCGACACTGACCTTAATTGCACCAATTAAAATGCTTTTTAAGTAAAATTTTGTGTAAGCACACAAGTATGCGGATGGATTAAATTTGGGTAAAACCTTTCAAACCATTTTTCTCTGTTCTGTACTGCTGCACCATGCTTGGGTGTCAGTTCGTGAAAACAAAAACTTCCTATTTGGCGTCAGTGTCGATGTGCGCACATACCGGGTGTCAGTTCGTGAAACCGAAATTGATGATTACGAGGTTTTCATGAACTGGCACCCACTTGCAAGAGAGTGTCAGTTCGTGGTGCCGATGACGAGTTTTTTAGCTGTACTCCAGGCTATCTGTACGCTTAAATCAGGGCATGCAAGGGCAGTATTCAGCCCCCATATCGCAATGATGGAGGAATGTTTCTGAAATTGGGGACACAAACATACATGTACGTCCTCTGTGGTGCGAAATCCAAATCTCCAACAATCTAACACAAAACATGGGGATACAAAAGGCAAATGGTGATGGCCAGTGACAGCGCCAGACTATAGCATTTGGGGGGGGGGCAATTTGGGGGCAAGAAAATATTTTGGGGGGCAGTCAATGGTCCGGAAATGAGCAACTACAGCAGCTTAGAAGTGTGGTTGTTTTTATAAATGAGAAATGTATCAAACCGCAGAATGGTGTCTAACAAATGTGTAACATTTTGTACAAAGACGTTGGCTGCACACTATCTATACGGCTGTATAAATGCATGTGTGGCACTGTTTGTCTACCAAAGTACCAATGTTCTTAAAGCTTTCATCAGCCCAAAATGTGTCCACAGAACCGATGATTCACTCTCTATCTTCAACTTATGAATATTAACAGCAAAGAAAATAAACAGAATTAATCTTTCTGTAGATAAGGTTTGGAGGGCGCAAACTGGGGGCAAGGAAACAACTTTTGAGGGGGGGGGGGGGAAGGGGGCAAGCACCGCCACTGGTGATGACGTTCAAAACAACATTAAGTTTCACTTCTTCACAATTAAAACGTAGTTCAGTTCAGCAAGACGTCCACTTGACCAAAGGATCACCAAAGCTGCAAAATCCTGAGTTGCAAGGATGAAATTTGGGTACAAACAAATGGCTCCTTAATGAACCTACCTCCTTCATGATCCGTTTGGTTGCCTGGGTGTCTGGGGTGTACAAGATGTACCCTTGTACCATCGGCTTCAGCCTGTCCCAGAGGATGCCCCCAACTTCTGTAGATGTAATCTGTTGCACCCATTCACAGTCCTCTGCAAAATGAATGATAAAGCACACAAAACATGTTGGTGATTCCATTTGCTGAAAAATTGAAACACGTTAGAGAGAAGACAAGAAAATACCATGCAAATTTGACGCAGTTATAATTCGGCAAAGACTAATTGCATCCGTGGCCGCCTCGTCCTCGGATTGTACGTAGCCCTTGGGTCGCCGCCATCACCTGCTCTCTTTCAATCGCCGCTAAAGGTAGAGTGTATTGTTTGCAGCTATACAAAAAGTCACTGAACAAAATATTGTTAAAAAGCTTACTTTGTTTAAAGAGTAATGGCACTAAACTCCCTGTGAAACTATTCTTTCCGGCATGATGTCATTTTGAAGAAAACATTAAAAGAAGGTCCTTTTCCAAATATGCGTCAAGTGACACATTTGAGAAGCAATTGACGCCCTTGGCTGTGCCCAATATAACAAATACATGATCATCAATAGCATATTTTTTTTATTCAAATATTCAAAAAATATCAACGATATGATTTTATAAGCTGCTTTGCCAAATGCAGCATCTTTGTTGAAAACCACTTTTGCGCATAATTTTGGAGCTGCTATGAGGAAAATTAGCTCAAATTTTTTCTTCTTTAAAAATGGTAAAAATATCAGCCATTTTGTTACCTGTTCTTTACACTATTTGAATATAAGCTCTTTGTCAATTTTGGACAAGTGCAGGTGTACACAAATCCAAATTTCCAGCATATTTCACTTGATCAGTGCATTCTGAAACTGAATATTCAATGAAATCCAAGTTGGAATAATCGAATACCAAATCATTTAAGAAAAAATGCACATTCCTAGTTCCATAAAATCAGAGTTGTTAAAAGGAAGATACGACATTTGCAAACATCAAAAAACAAAATGATTAACTTATCACGAAATGTCTTCCTGGATTGCTAGGGAATGACAGTCTAAAGCATCCTGTAAAATCGTGGCTCCTGGTGTGCTGACATTTTCAAGATTTTTTTTTTTTTTTTCAATGACCAGCGTTGCAGATTGTTTTTTGTTTTTTTAAAGCCTGCTAGACTGAGTCTCTGTACAATTCCCCAAAATCTATAAATTGCTCCATTTCATCTTAAGTGGGGTCAGGGAATCAGACTACAAGCACATGGTTGGTTTTCTTGGTGTTTCAAGCATCTGCAAGCCCAAAACGTGAACCAAGTCAGTTTACTAATATTTTCTATAACACGCTAGTCCTCCAAATCCATTTATTTATGAAAATAGCAGCAAAAGCAATTGTTATACCTCTGTCTTGAATACTGTATTTTCATTGGCCAAAAATGATCACGTGTTAAGTTAATGAATAGTCATAGCACATGCCCTGTGGGATATCACGTACGTGTAATCCCACAGGGAGTGTGCTATGACTTGTACGTACGGTACATGTAAGTACAGTGTATGGTGTGAAACGCTTGTATCGTTGGTACCCGTGCTATTTTCACCATGATTTTACGCATGTGTGGGAGCAGGGAACTAGCAGACGATCAGCTGTTTCGAGCACGCGACATGCATGTGAGTTGACCTTCAATTGTCATGATGGTGTTTACTGCTGTTTGTTTTCATGATGTTTACATTACATCAAAATCCAAAGAATCCAAGACAAAACAATGGTTGACTGCTGCGATGTCTGATATGACGTTTTGAACACCCTCAGAGCGCATTATAGCACCCTCGGCTTCGCCTGGGGTGCTATTCGCCCCTCGGGTGTTCAAAACATCATATCCCACACCACAGCAGTCAACAATTGTTAAATATTGTACATTCCCTTCAAGTCGTACCTGGAGGCCCCTGCAAATCGTCCGTGGAATCATTTTTGCTCCTCCAGGCAGTCCTAGCCATTGGTTTCTGAACTCCGGACTTTTTCAAGTCCCCGAACTGTCCGAAGCCTGAGTTGGCTGTAGAATCCATGTTGATGAGGCTGGGATCGATCAGTTCCCCCACGCTGCCACAGATGAGGTCGTTGGAGTCGTTCTTGACAGCGATCTGATTGATGTCATTCATCAGGTCGTTGAAGCTGTCCAGTTCTGAAATCTGATATTTGAGTTTTTTCCAAAAAAGTGAAGTTACTTTTATAGGCATGGGCGTCGCCAGGATTTTTTCTAGAGGGGGGCAAAACATGTTTTTGCCAAAAAATGCCTGTATTTCTCAACACATTCTCGATTTATCAGTTTTAGAGGGGGGCAGGGACATTTCCCCCCCCCCCTCCCCCACCATTAAATTTACACCACTATGACTTCGCGCCTCTTTGTCTTTTCTTTTTTGTTTTTTGTTTTTTCCTTCCTTTTTTTGGCTTTTCCAGGGGGGCAAGTGCCCCCCTTGCCCCCCCCCTCGCGACGCCCATGTTTATAGGTATACTCTCTGAGCTGTTTTTTGAGTTTCACCTCCAAATGGAGACATCTCTTTTAAATAAGCCATTTGCGAGTTAAATTTGAATAATTCTGGAATGTTGACTTAATCCAATGCTTCGCACGTTTTAACTTTGCATTCTCCCGACCATAGAGACCGTTACTATATATCACGTGATTCGGAGAAAGCCTCAAGCCCGTGTCACACTGTCACGATGTAGCCTCCCGATCACGATAAGACAGTGCTGAGACGCAAGACTCGAATGACACTGTGAAACTCGGAACGACATCTGAACTTTATCAAAGCGACTTCTTCAGAGCCGTTTCGGCATCCTACAGGTCGTGCATGGTCGGCAGTGGAGCCACGATTAGTTTGAACAGTTGAAACATATCGTGATGGTCGGCAAAAATATCCACAACGGATCAGAGTCTGTTCTCTGCCTGTACTCAAACGGTTGTGTCATAACGAAGTCGTAACGAAGTCGTAACGAAATCGCAATAGTATTTGCAAGATCGGCAGTGGTCGTACATGGTCGGCCAAATTTTTTTAGCGGACTTTGAAATGACCATTACGACGTGAAATTCCAAAGATGACGTCACACCGTCGTTTCGGCATCAGTTCTTGGTCTTTTGTGTGGGTACACAATCGGTTGTGTCAGTACTTTTGTTGGTTATTTCGTAATGAGATTGACAATGTCATGAAAAAAAATCGATTGAACGGATCCAATTCGTTAAAAAAAAAAAACGGCAAAAGTTGAGAACATACCTGATGTGCAAGGGACAGCATTAATGTCAGGGAGTTCCTGTACCATTCATCCACATCTGTTCCATTTAGCTGTAACACACAAGAAAAGGAAAGATATAATTTCAGTAATAATATCTCATCTAAAACTTACTTATGATGCAAAAAGAGCTTAATAAGACTTTTACATGCACCAGTATTTAACATTTATACATGCTTGGGTGTCAGTTCGTGAAAACGAGAATCATTCTACTTCGACTTGCGCGTGAGTGTCAGTTCATGGTGTGGGTGACGAAGTTTATGTTGTGGATCCGATTATATTTGCAGCTGACATAAATACTGCAGTCACTGCAAAGCTTAGAGCATTTATTCACAAAAACAGACCCTCTGCTATCTACTAGGGGACTTACCGCATTCCAGAGAGCAGGATAATTGATAACGGCTTGGACCTCGCGGGAAAACTGATCCAATTCAGTGTCGGACATGTTGCAGAGTGTCTCGCTGAGCTCGTCAATCTGGGCGGGGTCTGTGGTGGTGACGTAGTCCTCCAGAAGGGTGGTGTTGCAGACGGTGTCTCGCATGTTACGCCCTTCCAGCATCAGTAGCAGCTGAGAGGGAAATGAGAAGCAGTGCAGGAAATCAATGCAAAAGTTTAAGCTCTGTGAAAATGCTGTATATTCTGAGAAAACAATAGGATCTCGGTTTCAATTCAAAAGTTGCCAAGTCGTGTTTTGAATTGCGCCCGAAATCTGCATTCGGGACACGTTCATTCAGCGGATTGCAGCTATACGTGATGTCACACACTGAACTGATGAATAACAAGCAACCGCGTGCACGTGTGAGTCAACTCAACGCTTGTGCGCATCCATTCACAGATTCTCCAAATTACAAACCAACCACTAACGGAAATTTCCAAAATGCGTCACTTGACTCATCTTTGGAAATGGCCCTCTTCTATTGTTTCTTCAAAATGATGCATGCCAGAAAGAATAATTTCACAGGGAGTTTAGTGCCATTACTATCTTTAAACCAAGTAAGCTTTTCAACAATAATTTTGTCAAGATAGATTTTGGAGAGCTGCAGATGATCTACTCTTCCTTTAAGTTTCCAATGTGGATCCATCAAGTTGGGAAAAATGTAACAGTTGCAACCTAACGCCACTTTTTTCTTCATCTATCATCTCAATGAAGCTCAGTCATTGCAAAAAATGATAATAATGAATCTGGGACTAAGAAACATTTCCAATTTTGTTAGGAAATACTTAGAAAATGTTCTGGACTCTCCTTAGACTATGTACAATTGCTGAAAGGCGTCACGTTGCAACATTTTTTCCATCAAGTTTAAAAACAATTATGATGGCAAAGGGAATATACATACTATTTTAGGATTGTCAATGGAATCGGCCACCAGCTCTGCGTCCTCCTCTGACACCCCCAACTGCTCTTGCATGTAGTCAATCAATGCAGTCTTATTTTTCAGCAGATCATCCACTGGTAAACCTGGTTCATAGAACAGTCACAGACAGGAAATTACACTACAAAATGAACTTAACATAGTCCTCCACGAAAAATGATTACTATCATATCAGACTACCAGTATAACTACGAAAACATACGTAGAAGCGTTACATTTAGTGGAAGTTTGCAGGGATGCCATAATTATGCCACAGAAAATCACTCTTATAAGTTTGTATGGTTCTGAAAAGAGCCTGAGGGAAAACCAAATTAAAGTTTTGGACTGTATGCTTTGCCGGTATTACACACCTATGTTCCGATACCCCTATGTCCCGACACCCCTATGTTCCGATTGTCGGGACGTCAGAACATAGAGCAGTCACCTGCTTTGCCTATCATTTGCCCATCATCAGTCTTCTGACGACAGGCAGAGCATACCATCTGAATGTTGAGTTTTCTATGGTTCTCTCCACCACACCCATAAAAATAGACGCTTGCTTTCACATTGTGTAATCGCAACTTTCCAAACATTTTTCGATTAGATTTCTCTAAAAGTTATATTTATAACTGGGGATTACTATTGGTTCATGCAAGATCCTACAACAGAGAACTTTGCTAGCTGAGATGCATACCGTTGTACTGTTGGATTCCAAGGCCCATCCGTAGGAAACCACCGATGCCTGGAATGTTAGGAATGCCTGGTAGCTGCATAAATTCATAAAACAAAACCGAATCGATCATGACATGATGATAAAATATGACAATACAACATAATTTCCCACTTTTTAGCTAAGGATGTTATCAATGGATTTTGCAAATATGGGACAATACAATACAATCAGGATCGAGGATTTAATACTGTGAATCCCTCTTTGTATTCGGGTTTTTGCCCAAGCCCGTACCAGGATTTCAACTCCCTCTTTTTTCAAGATTGAATCTACTTGGGGGAGTTTAGTACTGGACGAATGCACATACTTTTTTTTCTTTGCAAACGTGCATGTGCATTGAGACCTACTATAGGTTTTCCCGGCTATTTTAAAATGTTTATCATTCAGATTCACCGTTTCTAATATTCAATATTCGCCTATTAACATCGATTTTACTTCCAATGTTTAATTTCGTCTTTTGTCAGACAATTTCAAATTCAGTTCAAGCAAATTCACACAATGAGCACATGATCAGGGTGTCATTTTAAAGGGGAGATTCAACCCTAACAGAGGATATCTCCCTTTGATTCACATGTGCCCTACTTCTGTTTCAATTAGCAATAATATGTTGGTTTGGTTTTTTTGATCCACCCTGTATAGTCAGGATATGTACGACAAAGGAATCCGGATGACTTACATTGATGAGTTTGTCCATGTCGATCTGATCGGCCATCATCTGGCTCAAGCTGGCCAGGTCCGCATCGGTCAGGTTACACAGCTCTCTCTGCATGGCGTCCAGTGTGGTCTGGTTGTCCACACCAAAGAGCTTCTGCAGTTGCTCCTTGTCACAGGATGCATCCTGGAACGTCTGGGGGTTCATCAGGGAGAGGATCTTGGAGGCGGGGAGACCAATGAGAGGTTAAGGGTCACAAGAGGATTGTAAGGAACTCTTAAACTTATTTGTGTACGTGACACTGTTCAAGCTTATACAGAGGTTTTGCAAGCAAATGGATACGCATATGACGTCTTGCGACATCGTACACAACGCTATCTGCTATGTGAGTACAGGCATCGGATATAACACACACTACCCGTCAGTGTGAAACACAAAATAAATTGTCAATTTTCACCATCTTTTCTGATAAGAATTTAATCCTGTAGGCCTATTAATTAATTGAAAGAGGATAAATTGTTGAACATATATGTGCCATTTGGGTGTTTCCATTTATTAGGGGTCCAATATGGTTTTCCAGGGTGACAATTTTGTTGGTATTTTGTGGCAAAAAGAGGAAACAATTTTTAGTGAAATAGGGGTTTATTTGTAGTACAAAGACGGCGCTTATGAATGGTATAGTCCAAATATTTCTGCCCTCCATATTTTGGAAGTTATCATGAAATATTGTGTTCGTGTCCCGTGTGTTTTTTTTTGGTACGGTTTGTGACATCCGGAGATGTCTATTTAGAATATCATATATCACATACCTGAAGCATCCTTTATCATTCCATTTTGATGGACATAAAAGTATACATCCCAAAGTCAATACACACAAGACTCCAACATTAACATTTCCACCAATTCTATACACTGACCTGTTGAAAACCTTCTTGCTCGCCTAACTATTTGGTGTCCCGCTAGTTAAGTGGTTTTCGCATTTATTTTGCACAATTGTTTACAAAATATGACCATTCTTAAGTGATAGAAGCTCATTTGATATTAAGAGTGAGTTCAAACTCTATAAAAATAGCAAATTTGGAAACATTGAACAATGATAAAATATGGTTTGAAAGCTTTATTAAAAACTGACAACATTTGGTGTCCCACTCAACGAGTTACCTTGGTAAAGTTTGATGGTTTATAATTGGCACAAAAACAGCTAAAAAATGTATGAATGAAGTCATCTGAAATGAAGTTACTAGGCTGTTTCCAGACAACATGATAGCAAGTCTTCTGAACCAAGTATCTTGTGCTGATGGACATTTTAATTTTTTGGTGTCCCGCATGCTGCCATAGTTACCATGGTCATTCTTGATTGTATAGACAACATAAATCATGGAAACTGGGATTTCTGATATCATCTGATTACTGCAAACAGTGTTTAATACCAACTGCACCACTGAAATACCACTCAAATAACTATTTAAGTGTGTTATTAAATTTGTCTGATGTAACTGGGATACTGAAATGTTGGTGTCCCAGTTACACGCGACAACCACATTTTGGTTAATTTCTCCCACTGTATGTTAGAAAGAGTGCATATAATGAAAAATGAAGTGAAAGGAATGTAACTTTGAACATGTCATGGACAAAGAAATAGAAAATGTAATGATATACCGGTAATGGCAAAAAAAATCAGTTTTTTTGCACTAAAAACTAACTTTTTGCTGTATTTCGAGGTTTGTGGAAGTGCTCAAAATTAAAGTTTAATTTTTCTGCAAGATGGAGTACTTGCCTCATTCAAACTGATTTTTTTATCAATAATGGCCCGACAACCAATTCTAAAATTGCATTTTGAGTAGTTAATTCACTTTCTGTAAGTTAAGTGAGCTGTATAATGTTGATTTGGTGTCCCAGTTACCTTGGTCAATTACTGTCAACTTTCAGCAGTTGGCAGCATCCTATTCGTTCCAGTGCATTAGAAATGGATTCATTCATTTAGATTCATAAAATATAGGTACTGTGTATTGTGCAAATTAGTTTTTTGATGATCAAAGACTATTTTGAAAATTTGGCAAAATGTCACACTATTGGACACCTTATTTATGGAAACACCCATTTGTCAATTTTCACCATCTTTTTCTGATAAGAATTTAATCCTGTATTAGTTAATTGAAAGAGGATGGATTGTTGAACGTATAGGTGCCATTTGTCAGTGTCTTAGAGTAGGATTAGTGAGGTTTTAATCAGAGGCTACCACTTTGGATTACTGCTTTTATCATGGGCAACGATTCCAATAACTCTAACGTATAATAATAAATCACAAAATACTAAATACGCAAACAAAATGTACCGGAATGGTTGCTAACAGTTACGGATAGCTACACGTACGAATACACTTATCCGTTTGGATGCAAAAACTCTCTATTACTTTCATTGGTAAAGGTTCAAACAACTAACCGTAAAACTGCGTATGTATATGCATACACGATGGGAAACAACGGAATGGTCGATAACAGTTATGGATAGCTAAATCAATATGTGCACGTATCCGTTCGGATGCGAAACCTCTCAAATAAAATCTGCAAATATTGGTTTCTGGTAAAGCGGAATTCCCCAGAGCATACACACACATAAGAATTAGTGCTGATGCTTGTATAGAACAAGTCCACTTCAATAAGACTATCATTTTGTACCAGTCAGTTGTTTTAACACCATGCACATTTCCTCCATGAAGTTGCTGTAAAGTTCCTTATCCAAGATGATTAAACTGTTCAAACTTGTGCAGTTATGCCAAGTTTTGTGGAACTGATTGTAAGTATACATTGTTGTAGCTTTGCAACAAATTTGTTGTGTAAATCCTGTACATATTGAAAGTTACAAATTTGTTGCATAAATCCTGTACACATTGAAAGATATGAAAGTTATGTTTTTTGTGTGAAATTGGCCGCTGGCCTGTTCCTCTTCAATTAAACTCTAAGATGAAACTTTTTCTTCCAATCTTCCAATCACATAATACCTGTTCTGGAGTCATTTTTGCATCGAGTATTGCATCTGCTACTGCTGGTGAAAGCTGGAGGTCCTCGGTCAGAAATCTCTTCACCTTGTCGGGGTCTTTGAGATAATCTTTGAGAGACTCCGAGCCTGTGAAAATATAAATCATTAAACTTGCACAAACAGAAACCTGCCAATTTAAATTTAAATGCTTTCAGCTGGATCAAATTATAAAAACAAAAGGCAAAAAAAACCACCTAGAACTAAACAAAGCAAAAAACACACCCACCTTTCCCACACAAAAAAACCAAGCACTATAGTTTAATAAAAGCCTACTTAACATACAAAAACTCTACTTAACCCAATAATGGTTGGCACGCATGCAATGTGTTTGCATAGGGTACAAAGGTAAATGGCTAATGTTGTTTCGAAAATAACGATTAATAATTTGAAAAGATTCATGTGGCTATAGAGATATGTCAAATTGACACATTTGTATACTAATGGTACCAGCTGGTGCAGAAAAGCCGATACAAAGGCAAACAGTTAGGATGACAAAAGCGTTAACAAATTGAAATTTCATTATTTCACCTACTTCAATGCAGTACAACAGCTTTTGTCCACATTCATTTTTAATCGAGAGTAAGACAGAACTATTTACTGGACATCAGATCTGGGCCCAATTCATAGCGCTGCTTAACAGCCGACTTTGTGCTTACCGAACCTCAATCTATTTCATAGGGACCGTTAAGCAGTAAGCACAGCAAAAGCATGCTTAACCCCAGAAGAAAACTTTGCTTAAATCAGTGACGTAACAATAGAAATCTCCATGCGCGCGCAACCGTTAGCATGAAATAGTGCTCAAGCAGCATCATGATTTTCCGCTATAGTAGGCACAACTTTTTTGCTTACTGTTAAGCAGCGCTATGAAATTGGGCCCTGGAAAGCTCAATTTTGTGGATCAGAGTTGTAATTGAGTCAGTCATAAGTCAACCACAAGTCATCTACAAGTCAAGTCATCCAAAGTCAATCACAAGTCATCCACAATTAAGTCATCCACAAGTCATCCACAATTATCAATCACAAGTCATCCACATTTAAGTCATCCACAAGTCAATCACAAGTCAATCACAAGTCTTTCACATGTCAATCACAAGCCATCCACAAGTCAATCACAAATCATCCACAAGTCATTCACAAGTCAACCACAAGTCATCCACAAGTCATTCACAAGTCATTCACAAGTCATTCACAAGTCATCCACAAGTCATTCACAAGTCATTCACAAGTCAACCACAAGTCATTCACAAGTCAAACACAAGTCATTCACATGTCAATCACAAGCCATCCACAAGTCAATCACAAATCATCCACAATTAAGTCATCCACAAGTCATCCACAAGTCATTCACAAGTCAACCAGAAGTCATTCACAAGTCAAAAACAAGTCATTCACAAGTCATTCACATGTCAATCACAAATCATCCACAATTAAGTCATCCACAAGTCATCCACAAGTCATTCACAAGTCATTCACATGTCAATCACAAGTCAATCACAAGTCATTCGCAAGTCATTCCAAAATCATTCATAAGTCATTCACAAGTCAAACTGACTTGTGATTTACTTGATTACAACTCTAAGTTGCAAGAGTTTGCTTTTTGGCTCATTGATTTTTGATTTGTTTGATTTCAGCAAAGTTGGAGTGACTTAATTATTAACAATTTCTGATTCTTAATTCTCCCTGTGAAGTTTACCATAAAGTTTTTGTATTAAAGAGACCAAAAACATCAGGAACTGAACCACCTTTTTATTTGGGAGAACGCATTAATACTGGTTTAGTTTACTTAAGGTTTGTGGAAACCGATATTTTACAGAAAAGTTAATACTTAACCCTTTCGCAGTGTCATTAATTAGGCTACAGGATAAAAAGAAGATAAGATTTTATTATTTCTAGAAATGTGATTTATTAATTTTTTGAAATGGAAAAGCTATGTTAGTGCTGTTTTGGAGAGTACGTGATACATTCCTTAAAATTTTTTCCCAGTCGTGTGAACAATTATACATTTATATTCTGATATGAATTGAAATTATTCTTAAACATAACAAAAAACTCTCAACCATTTAGCTTTCTGCGTCATCAGTTTTCAATCATAAATAAAATTGCCGTTTTATGTTTTTTTATCGATGACCTGGGAAGATAACGGGTGAGATGTACTTTGATATTTACGTGAGCTCAGCGCAGCAGACTTTAGTCCACAAAATTTACTTTACCGTGGTTAGCACGCACTGGCACGTGAGCCTGCTCATTTTTGTCAATATTTAGCCTGGATATTGCTTAGATCCACCCAGGATGACCCTGGGTGGCGAAGCTGGGTCATCCAGTTAATGATTGGCGAGTCCTGATAACCACTTGTTTGTGATTCACCCAATATCAATCTGCGCGGACAAAAGCGCAAGGCAAGCCGGAGGTTGACTGGTCTGAGTGGTAAATTTTTTTTTTCAGGTTGAATTGAATTGAAATTTATGGATGAGAATAGATTTGACTCCCCACCCAAAGTATGTATTTGCCTTCAAATGGAAAGTTTTTTGAACCCGGATTTTTCTACACAGGCAAAACATTTCATCACCAACGAATGTGTCTGAGTCACCTTAGCTATTACGACAGTAGGCCTAAATCTGAAATTGTATATCAGAAGTATGCCCTTATATTTTTTGCGTACAAATCCATTTTGCAAACCCAGTCACACTATTTCAAAAAAAAAATAACATTTTATTTTGATTTCTCTAATTTAAGAAACTAAAAAATACCTACGTAATATTTTTTTGGGCAAAATTAGTGGCTTAATAAATGTGGTAAACAAATAATCCCGTCATTTGCCAAACTGTAGGAAAATGGATATACAAGTTTGCATGACTTAAAGGTATTATACAACATTTGCTTTTGCTGTTATTTTCAGAAATGGATGGATTTGGGGCTTAGTATTATATAGCAAATATTGTTACACTGACTTGTTTAAATTTTTTGTTCGTAGATACTGGAAAAACCAAGAAAAAATGCCATTCTTGTTGTCTGGTTTCCTGGCACTACTTCTGACAAAATGGAGCAATTTATAGACGTTGGGGAATTATCAGGTCAGGGTACCGGACCTGCTGGCTTGTGCCCATTCACGGATGTGTGACCGATTGCAAACAAAATGGGGACTAACTAAATTTGGGAATCTGGGGGCAGTATTTGAAGAAAGAAAAAGTCTTTTTTTTTTCCAGCGATGGTCGGCTGACCATCGTTGGAAATTGATACAAAAACTCAAATTTTCTCGAAAATGACAGCACACCAAGAGCCATGATTTCACAGGATGCTTGAGACTATTATTCACTTACAGTCAAGTAAGGTACTTTTCCTTACTTTTTGGTAGTTTTGTTTTTTGATGTTTGCAAATGTTGTATATTACCCTTAAGATTCTGCCATCACAAGGAGAACTGATAATATGCAATGAAACTGAACTAGATAAAAGTGTTGTTCAGTTCGCAAAAAAACTTCTCCATCTTTGCATGTCGACATGGGCGTCCATCGGTGGGGGACAGGGGGACAAGTCCCTCCTTCCCCCACTTTTTAAAGTTGGGGGGAGGGGGAGGGAGATATATTGTTTGACTCCCCACTTTTTTCCACCCCGAATGAAATTTGTAGCCTATATATGATTCTATAGCTCAGAATAGCTCATTCAATGACTCCAAACTCGAAAATGATGTTTAACCCTAAAGGGGCCGGGTTATTTTGACCATCTCTCAGCCGGGGGGGGGGGGGGAATTCCGCCCCCGCGCCCCCCCCCCCTAAGATCTCAGCCATCGAGTGACGAAAAATTTTGAAACTCTGCACATGCATAGAGCAACTCTTCCTTAACATGCCCAAGAAATTTCATGACTATAGGTCAAAGGGTTTTGGAATTATGGCTAATTAATTATTCATATGTATGAATGGCAATTCTGCTCGGTGTACACGTATATGCGAAAATTCAGTTTTCACGGCACGTAGCGCCGGAAAATTTTTCGCCACGTGCCAACCCGTGGTCCGATTTTTATATTTTTGGTATCAAAAGATGCAAAAAGCTCGAGGCTAAAAAGTCATAACAGCTCGGGTCGCGAAAAAAATTTTTTTAGAAGCTATCGCGGAAAATGTTGAGGGGGGGGCGGATTCCGCCCCCCCCGGCCCCTTTAGGGTTAAACGGTAATCTCTTGCTAAAATAAATTGGTTAAATTGGTCAGAAATTACCTCAGATCGCACCACAGAGTGTCTAGAGTCCAAAATTCTTCGGGCCCATGCTCCGAACTGTCTCTCCCCTCCCCACTTTTTCGTCTCCCAAAAAAATTGTAGCCTATATATGATTCTATAGCTCAGAATAGCTGACTTAATGACTCCAAACTCAAAAAGGATGTTTAAATGATAATCTTTTACTAAAAAAGAAAAGAATTGGTTGAAGTTGTCAGAAATTGCCTCAGATTCCACCACAGAGCATCTAAAATCCAACATTTTTGGGGCTTTTAAGCGGGCCCCGAACCCCACGCCGTTAGGGCTTCGCATTGGTTCTGATCAAGGTATGTCCCCCCCCCCCCCACTTTTGAGAAGTGACTGATGCCCTTGCATGTTGAGCACATCAAGCCTACCTGGATTTGCATTTGGGAATTTGTCCATATCTTTCAGGAATGGCAGCAGTTTGTTCAGTTCACCGACTTCAATAAGCAAAGTCTTCAACGCTTCCAGAGTTGTCTTGTTTGTCACGATTAACTCCACATCTTGGAGTATTTTTGTAAGTCTAGGAGGCAAAGGGATACAGGAGATAAATCATTAGAACAGAAGATGTACTTTCCGATACTTCAAAATGCCACAGTTAATCTCCTCATGCTTCCCAACTCTCCTAAAGAACTTTCAATTTGTATACCTTGTTTAATAAAAGACTTTCATTTTTCTATTGTCTGTGAATTCTTGGGAACGTAGGCACGTGTGGTCTAGCGGTAGGGCACAGGATTCAGGATCCTGAGGTTGTGGGTTCGAGCCCCGCCGTGGCCATGCGTGTTGTGCCCTTGAGTAAGGCGCTTCACCTCAATTACTCCTCTCAACCCAGGTGTTACATGGGTACCGGCATTATTCAATGCTGGGAAGGTAACAGACTCGCTGTGGAGGAGGTGTGGCGATCCCCCCACAGCAGCATTTCATGGACTCGAGTCTGGCCCAATCACTTCGAAAGAGAGAAATTTTTTGAAGCAACTTCGTAACTAAATCTAGTCTTTTTTTTATTTTGACATCTCATTCAGTAGTGAATAGCTTTGCATTGCTGGAAAAAAACAGCAATTTAAAAACCAATCTATTTTCAGGGTGAAACCATAAAAAGTTCATGTGGCCATAAAAAGTTCGCGCCCCCCAGTCACCCCCCCCCCCCCACTGGAAATTTGACATCCGGAGAAAAGCACATCCGTATGAGTTACCATGATTAGCTGGAAGAACATAGAACCCTTTCTTTTCGCGGGTGGCTGTTTATTTTAATGTCCGAGGAATAGCGGTACATTAACCATGATATAGGTTTTGAACAGTGCCCCCATGGGAAGATGGTGTCTAGGCCCCCCCCCCCCCCTTGGTTTTATGGAGACGGGTGCCCGGTGAAAAAAACCTGTCTACCTTTCAGCACGGATGAAAATTTGGGCGCCCCTCCATTGTAACCTAAAGCCCCCCCCCCCATGCCCCCCCCCCCCCCAGGATGAGAAGCCACAGTCAACAACTGGCATGCAGTGAACTTCTATTTCTAAAGGGTGGGAAATTCAATTTCTGAATAGCTTTGAGTAATGTTTTAGCAGTATCCAAGATACAATCAGAGTAACATTTAAGGCTATTCAGAACTTAAAACTCTGCCGCTTTTAAAAACTTGTCCCAACTAACTGCGACCACAGGCCGCTTACATTGACCATACTTCACAAATACTCCAATACCGCCCTGTTTCGCATATTTCATTCATGAAAGAAAGAGAGAAAAGTCTTCACATACCCTGCATCTCTGAAGTTATTGACGTTGCCACTGCCCTCGCCGTAGGTTTCATTGGGGAGGCACTGGCTTTGGAAGTCACACATCAACGACTGGAAGAACGGGAGGAGACCTCCCGAAGGAAGTGCCTTGCTCAGAAAATGACCTGATAGAGATATGCAAATCGTTTTAGATCTAGTGGTAGACTGAACCATACATCTACATATTCTAATGTTTTGCATAATACCTTAAAAACTATAATTGCGTAAGGACAAAATACTGGCAATCAAAAGTGGGATGTTAGAGATCTGAAGCAAGATGAAAGCTGTATGCTCATGGTTTTCTCTTAAACTGTTGGGAGAAACATCCCTTTAAGTGGAAAACAACATTGAAAAGATTAATTGGCCAAACTTCATTTAATTTTCTCCACAATTGCAGGCAGGTTGATAATCAATTACATTATGTGACAAGAACAGTTAATTTAGATGTTTCTATTGACAAATGGTATGGCTATTTTTTTTTTTTTTACTCTTTTAAACATCACAGCACACCAGTTTAACGTTAGTTACTGCGTCCACTGATTAGTGAATAAATGACTTCTCAAGATTTTCCCCGCAATTTGATTTAAACAAGAAATGGATACCTTGACAAGACTACAAAAAGCCCATAATTGCCTTGTTTGATACTTGCAGAAGACTGCACAAGTGGAAAGTAGACACCATGTAACTTACATTAACTGTCCAAAATGATTGTAATCTGCCTTGCAGTAAAAAATATTTGGCCTATTTTCTTTTCAATGTTGTTTTCCACTTAAAAAGATGTTTCTCCCAACAATTGAAGAGAAAACTATGAGCATACAGCTTTCATCTTGCTTCAGATCTCTAACATCCCACTTTTGGTTATCAGTATTGTGTCCCGACACAAGTACAGAATATAGTGTCAATCTATAAAATAAACAGCTGTTGGTCATCATTAACATCAATCTGCATAAAAAAATATATTAATATATTCTCCTCAAAATAGCTCAAAGGGAGATTTGCTACCATAGGTTCACTGATCATCAATATTATAATGAACACATTGATTGATTCAGGCGTTCCACTTCGAATTCACAAGAAGAGGACATTTCAAGCTTTACAATACTCTCTGCAGCGTTGTCATTTTCATGGCATGCAGAAAAAGTCAAAAGCAGGGAAATTAGCCAATCCAAGAAGAAATGCCATGAAGTCCCGTTGTTAAGCTCAAATTTATATTGGAGAAAATGTTTCATTTTTTGTTGAGGGGGGTGTTTTTACCTGATCACATTTTTTTATGTACAAGGTGAAAAATGTTCATTCCCATGCCACTAAATCCTATTACTCCTACAGATGGCTTTTTCAATTGCCATGATGCCAATTGGCAAAATGTTATTATTTACAACAACAAACATTGGATGCTAGGCTGCAGCTACATTTTCAGGATGTGAGATGAAATATTTATACTTGATTCTGACACAAATACAAATCCAAATCTAACTGCAACAGGATCAACACATTTACTTCTTTTCATTAAATTTTGTTCAAAATGATTTTGACAAAATTATTTTGCCAAAAATTTAACATAGGCCTAACACCCTCAGTATTTCCTACACGGACTGAAATCTTGATTTCATTTTGGAGTATTGTCCACTGATTGTAGCCTTTATCAAAAATTGCGTGGTGATTTTGAAAACCTTGAAATTGCCTTCTGCAAATTAGGAGGTTAATATGTTTTCATCGGATTTGGTCAGTTTGTTGGTTGGTTGGTTTGTCTGTGAACAAGATAACTCAAAAAGTTATGGACGGATTTGCATGCAAATATTTTTAGGGGTGGCCCTTGGTAAAAGTACAAACCAATTAGCTTTTGGGAGTGATCCAGATCTGGGTTTGGATCAAGCACTTTTTAAAAATATTCTTCACCAATTAACTGAGTATTTATTTGGGTGTACTGACAATATGGCGGGGAATTCGGGTGATTCACAATGTAGTGCGCCACCAAAAGTTTGTTGTGGAGAGTCCATTTTTTCAAGTTTACAGTCGACAAAACATGACCCATTTGAATGAGTGTCAGTAGACAACTTGAGCTAATTTGTTATAGATAGCGGGCATAGTGTTCTGCCGCCTTACAAAAATCACCATATTGATAAAAAGAAAGGAAAAGGACAAACAGCTACCGGAATCATGCACTTACGAAACTACTGACCGGAAAACTAACAATTTCAAATGTCCTGCACTGCGAAGTTGTTGAAAAATGAACTCTCCGAGGCAAACTCTTGGTGGCACACTGCATTGTGAATCGCCCGAATTGTTTAGCCTTATGGAGGTTTGCGCTCTCCGAGTGCTCTAGTTTATTCTAGTGACACTTGCTGTACATACTTTGCTAAACAATTATTGGCAATAGAACATACAGCTGAGACTAGCCAAAATAAAATCTTTGATTTTCAGAGCAATATGATATCCTCAATGGTAGTATACTCACATTCAGGTTTGAAACCAGGCATTTGACTCCGTCTCACCACAGCGATAATCGCAAACAACAGGACAGGCCAAATTAACTCGGTGAGGAGACGAAGCTGTCAAAAATATGATAGAATTAATCAATCTACAATCCCTTACAGCAATTACTGCATATTTTGTTTTGATCTTTCTTCAGTGTATTGACAAGCCTATACAGGGTGACCCCCTCCCCCCACCCCCCAACGCAACCCTAAAAAAATGTGTATTTTTTCAAAAACCTGATTTGTGAACTTTGGGGTTTTGGATATCAGATTAAAGCTGAGAGCTTTTTCTTTCAAGTTCCGGTACTGAAAAAATCAAGGAAACAGCATATTGGGTTGCTGAGAAAATGCCATTTTAAAGGGAATGTACATCATTGGCTTTTGCTGTAATTTTCGGAAATGAACTATTCAAGATGCTAGTATAATAAATCAAATATAATTACACTGACATTTGTGAAGTTTTGTGTTCGAAAAGGTTGGAAAAACCAAGAAAAACAAAAATGTTCAAGTAGTCTGGTTCCCTGACTCCACAAAAGATAAAATGGATCAATTTACAAATGATGGAAAATTGTAAGACAAAGGAACCAGTCTAGCTGGCCTGCACCCGTTCATGAACGTGTAACCAATAGCAAACAAAATTTGGACTGAAAAATGGTAAATTTGGAGCAGCAGTTGAAAAATAGTTAGGTTTTTCCAACGCTGGTCGGCCGACCACCGTTGGAAATGTATACAAAAATACCATTTTCTCGAAAATGACTTCACACCAGGTGCCATAATTTTACAAGATGCTTGAGACTGTCATTTACCAACATCCTAGTAAGGTATTTTGTAAAAACTTGGTAGTTTTATATTTCGATGTTTGCAAATGTTGTATATTCCCTTTAACACAACCCCTTTTTGGCCCATTCCATCTGGCATTACCAATTAAGAGAGTTTTGAACACTATACCTATTTGTGCATGTAATGCATGTGGCACATTGTGTCATATAATCCTTTAAAACAACACAGCACATAACATAACAAGACTACAAATGAATTTCATGGAAATACTTTTTATTTTCCACCTAAACAGGTATCTTATTCTTTTTTTGTTATATTTGAAACCATTTCAGCATCATAAATAAAGTTCACAAAATGTAAGACAATTGCACAATGGGCTAATAGTAACATGCTTCACTGCATGAAGTACCTTTGAAAAGGATGAAAAATCACTTCTTTTACATGATTGGTATTTTCTCAGCAACCCAACGTGCTGTTTTCGTGATTTTGTTTTGTATTTGAAAAAAAAAACCTCTTAATTTCAAGCTGATATCCAAAACATACAAATTCACTGATCACATTTTTGAAAAAAAGCCCAAATGTTTCAGGGCTGCATTTTTTGGGGGTCACCCTGTAAATGTAGCATTGTAGCGGTATGACTGATTTTTCCCCAAAAAATTCTTAAAGTTTTGTGGTTTTTCCACTTTTATTTGTTTTGCCAGTTTGACAGCAATGTTTTGGTAAGGCTTGATACTGTAGAGAATAGCATACTGATCAATATACAACTTCTCGCCTTCTCAATTTTTTTTTCTTTTTCACACCGGTACCAAAGATAGATTGTCAAATTTCATTTTCCTATTAGTCGCAATAAAAAGTAAAACTTTCCAAATGGCAATAACTGTTTCCTACCTTTTGTCTCCGACGTAATGTCACATTCTTCCATGTTAGTAACATGAGTTGGGTAAAGAACGCCATGATGATGCCCGACACGCTGCCGGTCCAATCGCTGGATGATAAATACTGCAGACGTTACAGTTCTGTTCAAAACTCTAAAATCAAAGTCCAATTGCTTTGCATTCACCCAAAGTACAGGCAAAGTTCAAAGGCAGCATATACAAACACACTGCAGTGATAGTGTATGTGAGTTTGCCCTCCTCCCACACACGCACAGGAAATGTTGGGAAATCACTTCGTTCTCAGCAGGCGCTGGTTGGCAAAACCTTTCTCTGTTGAGCATGTAATTTACACAAGCGAGTGTCAATCTCTTCGTTGACGGGCGCGTCTCCCTGGTGACAATGTGTCATTCTGTGATGGTGATAAATAACCATTATTATGTGAACAGTCATGAGAGTAAATATTTATTAATTATTGGGCAATGTTGTTTGTCAGAGAATGTAATGTGACCACAGTGAAATACATACAAAAAATTAAAGAAAAGATAGCTGAACCAGTGCTCAACACTTTTACAAATATTGCCAGATTTTTAAACTGAAAATCAGCCCTGAAAAAGACATTACTCCCCCCCCCATACTGTCTCATTAAAAATCTCTTAATTCTCAATTTTATAGTACCAGTGATTTCTAAAGTGTCATGTTTGTACAATGTAAGGCAGGACAATTGTGGCACTGGCAATAAAATTTGCTATTTTCTTCCTCTAAAAGGTTATATCACGAATTCCAATCCAAGAACCCAACTAGAGAAAGATGGTGCATACACCATCAGCAGCGTAGCCAGGGGGCGGGGTGGGGTAAGGGGGGGGGGGGAACACACTCGCCCCATATGGTGAGAACCCAGGCTTGTGGCTACACAGTGCTGGACACCATCCCCCCGACAACAAAAATCCCCCCCCCCAAAAAAAACAAGCATGTCAAGA